GTCGGTGGGCTCGTCGGGCTGGAACCAGTTCCTGCGTCGGAGTTTTTCGGCGGATAGTTGGAGGGAGTGGCGCGTGCCGGGCTCGTTGGGGAGTACGGTGATGGCGCCGAGCCAGATGGTGAAGTCGCTGACGCCCTTGACGACGGTGTCGCCCATGTTGGAGATGAGGATGGTGAGGGTGGGGACGGCGAGCAGAGTCCAGAAGACGAAGACGGGCTTCCCCGCGTTGGAGGCCGGGTAGAAGTCGCCGTAGCCGATGGTCAGGAGGCTGGTGTAGGCGAAGTATAGGGAGCCGAAGTACGTCCAACCCTGGTCGCGGTGCTCGGCCTGGTGGAAGACGGCAGCGCCGACGAACCACAGGAGCAGGGCGGCGGCGCTGGAGAAGGCGAGGGCGATCCATCGGCGGCGGAGCTGGGCGGACCGTTGGATCTTCCGCATGAGGTGGAATTCCTGCTCGCGGCGCTGGAGCTCAGTGAGGCCGACCTGGTCAAAGTGGTAGGTTTGGAAGAGGCCGAGGGAGATGGTGCGGCGGCCGCGGTCGACGTGGCGGACGGCTTGCTCGCGCGTCTTCTCGGTGATGCGGGCCTGCATCTTGTGCTTGCCGCGCTCGAGGAGCAGGCTGCGGATGCTGCCGACGACGAGGCCGACAGTGACGATGCCACCGATGGCGTAGGGGAAGAGGATGGAGCGGCCGGCGTGGGTTTTGGGGGAGAAGTCGGTGCCGAGGCCGACGGTGAGGAGGGTGAAGTCGGCCCAGTAGACGGCGTCGAGATAGAGCCATCCTTCGATTTTAGAAAAGATCAGCGCGCCGACGAGCAGGTACACCATGAACGCGATGGTTTGCAGCATGAGGGTGCGCTGGCTCATGGTCAGGCGGAACTCTTTCGGGTAGTGGTGTCGGATGGCGCCGAAGACGGTCAGGGTCATCAGCATGGAGATGATCATGTACTGGCCGGCCGCCATGATCGCGTAGTAGTATGCCTGGGTCAATGAATGTCGTTCAGGTGGGTCAAACCGGAACACGGAGGTGTTCGCGACCACCACGAGGGCAATGAGCAGGACTCCGGAGATCATCCAGCCGATGATGGTGATGGGTTGGGCGATCGGAAAGGGAAGTCGACGGGCCATGTTGAGGAGAAGGGAGATGTTCGCGATAAGGGCGAAAGCCAGAGATACGGCGTTGATGGCGATGAGCCTGGGAGCATTAGTCGGCCGTCATAGTTGTAGTCGTGTATCATCTGCTCACCATCTTGGATCTTCAATGCGCTCTGCCAAGTTCTCTGTTTTTCCTTCCGGTATGTAGCTCCTCCAGCTCTGTACCAGAGCACATATACTGAATGCGTTCGCTATCGGACCGAACGTGCCGGCAATGAGTGGGATCGCAGTCGATGCGAACCACCACCGACTGCCATATGATTGATATCAGCCGGCGCCCACCGAAAACACCCTCGTTCAAGCGTTCATCATCGGAGTGTTCTTCACGCAGTTCTCCAGATACACACCTGGGGTCCAGAAAGTCCTGCTCCTCCTTCTCCTTCTGCTTCTGCTCGGCAATATATGGGTCGTCCTCCAAATTGTCGGCGGCATTGGAGATAGGCTCATCTACGCCTGGGTCGTTCATGACTGTGGAGGCGCATCTGGTGCATAGGAAATGATCATGGCGTTGTAATTTAAGAGGATAGAAGTTCTACGTTCTACCGTAGAATGGTATTTCGTTATTTCCAGGCCATACCAGACAATCTCCGCGACGATGAGGTTGGAGGTGTTGGCTCTCTCGGACGCCGCATCCCTGTAATCCATGACGTAGTGATGCAACCTTAACCACCTGGTCGGGTCTCGAATATCACAGACAGAGAGCAACGACATGCGTCTTTCAATCCCAACATCGATGCGAATGTCTCATTAATTGCGACCGGTATTCGCTGGCACCCTCTGATTCTCCAGTGCTTTTGCCATAGATGACAAGTTCGAAGCTGGTCCCCAGCCCTAATCTCCAGCCCCGAAATGAGGATCGCCGCACGGACGGAGTAAATGGCACTAGCACGATTGGAGCAAGGCGCCTTAGAACCACCGCTAGTATCCTTTAAGTAAGGCGTTGTTTATGATCCTCTGATTATCAACTTCTTCCTTCGCTCTCCGAGTCGACTTCTTCAAAAACATTGATTTTCGTGACAATTTGCACTCTGGTAGAGGTTTCTTTTGCTAGAGATTAATGCACACCGAGATTTAGAGTTATATGTACCGTTTGGCCCTGCTTTGAATGCTTTGAATTTTAATGCTTTTCGTTCAATGACTTTAGGATCCCCTGCAGCAAGATGGCCGGACCGACAAGCCAGTTGGATGACATAGTGATATGACCCCGCGCAAGACGCCTTGAAGGGGGCCAAAACGCATTGATTAATGAAAAGAGAAGAACATATGGTACTTGGAACACTAAGTCAGGACGCTTGTGCGGGTCTTCCAGATGATGTTCTTGTCCTCCTTTCTAGAGGCTGCCTCCACCCGAATATTCTGTCTCAACAGCACGGAGAAGAGCAGAAAAAGCAACAAAGGACAGGAAGAAAAGTTCAGTATCTTGGAATTGACGCGTTTAGCCCAACTTAAGTCGTTGGGTTTCGTTGAAAGACGCGGGTGTTGTGACTGCGGATCATCGGATATATGCTTTACACTTTGTGTGAGCATAGTCCTCGCGTCAATGAGCCGCACTCATGGATTTTGCAGCCTGATTCATACAGTTGCGAGATAAGACTAAAGGGTAAGGATAGAGTGCTTGTCTGACCGGTCGAATGGGACTTGATCAAGGAGATATTTTCTTAGGGTGTATCAGAGTATACATGGACTTAGACAGTGCAGGATGCCGGAACTGAAGCATCCCAGAGTATCAAGGAGCTGGATAGCCTTAGGCATGTTAGCGAGCGATGTCATCGTCGGCTCACATGACTAGAAGGGCCATATCACTGCTTAGACGGTTCTAGACCGACTGATTTGATCTACTATGCGTTGCTCTGTGGTTATCTTCCACTGGCAGCGGATCTAATAACACATTCTACGTAGCCCCCGGGTAACCAGCAGTAGAGCACATGTCTGTCGAGTTCTCTAAGTTATCAACACGCCGCTTCCTCTTTCCTCTCTTCTATCTTCCTCCACCTCCCACTTCTTTCCTTTTTCTTCTTCTTCTTCCTCCACCACCACCTCTCACTCGTTGCCTCCATCAGATTCCTCTTCCCATCCCCAGTTAGAACAGGAGTTCCTTCTCGGCAAAGTTCACAGTTGATCGATCCAACTTTCAAGCATCTCGACCAACTCTGGGCCATCGTTATTTCCATCCCAAAGGTAGCAACGGATTGCCGCACTCTCGAACTCCAACGCGATTTCTCGCGGTCAACCAGAAAGGTAAGTACTTACTTGGTCAATATTCATCCTTTTGTCGCCATCGGTGCATTCCTCGCTTGGAAAACCTCGCCGCCTTGGTTCCATCAGTCATCGTTCGTTTGTAAACGCACCATCAATTCCACCTTTCACTTTCATTTTAAAACATCAGACCGCATAACCTGCCATCACTTACTCTTCGTTTGTAAATACCGCAACAACCCTCACCTCGTTCATCAACTATTTCTCAGCTTCTCACACGGGTACTAATATTCGCTTCATAGCCTAACATCGCAAGATTCTAGGATTTCCTTGACTTCCTTCACCATGTCGCAGCTTTCAGGCGATGCCCCCTCCGAGAAGACTGGCGAGAAGACCGAGGAGAAGGGGGAGAAGCTTTCTCTTCAAGACCTTGCTGTAGCATGGATGGAGGCCGCTGTTGCGGCCTTGGACAAGAAACAGGCCGAAGACAAGGCCAAGGCCGATGGTGAGGGCTCGGATGATGGGGACTCGGTCTCAGCGGAGCCGGACGTTGGTGTCAAGGTTGACTTCGAGAAGCTCAATAAGGAAGCCGACGCATCCGATGACGACAATGGATGGCAAGACCCTACTGACTACGATTACGAGGCCTATAAGGAAGGTCGTGCTGCCCTTCTCAACCCCCTCGAGTCCGAGCAATCGGAGCGAGCCGAGCGTCGGTGGGCGTCCAGCGCCGTTCGCTACGAGTGGAGCGATGAGTTCGGAGACGTTGGCCCAGCCGATCCAGAAGTCGAGAAAGCGCTTTTCGATAAGCTGTTCATGTTGGGGACCGGAATGAATTTCGACCAGTATTCCTACGAATGCGAAATCAAGGGTCCGTATAATCCGGGCCATATCTCGACTGTAAGTCTCCCTATCGTTGTTTACGGATATCGCCCCGCTAATGTTATCGTCTAGTGGGAAGATTCTGGTATTCACCCTCAAGTCCTTGAGAATGTTGCGCTTTGCAAGTTCAATAAACCCACGCCTGTGCAATCATTCGTTATCCCCGCTGCACTTGCGGGACTCGACGTCGTGGCAATCTCGCAGACTGGTAAGTTTATTGACATAAATCTCCCCGCGCAGCTTGCTTACTTGCGATAGGCACTGGCAAGACGGGTGCATACCTCCTCCCTATCATTTCGCGCTTGATGGGGAAGGCGAAACAGCTCTGTGCGAGGCGAGCTCCCAGTCCAGAGATCAGAGTCAAAGCAGAGCCTCTCGTTCTTGTGATCTGCCCGACCCGTGAGCTTGCGATTCAAGTCTTCAGGGATGCCTGTCGCTTCGCCTATCGCTCCATGCTTCGTCCCTGCGTCGTTTATGGCGGCCAGGGCAATATGATGGATCAGATTCGGAACCTTCAGATGGGATGTGACATCCTCATCGGCACTCCTGGTCGTCTTCGGGACTTTTGCTCCCGCCCTACTCTGATCACTTTGCGCCGTGTGAAGTATGTTATCCGACCTTTCATAACCATCGTCTCACGCTTCGGGGAGAATGCCACTAACCCATCCTCAATCACATAGATACACTGTCGTTGATGAAGCCGATGAACTTCTGGAAGAAGACTGGAACGAGTCCATCGATGACCTCATGCGTGGCGGCGATGTCAACGAAGATGCCGATCACGCTTACCTCATGTTCTCGGCAACATTCCCGCGCCCTGTCCGTCATCTTGCCGGCAAATACATGTCGAAGGATTTCGTTCGTGTCAAGTGTGGTCGGATTGGTAGCGCCACCAATAACGTCTGCCAGCGAATCATCTGGGTGGATAGGGAGAAGAAGGAGCAGTGCCTTCTCGACCTGCTCAACACGCTGCCGGCGACGCGCACCGTGATATTCGTCCGCTCGAAGCGTTCGGCTGACATGTTAGACGACTTCTTGTACCGCAACCAACTCCCTTGCACGTCTATTCACGGCAACAAGACCCAGGCTGAGCGTGAAGATGCGATGTGAGTGCCCGAACTAACTTGCAAGCCTCACCATAACTAATGCTCATATGCAGGTTCAACTTCCGGAAGGCTCGTTGTCCCATTCTTGTTGCAACCGGCATTTCCGCTCGTGGCATCGATGTCGTCAACGTGATGCATGTCATCAACTACGACCTTCCTGCCGCGGACCAAGGTGGTATCAAGGAGTATGTTCATCGCATCGGCCGCACCGCGCGCATGGGCAACATCGGCATGGCCACAAGCTTCTACAACGACAATGACGAGGGCCTCGCAAACGATCTTGTCAAAATCCTGATGGAGAATGGCCAGACGGTCCCGGAATTCCTCGAACAGTACAAGCCTGAAGACGGCAATGTCAACTTTGACTCCGACGAAGAAGGCTCGGTAGATTCCTACAAGGACTTCCATGCGCGCAGCAGCGACAGCGAATCCGGCGATGATTCCGACGCGTCGATGGCTGGATCCGCTAGCGATGGCTCTCGTGCTGGCTCTCCCCCCCCCGCTCCATTCGAGCCGGAGGAGGAGCCTGCTGGGTTCGTACCTGCTGGTGGAGACGACGACTGGTAAATCCTTCCTTCGTCACCATCACCGCGAGTAATCCCCAATCCACTGAAGACCTATCCTGACCTGTCTGCGCGACTACAATCGATGTCTCTGCTTCCCTCGATTACGATTTTCTTAGATTTGCGCTTCCTTAGCTGCCTACCCGTCTCAGACGTTCCATAGCTTGCACGCTTACCTTATTCGCAAGCTCGCCTCACGGCTCTCTCATCGTCATGTCCCCTCGGGTATGAATGATGGACTACAGTCACATTCTTGCTGCGAATTCATCGAGCTTATAAATCGTTCATCCCGTTGTCGTGCCGTCAAGGGACGACTCATCAATGCTTCTCTCAGCGGATCCCAATCCTTTCCAGCTCTCCCCTCTGCCCGTTTTCGTTTTTCATTAGCACTAGCGATCCAGATCTAGCTTGTCACGTTGAAATGGATCGCAGTGCAAAAGCTCGTGCGGTTTCCAGCAGCCCTCACGGCAATTCAGTCCTGGGGAGTGCATCTCATTACGAACGTTCAGCTTCACAATCGACACCGTTCTCGAGTCATCGGCTGGACGTTGTTGCGGACACTCATGTACTAGCTCATTGGAGTCCCTTATACCCAAAGAGTTCCTTTAAAAAAAAAATTAAAAAAAACAATCCAAAGGTGGTGGTGGAGGCTTCTTAGCAATTGGTTCAAATGGGACAACCTCACGGTTGATGGATGTTGGTTTTGGCCTGTCGGTTACTGGACATGGTCATACAAAGAGAGAAGGACGACAGAGCATCTTTATTCTTGTGTTAATAGGTTATGGTGTTGCAGACAGGCAGAATAGGCAATAAATCTTCAAATAATTGGGTGTGCGGCTGTGATGTTTGTGATTATCTATTCACTGAATTCAGTGTTATTTGACATGATAATATGCGTATCCGACTCTAACCTGGATTTGGCATTGATCATTTTCTTTGAAGGCCCGGACTCGCTTCATATCATTTCCTTTTTGCCATATTTCCTCAACAGCTTTTTCATTATCGAAACCGCACCGCTGCGGTACGATCCACCAAACAGCGCATTATGGTTGAGGTGATGGTACCTATTTTCGATCAATCTCCGCGTCCTCGCAAACACTGGCAACACATCGCAAACTTACAGCTCATACAACTCCACCCGGTCCTCATACTCCTCCACCGGCTCCGTCTTCTCCACCACCGCCCAATACTCCTCCCAAAACCCCGCCCCAAACCCCCCAAACATCTTCATGATCCCATGATCGAACTCACCATGCGCATACGCCGCCGACGGATCATACGCCACCTCATGCACCTCCCCCTCCTCAAACTCTCCCTTTCCCCCCTCCCCCCTTTCAACCCGCCCCCTCCCCCAATTCCCACTCCACAAATCCCCATGCACCACCACCGGCACTACCCCCTCCCCCCCATTCAAATGCCCATCCCCAATCAACCTCCCACATACCTCCCTCTGCGTCCGCTCCACTAGCGCCCTTAGTTCCGCGTCCGCACCATTGTTCTCCTCGCACGCGCGTAGGATGGCGCCGAGGCGCCGCTCGCGGAAGAACGACTCCCAGCTGGGGTCCCAGGCGTTGTCTTGCGCGGTATCGCCGCAGTAAGTGGGGCGGGAGAAGCCGAAGCGCGGGGGGTTGGGGGCTGGGGTGGAGTGCAGGCGGGCGAGCTTGGTGGCGAGGGAGGGGGTGGCAGGGGAGCGGGGGGCGGAGGAGAGGGTGAGGAAGGAGGTGAGGAGGAAGTGGGTGGTGGGGGAGGAGGAAAGAGTACCGAGGGCGTGGGGGCGGGGGACGAGGGTGGGAGAGGCGGTGGAGAGGGCGAGGAGGGAGGCGTGTTCGCCTTTGGGGGTTAGTGGATGGAGATATGAGAGATGGGGGTGAGCGGACCTTCGAGCATCGCGCGACCTTTCGAGCCTTGCGCGCTCTTCATGAACCAACTGCGTGTTCGGCCGTCGGAGAAGGTGGTCGTTATTTTAGCGTTGCTGGCGCTGCTGCACCCGCCACCCCCTGCACTACTGAGGGTGGTGTGGGCTGGGTCAACGCCTAGGCCTTCGGCGATGGCGGGGTCGAGCTTCATTTTGGGCTGTGAGGAATGGGGATGGTGCAAATAGGTTTTGGTGAAGGGGTGTTTGAGGAATGATGGATTTTGTATCAAGAAGTATTATGATCAATCAAACATCATCGGGCTTCAGTTGGGAATGCTTCCCCTCAGCTGCTGCATCTGATACAGCAGAGCGATGACGTAATGACCTCAGGGCAGCATGAAAATAAGGTGCCTTAATTTATAGGCCAGAATATCTTGTTGCCTGACGGACTATCCAATCACCCTCTGAGGGGGACGAAATTGAGTTACCTTTCTTGGCATTCCCCTATGCACAGTTCCCACGATCTTAACCAGAACGCAGCGGAGAATTCGCCAAAACGGACCTCTAGTAGTTGCTTAGTTAGGAAAAGAGTATACTTTTTGGTATTATGCTGTTTTTGAGCGAATTGGGCCTGCCTGTGATGGTGGTGATGGTTGGGGAATGCCAAGAGACGTAACTCAATTTCGTCCCTCCCAGAGGCACAATCACTTGTCAAAACAACGTCTAGTGTGTCGAAGTTGGAGGTTCGTGATGAAACACTTTGTCGCAGGCGAAAGGATTAGATCTAGGAGCCTAAGGCTACAAACTGCATTAATAATCTTGCCATGAGTCTCGTATATCTGCAGGGCCAGGGAACCGGGCATTCACATAGAACACACAACTTACAGATAGAATCTGAGGACCTGCGAAATTGCCGCCGAAAAGGGCGGTTTGTGACGCTGTTTTTGGCGGCATTTCCACACGACCTGGTCACGAAAATCTTTCCTTCTCCCCAAACACCCCTGGATAACACAGACGTGGGCTCTTCGGACGGCGAGAACGAAGACCATGACTCGGACCCTCCGCCTCCCGAATACGTGTTTCAGGGGCGTGCACGTCTTGTAGATGCCTTCTACGGGCCGGACGCTGACACGCTTGATGGCGAACAGAGAATCGGCCGACGGATCCAGGTCACAAAGGACATGATAGCACTTTGGGGGCTTTGGGAGCCGAACCGCCGAGGGAAGAGGTTCGACTGGAACAAGGATACCGAAGACATCGTTGTCGACATTATTGAGAAAAAGCAGGAGCAGGGCTCCAGTCCATGTCTCAACGAAATGAAATGTCCGACTGGTGTTTGCATCATATGCCCAAAATTGCATACTATGGTAGACGCAAGTTCCGGGGTATGGATTCGTTGAGACTTGAGACGTCACCTAATAAATCAACACCTGAGTCATCTGCCTGAAGGGGTTCCTCTCTCCTGCACATGGAACACGTGCGGAAGCAGTTCTGCCTTCATCGACATTGGAGCCTTCCTGATCCATATTGCCACGGTCCACGATTACGACGTAAAGATTGGACCCTATTACTTTGAGCGTTTCTATCGCACGCGGAGCCCCAGTATCCTGTCCATCAAGTCGAAATCTCAGCCGTCGACCGCGATCCTGGCATTCGATAAATCCGAATATCCCTCTTAAACTAAAAGAAATTCTCCCGTAGACCGCTTCTCCCAAAGAACAGAATGAGCTAGTTTACGAAATTGCTGCTAACACAACTCCCAATTCGTTATATCACTAGTCCAAAAGATGGGAAATGCTGTTTGAGTGATAAAATATTGAACGGATTCCATGGTCAAATTGGTTTTCTAAGTCTATACTATGGAGTGCTGGCCAACGACAAGCGTAAATCGTTTTACATCCTTCTTTACCCTGTGTTTATTAAGTTCTGTTTGCCAGATGTTTATAGATATCACAGGGGAACATGGAAGAAGCGGAGAAAATTCTACTAGTACCCCGAATCTGCCAAAGTCAACGCAAAATATAGTCTAGCGAACAAAGAATAATGTGTTCTTCGCGTTTCCTATGTGTATCTCGTCCTTTATCCTCGCAGGCATAAATACCTTTCTCCTTGGCCAGTCGAATCATGTCAACTTCTACATCGAAAATCTAAAATTGTCTTCTTCATCCAACTCTAACTAGGGCGTTAGCTACTACAAAGACACCAGTCTAGTCCAGCTTGAAGCACCGCCGTTTCCTGTCAGTATGAGCTGCTCTCCGATACTAGTGTCCGAAGCCACATCTTCAGTCTTGAGTGAGAACCATAGTACGGACGATGCTATTGTTGCTCCGCCATTGGATGAGCTTCAGAGCAAAGAACAAGGAGAGCTCATTGACCTTGTAGTCCGGCTCCGTCGCGCGGGTCTGAGCTCAGTGCTACAACTTCCGCAGATTGTGGTTTGCGGTGATCAGTCTTCTGGCAAAAGCTCAGTCCTTGAAGCGGTAACCGAGATACCATTTCCACGCAAAGAGAATCTTTGTACTCGCTTTGCCACCGAGATCAGTATGAGGACTGATTCGAACTCAACGATATCTTGTAAAATCAATCCTCATGACGATGACCGCTCAGAGGACGCGAAGGATAGACTACGAGCATTCGCACGGACCATCGTGAATATAGGTCAATTGCCGACAATCATCGATGAAGCTACCAAGTTGATGGGCCTAGACGAGCGACATGCGTTCTCCAGGGACGTACTTAAGATCGAAATCTGCGGTCCCACTCGTCCACAGTTGTAAGTATTCCTGCGTCCACCTTTGCTTCCACAGCTCCGACTTACAGACAGTCAGGACTCTAGTGGATCTCCCTGGTCTAATCCATTCCGCGAATAAGTCGCAATCCGATGAAGATGTCCAGCTCATCAAGAGCTTGGTTGATGAATTTATCTCAGAAGAACGCACGATCATTCTGGCCGTCATCTCGGCGAAGAACGACTACGCCAATCAAGTGATTCTCGATCGGTGCCAGAAAGTTGATCCTTCTGGAGCTCGCACCCTGGGTGTCATAACCAAACCGGACTTTCTGCGCCCCGGATCAGAAAACCAGAAGAAATGGCTCAATCTTGCCCAAAATCAGGACATTTACTTCAAGTTGGGCTGGCATATGCTCCGGAATCGTGATGATGACCAGCACGCTTTCAGTGCCGATGAACGGGACATGCAGGAGACCATCTTCTTCGACGCGGGGAACTACCGCATGATCCCAACCCAAAACAAGGGCATTGTCTCCTTTCGTCAGAGGCTTAGTACCCTTCTCTATCAACACTTGCGGGATCAGCTGCCAGGACTCAAACATGAGCTCGACGAGCTGGCAACGCAGACTTTGGAAAAGCTCGAATCCTTGGGCAAGAGTCGTAGTACCCTGCCAGATCGGAAATTCTACCTGATGGAGATGTTCACGAACGGCCGAAACCTTCTCGATATGGGCGTGCGAGGGATGTACGAGAGTACCTTTTTCGAAACGGCATCTCAATCTCCCAGAACGAAGAAGGGAAAAAAAAGTCATGTCTGGAACGAGCGAAAGCTGAGGTCCATGGTTCAGAACACGAACATATATTTCGCGAAGAGCATGCATGAGAACGGCCATAAGTTTCGAATCCTAGATGATGGTGCAGAAACTGATGGCGATGAGGCGAGCGGAGACATCAAAACTCATTCACAGGCGATTTCCTGGGTTTTGAAGACCTTGAAAGAAGGTCGTGGACGCGAGCTTCCCGGAACTTTCAACCCAATGCTGGTTTGGCAGCTCTTTTGGAAGCAGTCCGAAACGTGGGAGCAGCAAGCGAAGGCTCACGTCATCCATATATCGGAGGTGTGCATGCATTTTGTGCATTTAGTCCTGGATCACGTTGCGGCCTCGGATGTGAAAAGAAAAATTCTTGACAAGAGCATCAATCCAGCTCTAGTCAATTCCCGTGATGCAGCCTTAAGCGAACTCAAAAAAGTCGTGGATGATAAGAATCGGCATCCCATCACGTATAACCACTACTTCACCGACACGCTGCAAAAGCGCCGGCAAGAGCGTCTCACTAAACGGCTCACAGAGAACATTGAGAACGCCACTGTCTCTGTCACGGAAAAGACGTTTATGGCTGGTCCTGGGTATGAGGAGAGGTCATACATCAATCCAGCCGTGCTGAAATCGGCTTTGCAAGAGACGACCAAGCCGGATATGGACGAAGTTTCAGCGGAGGAGGCACTCGATGCCATGAAGGCTTATTACAAGGTATGATGCCTCCCCTTTTACCTCTACTTTCCTAATCCTTTTAATCATTGCATGCTAAGTGAAAATAGGATGAACTTAAGTATTTCATCAATGCTATTACGAAGCAAGTGATCGAAAGACACCTTGTCGCACCTCTTGCCGAGATCATGTCCCCGGTAGTCATCGTCACATTCACAGATAAAGAGATCATGCAGATTACGGAGGAGCCAAAGGACATCGCATCGCTTCGTGAGCATTTGCAGTCTAAAATGTCAATACTCACTGAAGGGCAGGAGGCATTCCGGCAGACAATGTGGGAATTTTAAGGGAAGAGTACAAGGGGACCCGTACAACATAATAAATAAACAGTAACTTAGAAGGTTTCAATAATAACTCCGTAAACACTCAACTAATATAGAACTACCAATACAACGGATTGACAGGGGTAATACAAGGCTCTAAAAGTGCATGGAAATAGAACAGGCTTCTTTGCCTAGTGCCCGTTTAGCAGTAGCAAAGTTGTATTGTGTAAGTTGTGTCGTTCTATGTGGATGCCCGGTTCCCTGGCCATGCAGATATACGAGACTCATGGCAAGATTATTAATGCAGTTTGTAGCCTTAAGCTCCTAGAGCTGAAGCCTTGGTCTGCGACAATATCTTTCAACTTTTTAACATAATTTCCCCAGACGTTATATGAAGACTTGTCTTGTATCCGCCTTACCGAAGGGGCTAAGGTGATGATGTAATCAAGCAAGTCGTAATCTAACGTCTGGCATTGCGAGATAAGATCCGGCCGTGTTCTCTGACCCCGAGGTGTTCCGACCGAAGCGAATGCTCGGGGCCGCGTACGGAAGGATTCCTGAAAGGGTTGAGGAATGATTCGGGAAGTCATACGCTTGGCAGTGGTTGGTAGTGAGTAGTGACATTGGTCACAATTCTGAGAGACGTCGTCGATACCAACATCGCGGATCCTGGCCTTCACCTGAATTGGATGGCGCGTTTAGTCTGAAACCGGTGGCTTCTTTTCCGTGGCTTCCCCAAGAGCAAGGGTACCTCGATTGACCTAAATGCGCTGTACCTGGTTTCAAAAGATGATCACTGGTGGCTGAATAAGTGCGACCAACCGTCTGGAAGTCTAAATTGTATGGATGACCTCTGATTTCAGCAATAGGCAAGCGGTTTTCTTTGGTTCATAGGTAATATGAAGGTCAAGAGGACTTAATCTAAGGATATTTTATAGAACGAGACCAACATGCGCCATGCTTACAAGGACTGTACACACAAGTGAAGGCATCTTTGAAAACAACTTTCCAAGACTGAAAGCGCCGCATTCCCATTCGTTGCAACTGTGTATAAAGGTAATGGACTGGACAGTTTTGATGCCAGGTTCGACTGGGTTCGAAAGGATGAACGAGACTGGATAGCCAGAACAACGAGCGAGGAGTGAGTGGAGTATTACGCGAAACTGCTCGATTCAGGTTCGTCGGCAAACTATATCATCTGTCAGAAATGACCATCTTTGCTTACAAAGGGAGGTAAGTAAGAACGTATCTCAACTACTTACATGCCAGGTATCAATCCTCAGTACTAATTCTTCCGCGGTTACGGAGATAGGTGTCAAAACTCCAATAGTAATGATTTCGTTCAACCAGTAATATTTCTCCGACCCGGTCTCGAATTGGACCCGTAAGTGCAAATTGCTGCCTATTGTGGGCCCGCTGGTCCGGAGGAAAATGACAGCACCGTCGTCCGTGACAACATTATATCTCGTGTCTGCACTGAAGACGCCAGTTAGAGGATCCACCATGCCCCAGTCCGCGCCCACGTCTGCGATGTTTCCGTTGATAAGGGGTCCGGTCACATTGCCGCCGACGATGGGGATTGTCTTCCGAATGCCAGCGGGGCCGGGTCCTTGGCCGGCGGCGATATCGGGGGTACACAGGACGAATGCCGTGTATAAGAATTTCAATCCTGGTGCCGCGGGTGTCACAACAGCAGGAGGAACAGAATCCTGTGCGGATACAAGCTGGCTGGAGAGGAGCGAAAGCGCCGAAACGACGAGAGTAAGCGGAAGCATGGTGAGCGATGAACGGCCGAAAAGACTCGAATTGGATAATAGTAACGAATGTTGACTCTGAAGCTTAAGAGAGAGCGAGGCGTGGGCGGTTTATACTTAAACAGATGACTGACCTTCAGCACCAATTTCCTGGCCAGGTCCTGCCGAAAGCTTTCCTGGAACCGGGAATCCGGATCTATATGGTGCTATTATCTCACCGTCAACGGTGTCCAATCGCCTTGGCAGACTCAAATTGGACGTAGTCTTAGGCTCGAGTCTGGATTGTTGACCTGATTTTGGGTAGTTGACCGCTCTATTGGTCGGTGTTAGAGCGGTTCGACGAATCTGAATAAAAGCGAGAATGATGCACCCTATCTATCCGTGCCTCGTGGACTTACCTATGACGGGTATCGACTAATTATCGAGATTACTACGGAATATGGAGTACGTATTCGAGAATCGACATGTGGCTCCTGCGGATATGGAAAAGAAATAGAGCTTTCTATGGCATCCAGTGGGGTAGTGACACTAGGTACTATACTACTATTGGACCAAGCAGATTATAAGCACCGTTGGATTGTGGATCGGGGCCGACGACTACTGTTAGCAATGGTACCTACCGTGGATGGCAAGGATGCGCCTGGCGAGATTGCTGAGAGTCGAATCATTGCGGTCGTCTAGGAGATAGTCCCTTCGACTTACTTCCCTGCTCAGTACTGTCTCAATGCAACCATCGATTTATGCTATTGATGCTGTGCTCCTTGGAGAAAAGTGAGTCTGTAACATCAGTATCTTGCTGATGATTCGAACTGAAGCACACTATAATAAGCCCAAGGAAAAATGGTCTTCGCTAGTCGTGATCGAAACTGATCAGGCAATCCTGCATTAATCGTCGATCTCTTAAAACTCCGAGTTAAAAGAAAAGCTATTGGGATAGGAGTCCGTGACAGGCCGTGATAGCGGGGACGGAGTTAATAATATATGATGAGCCGATGAGGCCATGCCGCCTGCCGGGCATGACGGACTGGATGAAGGTATTGCGCATTTGCGCGTCTGCATCGCGAATCTCAACTAGTGGGGCTAACCCACATCCTCATGATGGTAATCAGCAATTCAGCATAACAGAGATTCCATCTTCACTTTTGCTTCAGATCTTCAAACATTTCTCCCTTTTCAATTAGTGTGCCAACCAGACCTGAGAAGTGAGAAAAATACAGTAATCAAGAATCCCGGATATCGAGGACTCGACGTTGCAAGGTTGAAGCCTGAAGACCATCTGGCCCGTGATTCAGGGGCAACGCCACGGTGGAAGTTAAACGCGGTTAGGGCGTTACTAGGCCAAAATGGCTCACTTCTAACTTTCTAAGATCCAACGCGAATTCATGATTGTCAGACATCGAGACAAGACTCAAAGAGTGAAGAGATATGATTATTCGTCCCCGACCAATGGCCATCAATTGATTGTGCCAGGGACTGGTTCATTTGAGGTCTAAATAGCCAATTAGCTATCCGTAACGGTCTTACAGTTACTCAATCGTTGGAGAACTGAGAACACATTGTGAAGCGGAATTACGTGCCAACGACCCTTGTGTTTCTTAGCGAGATAAAGTTCAGTCTTGGCAACGCCACTCACACCACTTAAAGGTAGTAGAAGCTTTTCGAATTCTTAGGTTGAATCTTCGGTTTGACTTGTTTGTTGTTAACTAGCTGCTACCTACATACTGGCATTGGGGAATCCCCTTCGCTGGTGTTCGTTTGGCCGGGGGTTTGACAAGGGTTAAGGGGAATCGCGCAATGACCAGAGCCTCTATGTCCGGGGTTGGACATTGTCCGCGGAGGAAGCGTCAGTCTAGCTAAATATAGATTAAACCGAACGCTGACGGTCTACCGACAAAGGGAACCTGGGGCACCAATCCCTTCCCCGGCACATCCCTTTTGTTCATGTACCCAGTCCCCTTCTTAACCTTCTCGATAAAAGCGCAGCAGATCAATACCAGTTAATCGAATGCTGCTTCTTGCTGATTGTTTGAAACCAGAGGATTAGTTACTATCCATATTCCATAATAATTGCAGTAACTCACTGGGCTGCTTCCACGACAGTGGTAGGTTATCAATCCATATGAGCTTGGAGTGGGCTGATCCGTTCCTAATTCAGCATCGGTTATGTAACTCTGTTCCTTGACTCGATCTTCACATCTGTTGGGAACTTGGGACTTCTCAGAGTTCTTTTTTTCTGTCTCCCTGTCTCCCCGAGTCCTCGTTGCCGGGCTGTCGGCACCCTCCGGCTTCACTCTTAGGAACAGCCACTTCCACATCAACCCGACCCAAATCTTGATACGACTAACGACATACTAATGTGTCCGCGTACACGCTAGCGAGCAACGACTTTGCTATCTTCGCTGCTATCCAGGCTTCAAGTAGCCTGGACCCTGGAATCATGGAGGTCCCTGGAATCTTGAATGTATCATGCAGACCTCAAGCACATTCTCCTGTTCTCCAACTCCTCGCGAATCCGAGATCAGGAGGTAAAGATGGGATGACTTGACCACGTTCCAAGTTCCGCTAACCTGGTTGTCCATAAGTTCCCCTTGAATTGATCTATTATTGGTCTCTCTGAGACGGGATAGAAGGAATCACGCCACGATTGACCAAGACATTTCTAATTCGCTTAAGTTATTATAAACGGACTACAGGCTGTGGAATTCAGAACGGCTGGTGTTTCGCCTATTCGTTAGTACAGGCCCTGGTCACGAACGGGCTGGCACCCCCCCCCCCCCCCTGTTTCTTCTATCAACTCAACCTCCATTGTATGGCACAGGCTAGGGGGGGGGGGTGCCAGCCCGTTCGTGACCAGGGCCTGTATGGCAATTGGTAACGCCATTCGCATCCACAATGCGGCCAGCATTCGAGCTTTAAGGTTATAGCACGAGAAGCCGGAGCTTAAGCCACCTATCGAGCTAACTTTCTGTTTCCTATTCTCTCATTGACTCGCGTCTTGATGGCTGATTGGATTGAGTCTCGGTCTGGACTTTGGCGAAATATGAGTTGCCACTGCGGCTGCTGCTCCTCCAATAATCTCCAAGGTCTTCTTATCCCCCATCCAAGGTGCAGTTTACAAAACCATTGTGGCTTATTTCGCCCATCCATGGGGTAGAAGCCATAGAAGTTAGAACCTCGTAATTTGCGTAGGGCAGGGTTTTGCGCTTTGCAGGCTTCCATAATTTCATCTTCCCGCCTTTTGTGGGGTTTGATAGTTCTTGAGTCGTCTTGACCACTGATCAAGGACGAACATGATGTGGTGCTCAACATTTAGGAAACGATCGGAGAGTTGGTTCGAAGTCTATAACTATAGACTGGCTTTCCAGAGTTTCCACGCTGTCCGATTTTCCAACTCCAGTGCGCGTTTCTGTCTTGCATGGCCGATTGATCACTGATCATCTACTCCCTATCTCGAGTCAGAGACTCACAAGTCACATGCAAGTCACTGTCAAAAGTATATCAAGATGCCGGATGATTTCTTCAACTCTTTTGATCCGCGAGCGACAAGTCGAGAGGATGAGACAAAAGCTCCCATGATAATCGCGGCTCACACGAGCATGCTGGCTATCGCTCTTATTTTGTACATCTGCCGCATGGTCTCCAGGTCGCGACCAACTTTCAAGCTTAGCTGGGATGATTATCTGATCACTATCGCGGTGGTAAGCTTCAGTTTAGACACAGTATTTTGCAGAAATAGGACTAACGACGTCCGAAGGGCTTTGTTATAACAAACTACTCGATCACAATATATAGTACCTCACTTGGCTATGGACGACATATCGAATTCCTCGAGCCCGCTGATGCGCCTTTATACATCAAGTTGACGTGGGCCAATCAGATCATTTGGTCATGGGGAGTGATGTTCATCAAGCTCTCCGTTGCAGCAATGCTTCTTCGGATTCAAAGGGATATTCTTTGGAGAGTCGGCATGGGTGCATGCATCGTATACCTCATCGTATCTGCCATCGTCACGATGGCCTTACAGATGACTGAGTGCACACCAATAGAGTACTATTGGAACAAAACGACCATCCAAGGAACTTGCCGGACTCGAGAGGACGTATTCAGAGCAGTCTTGGCGACATCGATTGCCTTAATATTATCCGACGTCGTGTTTGCACTCCTCCCTCTTACCTTCATCTTTTCACTCCGCCGCCCTCTACGAGACAAGCTAGTCCTCACCTTTCTCATGGGTCTGGGGCTACTCTGTACGGCTATTGGCACCCGGAAACTGTTCTACGCCAAGGAGTTCCAAAGAGTGAATGAGAAAGATACGTCATGGTCCTCGGTCGAGATGAGAGTGTGGGCTTACGCCGAATCATACGTCGGCATTATGGCCGCCTGCATCCCCTGCCTTCGTGCGATGTTCGAGAGCGGACTTAAGAAGATCGGCATATCCCTGACGTCAACGTCCCAGACGGAAGCGCGAAGCAACACTCGGAGGACAGCACCGTCCGGACGGTTCGCCCATGGAGACTTCGAGATGATCTCGAGCACAGCGCATGTGTCGAGACATAATGACCGGCATTCGATAGATAAGCCTGGCAAAGACTGGGATAGGACATCGATCCCCGAGAGCGAGGAGGCGATTGTGCCGCACCATGGTATTGTCAGGAAGACTGATTTCACAGTCAGGACAGAACAGCGGGGGCGGTGGTAATGGAACATTGCTCGAGTCCCTATATATTAGCGTCGTCGTATATTCAATGCACTTGCAGCGAACGCAAACCAAGCCCTGAAAGAAGTGGTTGAGGAGTACTAAAATAAGCCCAACATAAACTTCAAGATCGGGTGGTCGGACTATCGCCGATTCGTTAGGTAAATATTTCCATCCCAACGAGTTGGGATACGCAACGATGGCAAGCGTTGCCATCGCAACTGCGATCTCATTACAAAGCGAAGCTCTCAACCAGGCCAATCCATACTGCACTCTATCCAAGGCCCTTGTGTGCTAGAGCAAGAAAGGTTCCAGGTCCTACGCCAGCGTGGACCGCATGGACGACAATTATCAGAACTTCTGCAACCATAGGGTGACGCCATCGGACCTGCTAGGTTGGGCTGCTAGATACACGTACCATCCAAGTACACCGGATGAACATGAATTCGTACTCAAGGTCAGTGGCGCGGCAGCCACGTTTAACAGGCTAGAGTGTGTCAATGCATTCAAGCGCATCATCCATTCATCCATAGTTGCGATGGCGATGTTCCAATCAATCCATTGAATTAGAAGTTTGGCGGTGCGTATGTTGAGCGCTTGTATAGCTACGAAATCCACATCAAATGGTCGAACCGCTTTTGACCCCCCATCACTGAGAAGCATGGCTACTGTGAGGGATGGTACAAGGTTGCATTCGGCAATTACAAGATGAAAGGGCGTGGGTAGGCGGTATATGACTATGGTCAGGATCCATAGTTGAAGTACGCGAGAGGATGCGTGGGCGGTGGCATCTCGGCCTAGAAGTTCTGGTATTATGACCGGCCAGATGAGGATGGAAATGAATGGAACGCGTCGTTCAATACGCCAATCTGGGTCAGAGCGCGATGTTTTGATAACAATAAGGTCCAAATCACGTCTGGGGGCTTTACAGGCGGCTGCATTGGGAACGATTGAGGTTCGAAGAGCGTCTCGACGCGTGGGAGTCCTGATGTGAGATAGTGTTGGACTGTCGAGTCCAATAAGCGGATAGATTTTGAGATAATTGGTTATATTTGTCGTCAGTAGGATGTGAAATCGAAAATATAGTGATGCTGTATTCATTTATATTCCGGAGACAGGTATTGATAAAGCATGAGTATAGAGGTTTTGATGCTGGCAGTAGGAGACAAGAGGTGAAAGTCGGGAAATGGACAACCGCATCTCATCTTGCGCGTGGGGTGATGTTCAGATCCAAAAGAAACCTACAGGGGTATCTTTGCTCATTAGCAAGATCGATCAGATTAGATTGTGTGGCGTAGATCACCAGCCACTGTCCCCACCGAAAATTTCGCAATATATATCATTATCACCACATTTTGCAAGGCACAATCGCTTAACTAGTATTCTGAGCATTTGCTATTTTCGGAGTTCCTAGATTGCTGGGTACAGGCGAGAAAGATTGGGTTACTTGTTTTTGCGGGCTGGAGCCGTCCACAACGTGGATGAGTAGGAACTCATGTGACGTAAGACGTCAAACTAGGGACGCGGATAACCTGTGTGACCTCTGACAATTTCCTACACAACGCAAGCATCTCACTTCCTCCCTCGGATAACCTATTGCTTCCGTGATTGATTGATACGTCTGAAAACAATCATAATTATCGCATTTGAAAGAAAGTGCAGTATTAGGGGATCGTGGAGTTTGGGTAAACCTACGAAGTTAGCGATAGTAATGGACTGGAGTAGTCCAACACCCATCGACGCTTTCGATGGACGCAGTGTGGACGAGTAGCATGGTGATGGAAACGGGACGAGTTGACCCAGTTCAGGTACCTGCGGTATTACTGCTAAATTTGGGCATGGCAATGCCAAGGCGCTACCCCCCATTGTTTCCAATCTGGCAAGGCATGCACATGTGCTTTAATTATTCAAAACTACGGTTACCAACACCATGATATTAAACAAGCGACGATCCGTCGACTGTATCGTACGTGGCGGCACCCTCTTTTCCAGAGTCTGGCCCTTATGACTGGCCGCGGACATTGTCATCACCGGGCCTACCAAGACGCAAGTCCATGAATTCACGTTTCCGATGACTCGAGCAGCAGCAAAACTCCTTTTATCAGCAGGAACATCCGAACTATCCTGACTGATCTTGGACTCCCCCAAGAGGTGTTGATAAATCCCGCCAACGCTGAACTATCATTCGTCGCCTTGACACCTTTGATCTTCTGCCCTGTACATTCATACACCGTTCGTGAGAGAGCTTCTTCGCACATATCCCGCAAGGCTGTGTTAGTAGCTTGCTGGTTCTTAAGCTCTTGAATAAGTCCCTGTCTGCTCAGCTCGGATTCCTCGTTCAGCTCAATGCTTCCACCAACTGTGAGTTGTTGCAGACTTCGTTCAATCTCAATCGTTCCCTTGCCTGCTCTATTAGCCATCCCCTTGCCCGCTCTAGCTACTGCCTGAGACGCGGGCTCAGCAGGCTAGGCAAGATGAGCAGGGTTTTTTGAGATCCTTCGGGATCGCCGGGTGTCAGATAGATTTCCAACTCACCAACTGCTTCCGGAAAGCCAAGGAGCTAAAAGAGGGAAGCGTAACATGCGTGTGCCTCTCGCTATCTCACCGTCTCGCCTTCTCGCCCTCTCGTGGCCCTCCTTGAGCATGCACGCGACCGTCACTGCTAGCCTCGCCTTGCCTTGCTTTTCCTACCCCGCTTCTAGACCGGCTTAGCCCACGAGTCCGGCAATGCCACGTAGGCAGCAAAGCGACGAAATGATACAGGGATCTAGGATCTTTATAAGCCGTGGTCCTTGTTACCGACTTCTATGACTCGGATTGAGGATGACGGTGGACTAAGGCGCTGGAGTCGGCGTGGCCGAACGGGATTAACGGCCCCTAATGCCAGGGGCTGTGTGGGCCACTCCGAGCTCGCGAGCAGGATATGAGCGAGACGGCCGGCCACCTACTGGACTTGGGCAGGAGCGTGGAGAGGGGGGGAGGTTAGATTCGGATTCGAGGAGATAGTTAGTCTTACTCTCGAGAGGGAGGGAAACGGTCCAGGGAAACGGGAGGCATGCCTGGGAATCCAGGCAGAGGAGCTCCTCGAGAATGAAATGGCCAGCAGAAGAGACCGCAGCGCCGTGTGGACAGTGTGTCATACTTGGGACGGCGAACAGGAGGGAGCGCGGCGGCAAGTGAATGCAGCGAAACCAGAGACACCGGGAGCAGAGAGCAAGCGAGGGATGAAGAGCGGTCATGGATTCTCGATCGCCGCAGTAGTTGGGGGTTTTCGTGAAGGAGGGGGAGGGAGATGAAGGAGAAGACAGAGTGATGAAATAAAACGGCAGAAGAAGGAATGATGGGATGCGCGTTTTATATGTGAGGTCGAAGCAGGCGGACCAGGCAGAGTAGGCGGGAAATCTTCGGATAATGGGCATCGACCAATGAGCGTGCGTGGGAGATAAGCCGGACATTCTAGTGGTCGACCTGCCATTGTCTCTTTTACTGAATAACTAACTAAGTTAGTTAACTTAACGTATTCCACAAGCGAGTGGCCCATACAAGCGAGTGGCCCAGCTCATTTTACTAGTAAATTCGATAAAATTCGATATCAATATCTCAACAACCACTGGGTAATATAGTCTGAAAACTTAGAATTAGGTTTTCCTATCGATTTCTAGCTTATTATTAGAATCTTAGAGCTTTATCTTTTATAGTTATAAAGATATAGAGATTTGGTCTCTAAATCTTGCCAAGAAGTAGGTATCTCTATACCTGTAAAAGCTAGGGCTTTAATATTTCAATAGTAAGCTAGAAATGGCTAGGAAAACCTAACTCTAAGTTTTCAGACTATATTATCCAGTGGTTGTTGAGATATTGATATCGAATTTTATCGAATTTACTAGTAAAATGAGCTGGGCCACTCGCTTGTATGGGCCACTCGCTTGTGGAATACGTTATCAGTATCGTGAGGTGCGGTAGTTAAATAGCAACACTGGTAAGAAATTTGAATTCGCCCAAGCAGGCTGGCGAACTAGCAAGTATTCAGTCAAGTATTCAGTCAATGTTTACTATACCTCGAGCCTTCATAATATCGAACACTTTGTTGCTAGCAGTCTGGGACGACTGCATTCTACTCAAGAGAACAACGGTTATGTGTGACGTAAACCGAATTTCATCCCAGCAATCCAAGTGGTGGTAGCTGAACAAAACGACAAATCGATCCCTTTTCCGTAGACTGAGCGTGGCTCAAGCACCTTTCTAACCACTGGATTCCATCCACTGAAAGCGTGAACTGATGCTTTTCGCAAATTCATAGACGGCGCTCGGCTTCCGACCCATCCTCTCCCCACAGTCCGAAACTAGATGCCCAAACGCCTTCATCTGCATCAGCATCGTGTCGTCCCCATAATGCGCATTCACCGCGTCGACATCAATGGGTCGCTTCAGATTGGTCCACCCGTCCTTCCTCCCCAACCACTCGCCGTCGTAGATCCTCTTTATATTCCAGAACGGGGGAAACATCATTCGTTTATTCTCGAAGAAGTGGAGAAAGCGGACGAAGCCGTCGAAGCTGGGATTTCCATTGCCGCCGAGTCCGGCGTGTCGTGCCCCGGCGGGGTTTTCTTGCAGCTGCACGCGGTAGGTGTCGATGAGGAGCTTGTCGACGTCCCGGTCAGGACGGTGGTAGAGCCAGGTGCCGAAGAGGATGTGGTGGAATGGCCCTTCGATCGGCATGAACGGCGCTTCCGCCTCGGTCGGCATGAACGGAGCTTCCGCCGTCGGCACGAACGGTGCGTCCACCTCGATCGACATGAACGGTGCGTCCGCCTCGGTCAGCTTTTCGGTGTTGGCCGAGGGACTTCCCTTCAAATAGGATAGGATGTCGGTGTCCATAATGCAGTCGATCACCGCGTCGAGACGCTGGGGGTTCAGGGTCCTAGCCGTGGAGACGGTGGAACGAAACTTAGTCGAAAGCAAAGAGGGGGCCACCAGGTCATCACTGTAGCTCGAGTATCCGTCCTCGTCACCTTCCTCGACATCTTTCGGCTCTTGTTTGCCGGGAGCATTGATTAGGCCTTTCGTGGAAAAGGTTGAGTCCCGTCCATGGAGGAATACGTCGAACTTGACGCATGTGACGCATTTGCAGCTTTGGAGGATGGGTTTTGCCATAGCCGTGGAGCTAGGAATGGTCAGCTTTCAGTCTGTTTGAAAAGAACAGAGAGCGTGTTCATGTTAGAAAATGAGAACTATGCTAGGACTACGGGAAAACACACCTGTTTACCGTGTCGATGGCTGTGATCTCTTGCAGGAAAGGATGTGATCTTCAGGAATCAGCTAGAGGCCTTCTATGCCCTCCTCATGACATGCAAGCAATAAGCGCAAGGGCTATCATAACAAGAAGTAGCAGGGACGGAGCTGTGTGAGTACGAGGAATGATAACTGAATCTAGGCAATTCCCTAGATTCACTATGTTGATCAGACTACAGCTCGATCGTGAATTTGCCGCCGTTGACAACTGCACAAGTCATCCAAACAGAGAGACGCAGCCGTGCGAACAGCCCTTCGTTCATCCAACTAGTATCGAGAAGGTCTATCTAACCATTCCATCCACATGACAGTGAGATCCACACGCAACATAAGTAGCCATAACAGAGCCAATCGTCATCTTTCAGAAAATAAATGCCAGCAAATGAGTCCAATCTTCGTGATATGCCAAACATGCACCAATGCACCCGAACATCTCCAAGGCACTATCTAAACACCCATCATGATATGTCCGTGACACAAACAAATTCTCCCTCATATAACTCAGAACTTCTCCATCAGATTCTTCCTCACCGTCCACATGCGCATCCGCTTCCCGTAGATGAACATAGGGATGGTCGCGAGGCAGCAACCCAGCTGGATGACGCCGCAAGCAATGAAGACGATCTTCGCCCCGTCGGATTCAAGCCAGCTGGTGAAGAAGAGGGAGAAGATGAGGCCGTGGAAGATGTCTGGATCGGAGACATGTCAGCATGCCATGCGTTTCGGTCAATTTCCAGGAAGGGACAGGATGGACTCACTCTTGCTAAAGTTCAACGTCACCAGCGCTTCCCCCGCATATTGCCGATAACTATCCACCGCGAACGTGATCGCCGTCGTGCTCCCAAGATTACACCCGAAGCTGATTGCGCCGAAGAAAATCGTGGGCACGATCCAATTGTTCCGCTCCTCCGCGCTCCACCCGAACCCCATCAACCCGATCGTCGTAAACACCGCCACCGGCGCCGCCATCACCAACCGGAACTCCGGCTCATACACTCCGTCGTTCCGCTTCGTGAACCGCAGTACGATCCAGTCCGACACCTTCCCCGCGACCGCGGTCCCCAAGATCCCGCCGACGAACGGCGAGAGGTATATGAGGCCGGTCTGCAGGGCGGTGAAGTTGTAGGAGTGCGAGTTCTGGTAGATGTGCGCGACCGACTCGGAGAGGACGATCAGCCACCCGACCGACAGGCTGTAGATGACGGCGCTCCAGAGAATGGCCGGGTAGGCGAACAGGATGAGGGGGCGGATGGCTGCGCGGGGCCAGGAGGCACCCGAGAGGCGGCCCGGCCAAGGGGAGAGGGTCTGCCAGTAGGTTTTGGCAGGGGCAGAGCGCCGGCTGTGGGTCCAGGCGGCTCCGGGGGTGGGTGGTTGGGAGCCGGGGACGGAGGGGATGTCGCTGGTCGGTAGGTGGGGGGGGGGGGGGGTGGGGGTTTGCGGTGGTTGCCACTGGGGAACCAGCGGGCACAGAAGGAGAAAGGGTGTTGTCTTGGGGTTGCTGCGGGTGAGAGCGAGGGGACTTCAGACTGGACCTTAATGGGGCAAGGAGCGATCTGGAGATCCGGCCCCCTTCTTTGTTTCCACTGACAGTGGGCTCAGATTTAGGTGCATGTCCACCGGCTTTGGGCTCCTCTCCTGCCTCCTTTCCCGTGCTGAAATAGTCCGTTGGTTCGGACGCTTTCTGAGCATAGTATGGGCTGTTCAGATTCCGCAAATCTGGGGTCCCCGGGGGCATGTTATGCGGCTGCGCATCAACCTCCCAACCAGGCGGATGGGACCAAGGAGGCGAGCTGATCGCAACGGGGGTCGCCGCCGAGATTGGTCCCGATTCTTCGGCGTTGCCATCAGAATTTCCCGTAGATTCGGCCGTTGCGGGCGAGATACGCAATTCGGGCTGCGATGGCGTTGCGGGCTCTGCCTCTGAATCTTTGCGAGTTTCATCCCCCACCCCCTCGGCAAACCCGACCCGATTTTCCGTTTTGTCTCCCGCCTTATCCATGGTCACTGCTCCATCTTTCTCGTGCGTTCCATCGATTTCTCCAACCGCAGTCTTCAGCCGATGTTCACTGAGATGACTCGGGCGGCGATCGATACCAGGTCTGAAGAAACTCTGTGCCCTTGATATGAGACGCAGACTCTTGTGCGCATGGGGCGTGCGATCCCAAAAGGTTTCTGGCAGGAAGAAGAATAGCAGGAAAAAGCAGCCGCCGACAACCATGGCGACGACCCAGAAGACCCAGCGCCATCCCTTCGCTTGGATGATGGCCGCGGACACCAGCGGCACGATGTTCTTGCCACCTAGCAGAAGCATAGAGTAGATTCCGAGTCGGTACGCACGCTCATGTAGGAAGAAGATCTCAGCGATGGTGGCGCTGGGAAGGCATTCTACTGGGCTGATGGCGATGCCCTGGAAGATCCTCCCGACTAGCAACGAGATGTATGAATTTGCCAGAGCACACCAAATGCTTGTGCCTACGAACAGTAGCGAGGTAATGAGATAAACGGGTCGTTTTCCGAACAAGATGGCCGTCGGACTCATGATGACTCCGCCGACGCCCATGCCCATCATGTATAGGCCGGTCGTGAGAGCCACCTGCGGCACGGTGACATCGAATGTCTCGGCTACATCGTTGAAGCCTGCTGCTAGGACCGGTGTCATTCCCCCACCAATCATACAATAAAAGCCCAGGAAAACCAGGGCAGCATCTCGACGGAGGGATGACCAATTCAATGGATCGTTAGGTGATTCGGACGGTTGTGGATCCAAGATGATTTTCCCATCTGCCGTCTTCTTTGTGGGCTCTCGGGGTGGACCAGTTCGGATTGACGACGGTAACGATGACACGGAGGTTCTTGCGGGGATATTTTGAAGGCCGAGGGGTTGGTTTTGGGTTTCTTTTGACAGAAGAATCACGGATCCTGGAACAATATCCAAGTTAGCTTATTGATTAAGAGATGGAGGAGTATATGAACTTGCCTGGAACTTCGTCGGTCTCCTTGTCATTCAGCACCCCAAAGCTCCACTTGGGCGGCCGTCTCTTCCCCGGCTCTATATCTGACGTCGATATCTCGGAGCTTCCTGCGGCTCCATTTCCAGGGGTATTCGTCGTTTTCTCGTTCGTGTCTTCACCCGCCTGTGAGGCAGATTTGCCGAATGGGCGTGGCCATTTTGGCATGATATGCCTCGTTCTAATCAACGACTCTCTACCGTCTTTTCTGGTCTATCCAAGTGGCAAACGAGACAGTATGGCAACGAGGAGTCCGTGATGGAACACATACGAGAACGAGGAGCGAAAGAAGGCTCGAGAGGGTCTATTGTTTCTATCATGGCGATGTTCAGTTTTTATCAATGGATCCAAGAACTACAGGAGCATGAGCGGCTGATCAGAAAGCGGTAAGATCAAGGTCATGCGCAGGACCCTTGATTCGGGGATGATGTCGATGGAACCGGAGATCTCACGGAGATTTGCCCCACGACGGTTTCTCAAAAGCGTCCGAGAGCAGAGTACATATCGGACTTACGGGCGGAATGTGGATGCCTGCTGTGTGGCTGAAAGGATATCTTGGCTGGGTCGGGTGCTCGTCCTGTTCATCCAGTCGGAGCGGACGGAAGAAGGCTTGGGTTAAGGTGTGCAAACCAGGAGATGTCTCATGAGTCGTAGGCCAAAGAAAAGCATCCGGAAGGCTGGTGTTAGATGATCAAGAACAAAGATATGTTAGGGATAAATGCCAGACCAGAGGCGGATCAGAAGGAGTAGGGAGTGGCAAGTCATAACTCATATCAGCTGGAGACGCGATTAGCGATGGGACCATCCCCGGGTTGGAGCACTAGGAAGATAGGAAACAAAGATGTGGATTTGTGGGGAAGCTGTGTGCCCTTGATGGTTGATCAAGGCATATGGGTTGCATTAGACACGGACGACGAAGATAGCGGGACGGGATTCTTCGACGGAATCCAGGAATATCCCATACTGGAGGCAAACTAAGGGACAATGGATATTGATGGATGACACCGGGAATTTTCCATCAACAGCTAGATGGACAAGATGTCGCGTCATCATGCAGATGCCGGGGAGGCTGGGGGCAATGTTAATGACCACGTGCTACAGAAGGATTACGTCTGAATGGGGGGTTGGGGAATCTAGTACTTGTGACTCTGTATTACCCTTAAGCGATACAGAGTTAGCTACCATCAATCATCAAAGCCTTCAAGTTGAAGTCCCAGCCAATTTCCCCCTCATCGCGATCTGTTCCGTCTGCAGATTTGTCGGGAGTTTCGTCGTCCGACCGCCTCTATCTCGTCCTCTGCTCCACATTTCGTTGCTGCTCGGAATCGATAGCAAACGCAGCACCCTGTCCTTCGCACGAGAATCTGGACGGTAATTACTACATGTAGCACATGGACGGCCTACAGATGATAACGTGCATGGTCACACACCCGATCTTGGTTGAAACAATGTCGCTGTGCATGACGATGTGCATAGCTCGATCTCCAAAGCGGAGATCCTAGCGGGGATGGCGGCGCATGACCGCTCCTCGACTTCCTATCAAAGGAACAATGGGAGAACGGGCCACATTAACGGTGAATCTAGGGAACTGACCGGTATCGGGGGCAGTAGTTGGAGCCCTCAGTGGTATTATCGTGGTAGCATGATAATTGTTTGTTCGAGGACCCTAGTCATCCTATGGATCGAGGGGTAGTTTCGGTCAGGTTGCTATAGCAGTATATCGCGGGGAACACGGGGAGGGGAGATAGGTGGGGAGTTGCACTCCAGCGTGTTATTCGGGATACATGTAGCGGCCGATACAGTACGGAGCATATGGATACCAGTGCTATAGTGGCCAGCTAGGGAACCATTGGAGATCTCTCCAGATAGGAGATTTGTCTATAGGACCATTATGAAGAATAGTACCCACTGCTCCAGTTGAGTGTCGAGTTCCATTGCCATACAAGCTACCAATTGATGAACCGTGTACCTGTACATGGGAGCTTTCTAGCTCACCAGAACTCCGCAGATAAAGATGCTGACAGCCGAGGGAAGTACATGTAGCTTACACAACTGTACCGCTTTGCTTCCATAAGAGTGAGACATTCGATTATTCAACGACAGGGAACGAAGTTCATGTTGAACGGGTGTCAAATCCCGTCATACTTGTCCACGGAACGACGCGCAATTGCGTTTGCTTAAAACAATTCGGACTTCCTCCCTTTCGAACAGCAGAAGAGAACGGTTGCTGGACTCTTAGACATAGCAAGGGCGAGAGAAACCCAAGATGGGATACGATTTGAAAGGCCGGAATGTTCTGATTACGGGAGGATCAAGGTACCATGCCCTTTTCAATCCAGTTCGATGACCCGATGGTACCGTACCGAATGGAGACACGGATTGACGATTGCCCAGGGGACTGGGCGCAATCATCGCTCTCAAATTCGCTGCCGAGGGTTGCAATGTCTGCATCAACTACGTGAGCAACAAAGAGGCGGCGGAGGGAGTTCAGAAGGGCATCCAGAGCAAGTACAGCGATATTAAGACGAGTATCATTCAGGGGGTAAGAGAACCGTCCATCGAAATCCAGACAGCGGTATCAAGCCGTCTATTGTTTCGGGACTATATTGAACATTCACTAAGTTCCATCTGCTTTAATTAGGACTGTGGGGATCCCTCCGCCTGCGCCGCCTGCGTCGAGCACACCGTATCGACCTTCGGCGGCATCGACATCATCATCGGCAACGCGGGCTGGACGAAGATTTCCGACTGGACCGATCTGGATTCCCTCAGCTTCGACGACTGGGACAAGGTGCGTGCTCCCAACACCGGACCAATAGTTTCTCGGACGCCGTCCGCTTGCTCCGAACCCCCTGACTAACTTGGTGCCAGTGCTGGAACGTCAACGTCAAGGGCAAACTGGCCCTGATGAAAGCGGCGAAACCACACTTCAACGCCAACCCTGATGGCGGCTCGTTCATTATCACCAGCTCCATTGCGGTACGTCTTCGCCCCGTGACCGTTCCATCGCTGGAACATTCCAGCCCTTTCACCCACATGCTGACCACTCGCAGGGCATCAAGGCCAGCGGGTCCAGCATGGCATACAGCGTCACCAAGACCGCGCAAATGCACCTGATGCTCTGCCTCGCGAAGACGCAGGGCCCAAAGATCCGCGTCAACGCCGTGTGCCCTGGCCTGCTCCTGACGGACTGGGGGATGCGGTTCGGCGAGGAACGGTTGAAGGCGGTCAAGTCACACGCAGTGCTGAAGAGCGAGACCGATCTGGACGAGTGCGCGGAATGCTTCGTGGACATCGCGAAGAAAAAGACGATGACGGGGAGGAGCATCGTTATCGATGCAGGGGCATCGATCGCATAGGCGGCCGTGGATTTGCGCTAGGGTCGGACGGTGTCGGCAGCATCGTAGTCGGATGAATGAACACAACTGTATGCGCCTCAGATCGGCCCGCAGTTTTATCCTTCGTCTTCCTCTCCCGCTTCTTCTGTCTGCTCCAATCCTCGCATGCATTCCTCCGCTTCTTTCGGACTCGTGATGCCCCAGACGCCTCCGCCCTTCCCGGCGCCTTTCATACCAACCTCCTTGCCCACGAGGTTCCTCCCAACCTTGCCCGGCCCCACGCCAATCCATCGCCGAACTTTCTCCTCGCGGTCTAAGTACCGCACGCTCTCCCACCACTGCACCGTCTCGACGCATTGTCGAGCCAGCAAATCTTCCACGTCCGCTTTGCTCCGGAACGGTTGCGCCGTGATGTTGCTAATGGCGATCAAATCGCCCGGGAAGGCCACCATATCCCCACCCGTCACGCAACTTTTCTCGCTCAGCAGCTTCCGCACCGACTTCTCCGCCGGCGCCATCATGGGGCTGTGAAACGGACTATCACTCTTCAACCGCACCGCCCGCGGATCATGTCCACCAAACTGCCTCAAATTCGTCAATAGCGCCCGAATCCGCTCGATCGTCCCGCTCAGCACGATTTGATTCCGGCTGTTGACGTTCGCAATTAACACCTGCTGCACCGGCGCCAGGTCCTCCGCACTGTCCGATTTCCCTTGCCCCGCCGTCACGAACTCCGTGATGTCGCGGATCAGATCCTTCATCCGCCCTTCGTCCTCGCACACCAGTGCCACCATGCCCACGTCGCCGGCGACCTTTCGCGCCTCAACCGAGCACGCTGCCATCGCCTCGCCGCGCGCCCGCACCATCTTCACCGCGTCCGCGTACGCCAGGTATCCGCCGGCGACCAGGGCGGCGAACTCACCGAGCGAGTGGCCGAGGGTGAAGTCGACGCGGCCGGGGAGGTCGAGGCCGAACTCCTGTTGCAGGATGCGGAGGATGAGGACGGAGGTGGCCATGATGGCGGGCTGGGAGTTGGCGGTGGCGGTGAGGGTAGCGTTGGAGCCGGATTGGATGATGGAGGTGAGAGAGGGGGTCATGGGGAGGAGGGCGTCGAGCTCGTCGAGGAAGGGTTGGGCGGTGCGAGGGAAGGTGGAGAGCCAGGGTTGGAGCATGCCGACGCGTTGGACACCTTGGCCTGGATGGAGGGTGTTAGCAAGTGGTGGAGGAAGGGAAGATGTTAAGGAGCACGAAGTGAAGCTAGAGAAATGGATGTTTACCAGGAAAGAAGATTGCTGTCCGCGGGCGTTTCTTGCTCGACGCTTTGGTTTCCACGGTAGAATTACTGCTCCACCTTAACTGCCCTCTCCTCTGCTGCTTCTTCCAGCACCATTGGCACTGCTGTGATCGGAAACTTGCCGCTGCTCGGTCGTGCACTTGGAGAGGCACCGGCACCCTCCCTAGCCGACGGCAGTTAGGGAATGACATGCTTGCCGCTCTAGAATCGATTAGAGCAACGAGGTTCGGAACGCGTTGGCCCCCAGCATAGGAGCTAGCGAGGAACAGAAACCATCTGTTGAAGATGAAGCACGAAGGCTGTGTGAGGGATGATATATCGAAGGGTTCGGAATGGAATGCGGAGGAGAGGATCAACTCGGGTTGGGGATGGACCCCGTACCGTACCATCACTAATACTGTAGATACGACTGACGATAGCAACCCAAGACGTCACCGGAATATATCCTCGTGACTCGGTACTTCCGTTTCCCCTCCAATGGCCGCCATTAGCCGATCACGGTGAATGTAATGAATGTCTATAACAGAATAAATAATATTATCCGGCGGCGAAACGTTGAGAGTTGGAGTGTGGAACATCTTCTAATATTGCTTCCTAGGCTTGTTAGGGGACGATGTGAATCGCATTCAATAGCGCCAGGATCCGTAGCGGAGCTACTCGTGCCCTCAACCCTAGGGAATCAAAGCGAGTAAGGTGATATAAAAAACGCCATAAAATGCAAAATGCTGTCCGATTGGGACCCAAAAGACATAAGCCGTCATCGCCGTTTCCCGCTCCTAGATGCATGCATCAGACCCGTTCTAGTCCGCTGCCAACCATCCTTGCGTGTGTGCATGATAACAAACCCATCCAAGTATTAACCGTGTTCCCCCGACCATGAAAATGCAAGATGCCAACCCAGTTGGAGAGAAAAAACCCCCAAGAAAAAACTAGATCCCAGCCGAGGTGGCTGGTGTGGTATGAAAGGAGAATCAGCGACATATGCCTCGGGCGGATTATTGCATAGGGGGAAGAGGAGGATGCATGGCTGGGGCGGTGGCGTAGTGCTCCCATTGGAATGGATTGCCCTTCCCGATGACGCCAGGCGGCACATGTGTATTCTGCAAAACACGTTAGCAACGATCCTCAAGATACGAATATCCCGAAAGAAACCCACCTCCTCGATGACGCTACCCGGCTTCACGATCACCCCCCTGCCAATCTTCACCCCACCCCCGATAATCGATCCCGCGCCGATCACCACATTCTCCGCAATATCGATCGCCTTCCCCACCACGTGCCCCTTCTTCCCCTTCGGTTCTACGGGGTTCATCAGCACCCGCGGATCCTCGATGCCCACGTCGCCGCACAGCGTAACGTTCGCGCCCACTCGCGTGCCCGCGCCCACCTTCACGCTGCATGGGTCTAGGATCGTGCAGTGCGGGCCGATCACCACGTCGTCGCCGATTTGGATATTGTACCCGTACAGGCAGGAAAACGGCGCCTCGACCACCACTTCGTGGCCCAGGCGCGCGAAGAAGCCGCCGCTGAAGCGCGACTCTTGGTAGCCGAGGACGCGCTTGAGGAGGCGCTCTTTCTCGGTGTCGGAGATCTCGCTGATGGGCGAGGCGGCAGCGTTGTAGCGCATGAGGGCGAGATGGCAGTTGGCGCGGTCCGCTTTGAGGATGTCGGAGTAGGGGAGGTAGGGGTCGCCGTTCGTCATGCGCGACTTTTGCATGGCGGGATCTAGCTCCATGGGAGGGTGATGGTGGGTATGCGTGGGAGGGAGTGGTGGGGCAGGGGAGTAGTAGGAAGGCGTTCTTGGGTGGGGGGTGTTGAACGGCGGTGTGGTATTGTGCGCAAGCGCGCGTTGTGCGGTGTTGGAAAGGCTGGGTTTCGTCAGGATGGTCTTGGATGGTCATCTCTTCAGGTTGACTTACTTGGTGCTGATGCTACTCGGCTGGTGATAGCTTGAGTTCGACCGTTCGGTAGTCGGTCGTGACGGCATCTGGTGGGAGTATTCGGAGGGACGCTCAGGGTATGCACCACTGCTGGTATTCCCATGGTCATACGGCGGAGGTGCCCACGACGGCGGCGGAGGCGGGGCTTTTCGCTCATCATCGACGCCGATAGGTCGCGCTTGCGTCCCATGACTGTCGGGGAACGAGTGGGCCGGTGGACGGGGCACCAAGGGGGAATGCTGCGTCGTCTGTTTCTCCTCGACCTTGCTCTGCAGCGGCGCTTTCGTCAACGGCTGGGTTCGCATTGTCGCGGTGGGCTTGGATGCATATCCTTCGCAGGTGAACCCGCCGCGGAGACAGTTCGCGCACTCGGGTTTCTGCTCGTCACATTTCTTCTTGCGCTTGCGACAAGTGTGGCAGCCGGTTTTAGTGCGGTTGGCGAACATGCGTTTGCGATTCTTGGTTCGGTCGACTTGGACGCCGGCCGAAGTCAACTCGATGTGTGCCGGGAGATTCGACATGATACTGTCGTTAGGTGAGGACAATCCTGGGTTCGAACCATGCTGAGGCAGAGGGGTGCCATTTGAGATGGATTGAGATCCACTATCCTCGCGATAGTGGTGATGATTGTTCTGGTGCTCGGAATACACAGGCGGGTATCGGGGAGGCTCCGGCGCATACGACTGCTCGGGTCTCACGGGTCGTCGGGAGTGGTCTTGGTCTGGGGAAGGGTTCATGGCGACCCGTTTCGCCACGTCTGCATCGGCCTCGCTAATGCCGTTCACCGATCCGTCGGATCGCTTTCGCTTGGTCTGATCATGTCGCATATCATCTGGAGCACCGTGACTGTGACTGTGTCCGTTCTGGTAGGTGCCATTCGCAGTCCCACGATCCCATCCATTATGCTGAGACGTTGTTTCGGGTCGAGGGGCATCTGGCCTTTCTGCATGCCGCGAACTCGAGTCCGCCATGCTGTGCATGCGGTGCACCTCGGGCGGCGTCTGCGAGTTTCTCCCGTTGACGGCAGTGAAGCCCGATACCGATGTCTCGATGCTGCGTTCCGGGGATGGACTGTTGGAGCTGCCACTTCCAATGTGATGGCTGAGAGTTGAAGATGGTGAAGTGGACATCGCTTGTAGAGGGTCGGGATTGGTCGATGAGCGGTCCAGAAGGCGACGCGCTGCACGGATCAGTTTTCGAGGAACAGGTCAAAGGAGACTCGACCCTCCGAAAAGAGGCTGCGAGGTCAGAATGGAGGCGCTTAAGGGTTTGGGGGTGGTCCAGAACGACAACGGGATTGCTTCTGGTCGCCGACAAGATGTTCTGTAAGCGCGTGCGGATCCACAGACTCGATTCGCGACGCGTGCCGAAGCGATTCGGGAACAATCTACACGAGATGCGATCGCGTGTCGATAAAATCGAATTCCACGCCGTTCTGTCGGACGTCACAGCGAGGCGCCCTAGGCGACCCGTTGTACAGTTCTGGAGCGGGCCGAATCGTCGAGCTCGTTCCTGGAGGACTTGCAGGGCAGAGGATGCGAAAACGACAGACGCAGTGGGGATACGTAAGGCTAGAATCGCGCCAAAGATTGGATGTTGGATGAATCGAAATTGGAAGGATGTGATGGATCAAATGGATCCTGGGTTTATAGTAAATACGCGCAAGGTGGGCGGTGCTGGTTCTGAGGGGACGGGCGCGGCTGCTGCGGATGCGCAAACGGCTGGGTTGATCGAAATAGACGATGCGCGGGCCGAGACAGAATTGGGCGATAGGCCGGTGCACGAGCAGCGCAACGGGATTGGAGAAGCGTGGTGCTTTTTCCTGCGTGGGTGAAGGTCCAGCTGTTGATGTGAGCTGTTCCCCGCCGATGAGCAAAAGGAACGACGAATTCCTGGACCCAAGGCCCAAATAATTGCTCGAGCCGGGTGGTTGGTGTGATGCGCGGGACGGAGGGTCAAGTATAGAGGTTGGAGAGGGTCCAACGCAACCACGATTCCAAGTTTATATGGCGGAACAACCGCACTAGTCTAGCAGATGCAAAAGCGATCGGAGAGGGTATGGAAATAGCGGAACGATCGGAGCCGTTGGGTAGATACTGGGGGAGATGAGCAATCCCGATGAAGGAGGGAGAAAATACGGTGACAATAGGGATGGGATGGGGGGAGGGGGAGGAGAGGGATTGAAGTAGTCCCAAGCTGCCTGGCGCGGGAGAACTGGTCTTTTGCGACTAACGCACCGCTGCCCTACGGCCTACAGGAGGGTCGGGTGAAGACTGACGACTGACGAGAGGTGGTGGACGGGGAGAAGAGAGCCAAAGGGGAACGATATGAAGCGGAACTACTGGATCGCTAGCGGCAGCACCGTGCTATCATTGGCCCGAGGAGCGTTACAGCGAATTGGATGGGAGGAAACAGGACGGTATGAAACGGATGAAGGTCGACTTCGGGCTTCAGTACTTCAAGGGATTTGTTATGAACACCCTGGCTGGCATCATCCTATGGACAGATCCAAGAGTTTGCTGTTCTTTACTCTATCTCCCCTGTTGGTCCTGCTCGGTGATATGGGTGATATGGGTGATATGGGTGATATGGGTGATATGGGGGGAACTGGACCGTTGAAGCCTGAAGAGCGGAGTCGAGTATCAAAAGGGAAGATGGAGGGTGGATCGCTACGATGGTTGGAGTAGAATGCGGATAGTGATGGACCCAAATCCTGTTCCTCGTCAATACTCAATAATATTAATAGTTCGAATGGCTCATGCTCTTTCTCGCCTCTCCAGGTTCCAGTCTTCAGCGATGGTGCTCTGCACGGCGGCTTTTCTGCTAGGCCCTCAATTGGCTGCAGTGTCGAGGGCGCTTAATAGCGGGCTGTGCGGAATGGCGTTACCTCTCGGTCATCCCTCGAAGGAGCAGGGAGCGTGGAAGATCCAACACACCACGGGGGAGGGAGCGCCCGCCAGACGTGGCCGACGGCAATGGAAAATTTGGGGGTGCTGCGGAGCCAAACGCTAGGCGCGGTTGGCTTGGGTGGCTGGGGATTATGGACTGCGTCCCAATCCTCCCAACCCAGTCGTTGAACGTTCACCACCTTTGGTCATGCAGCCAGGTGTTGGCTACTACAATTGCTTGAACGGTTTCTACATTAATATTATTGCATTTGTTGCTGAATTGGAAGGGGTTCGGACTTTGGAGGTGTTGTGGCTGACTCTGCTCACTGCTGCATGTGCGGAACAACCAACAGGTGCTCCAGTCGGCAATCCCACGGGACGGGCCACGAGCACCGTCGTCCGTTCTGGTGCTTACCCCTCACCATCCCCTGTCGAAAAACCTCCAGTGCCCACATCCACGCCCTGATTGATAGATGGATATCAACATTTCGATGTTGCTTGTTACAATCCTGCATGGGCGCTCATCTCATCTGACCCATTGCATAATGCATTTGATTAAGTTATTAAGCGGCTCGACAAGCGACTGCAACTGGACTGATCGGATGTATCAAGCCTCAAGGATTCAAGGGGCAGGAACCCTGATCGTCTATTCACGGCCGTTTGCTAGGCGTCCTACCGATCGCGCTGCTGATTGGCTCGCATGGCGGCGTGATTGCCCTGCTCGGCACAAAACATGCAAGCGCCAGGGAGCAGTCCCACATTTTGCCTGCTGCTCGCGTCGCTCATTCGCGGGAGGCCAGGCATTGGCGTCCCGGCCGCTCGGGCGGCTATTTTCAAGGAGTCGCAAAGGTGGCCTCCTGCACCGGCTGCTGCATGTGCAATCCCAAGCCTCCAATTCATTTGATCCTTTCAGTTCATTGATATTTGATGGTGAGAAAAAAGCAACCAAGCGCCAAATTTAACGCACTCCATGTCGATCCCCACTTTTTGGGGGCGGGTTGCTCCTGCCCTCCACCCGCCGCCCGCTGTAGCCGCCTCACACGCCTCCTTCCTCCTCAAATCCCCCATTTTCTGTGCCGCAATCTGCTTTTTCGCATCCGCCAGCTTTCCCCTTCGAGATACCGATTTAATTCCAATCGCATCCTGCATATAAGAGTAATTTGAAACTACTTGGATGTTGTTTCGTATAGCGCTAACGTATGTGGAGGTTGGCGAGCGCTCTCCTTCTGGCGCTTGTATCACCAGTTCACATGTCGATCAGTGATCTTTCAAGAGTCTTGAACTGCACTCGAGTTTTAAAGCGCTAGATGGCATGTACATGGCCTTGGATTGCGGTAGATCATTATAATATCTGTCTGCTGGTCTGGTTTGCTTTAAACGTACAAAGGCACTGATATCTAGGTAAGTATGCTTGTTTTATTGCTATCTCCAACTGTCGTTCTGGCTCTCAGCCTACGTTGTTCATATCTACGAACCAATCGAGGATATTAGCCAAGTCCGAACCACTGAACCCGCGGGCGGTCTGTCGTAAAGTTTCTTCATGTTGTATTCCTGCGCGCTTCAAGCCTTCAGGTCAAAATCATCAAAGTCGGACTAGAGTATTATTCACCAACCTACCATTCCTACGTTGGAACAATCCGAATCTCTCCTCGGATGTGATTCATATTACTACGCCAGGCGCTCATCACCCTCCCAGGTGTGCCTGGAATGCTGAACATGGCACTGAGATGCTGTTCTCAAAAGATTACGTTCACCAATCGGAGCAGAGCCAAGTTCACGCACATTCGACACTCTTCATCAAGTATATCCAACTTCGCCCACACACTTGATGAGAAGCGTAAAGTCTCCGAGTTCACCCATAAGCGCTCGGCGTCACTCAAAAATGATACCAACCTCACCCTAAGACTTTCAAATTCCTAGAGACGGAGATAGCTTCACTACACCGACTGAAGTTCACCAATGAACTACCCAACTTCGCCCTTATACTAGTCAACTTCAGTCAACTTCATCCAAAATCAGCACTCAAGGTCGCTTCACTCCAGACATTCTATGCTGACATCAAGAAGGTAAGTATTTAAAATGCAGCATGGAGCGTGTAAATACCCCAAACTTGGTGAGCTTTAGTCGAACTCCTTTTCATCAACACCGTTAGATCTACCTAGACTATGCACTCCAACGATAGCCTAGCCAACTCTTGTGGTGGTCTTGTTGAAGCAGCCTACTATCCAGTTAGCAACTCTCAGGCCTGCTATTCTGTGTCAACCCTTCTATCACACCAACTGTTTGCGGACCTAGGGAGTTGAGGCACAATGCCCCAGCTCTGACCAGCGCTTCTTTGCGAGCATGCATTTCTCACGCGAGAACAAAGTCGAAAGCGAAAGAGGCCATGTCCGTGATATCCGGTCTGTTCCCAACCAGTAGTTAACATCCACCTCCAAGACCGAACAAATGAAAGACGAAACTGCACACCGCATGCGGAGGTTAAGAATCTCGAACTATTGGGTGGCGTCTATCATCCCACGATCCTTAATCCGTCCGTCACTTCTCAAGGAATGGAAACCCAGCGACACCTCATGATCGTCCTTCAATCCCCCTGCACCGTGCACGATGATTCGCCTCCTCCATACATATAATTATCAGCCCCTCCCAACATCAACTCCTGCTATGCGAGCGCCTCAAACATGCACACGGTAGCCGCACCATGCAAACGTCCCAGCGCATGCGCCGGACGTGTGTCACAATCGGGCGTTTGACGACCTCGCCTCGTCGGGCCTGGGGTTGGCCAATCCGGGCGGGCTGCGTATAAGATGGAGTTCGAACCCAACAAACGACGTCAACGGTCAATTGTTCAGTTCGGGGTCACGTTAGCACAGCCTCCGCCATGGCGCTTATGGTGCACTGGGTCGGTGGATGGGCTGCATTGTTGGTTCCTGCGGCTATCAGTCGCAACAGTTGGGTTGGAATCGCGGTCTTCTGCATCAGGCTGCCTGTGGTTGCTACATAGTAGATGTTGCGTTGAGCATTTGCTATTCAGGGACCATTCCAGCTGTGACTTGAGGTGCTCTTCATCGGGTGCGACCTGCGATGCGCCCGATGATTTCAGCTGAACCACAAAAGCACAGTGGGCTAGTGCTGCATGTCACAAAGAGGAGGGACAGCGACCAATCAGTTCGGCTGGCCTCTCGATTAGGTTGGGTTGTCATGCTGCTTAGAGACCGCAAGTTTGGCGTGATTCAATGTGGAAACATTACAGGACAGGACCATCAACAGACCAGTAGCTAGGCGTTCTGTAAAATAAAACAATAGACTCTAAAAATGAACATTGTGCATAGTCTCGGGACTTCCAGGTGACTTAGCGATAGAAATAGCCTTGGTACCCCATGGGGTCCTCCGGAATACATCACCACCGAAAAGTCCGGGGAAGTGGGCAGATCTTTTGCTGCGTTTTGACACCGTCGATGAACGCTGGTGCTCAGAAAATGAACCTCGGAGAGGCACGAGTCTATTCGGCTTCGATTTCGCTCCGAACGGCTCGGCTATTGTCCTAAATATGACTTCACCTTCATCGGATCAAGGGGTTGCCGACTCCGGACAGGATTTAGATGGGTCAGTTTGTTGTTAGAAGGCCACAAGAAATGGTCAAATTATTTTCAATAGTCGACGGCGATCCCAGCTCATAGCCCATGAAAAGGCAATTTTAATAACTCTGCTCGGAGTGTTTGCACTATTTGAGTTCATCGATACGGAATACCAAAATCAGACATCCAATGAAGAGGTTCAGGGCCAGGGCCGAAATTTTTGCAATCCACGAGTTCTGATTGGTGGACCCCACAAGCCTCGGAGTGTCGGAGTGGCTTCGGAGGCAGCCGTCAATCACGAGTTTGCCATAAATTTAATCCCACAGAGACGTTCCGAAGGCCAGAAGAATACAGAAACATACGCCAACTACCCCAGAACCGATTTCCTACTCCTATGAATGTCAATTCCACCCGACATTGACCGCACTCTCAAGCATTCTCAAGGAATCGTGTCTGTTGTTGTCAATTGACGTCCTAGTCCTCGGAACAAGCAACGGGTAAGGCGGACACTTGCCACCCACCAACCCGACTTGGACATCTAGAATCTGACTAAGGAAAAGCATCCGGCCTCCATTGAGTTGCTGAACACGATTTACCTATTAATCCATCTTCCTATCCGACTCTTGTCTCCTATTTTTCCATCATCCCTAAGAAACCAGTACCATGTCTTCCTTCTCCACCCTCGTCGACAACCTCTCCTTCCGGGACAGTGATCGTGAATCACGAGTGTCGCAACTCTCCCGAGCCAAATCATATGCGAGCACCAATGCAACGAGCATGACCAGCATTTCGGGGGATATCAAGAGCCAGCTTCATGGAGGATACAGCCATCCGCTCGCGCGAGCATGGCAGGCAGACCGACAATTAACGAAGGTGTGTGCCTCCCTTTGTCACATCCAGCTCAAATACTGATTACCACAGTCCATGCTCGTCTACCCTCTCTTCATCACTGACAACGCCGACGAAATTACTCCCATCCCCTCTCTCCCCAACCAAAGCCGCCGCGGCATCAACACGCTTGTCCCCTTCCTCACCCCTCTCATCCAGCGCGGCCTCCGCTCCATCATCCTCTTCGGCGTCCCCCTCGCCCCCGGCAGCAAAGACGCCCTCGGCACTAGCGCTGACGACCCCAAAGGCCCCGTAATCGCGTCAATCAAGCTCCTCCGCCGCGCCTTCCCCGACCTCTACATCATGGCCGACGTCTGCCTCTGCGAATACACCTCCCACGGCCACTGCGGCATCCTCCGCGACGACGGCTCCCTCAACAACGCCATGTCCGTCGACCGCATCAGCGACGTCGCCCTCGCCTATGCCCTCGCCGGCGCCCACTGCGTCGCCCCCTCAGACATGAACGACGGCCGTGTCCGTGCCATCAAGCTGAAGCTTATCGACGAGGGCATTGCTCACAAGGTCCTCCTCATGTCCTACTCCGCGAAGTTCAGCGGCGCCCTGTACGGGCCGTTCCGTGATGCCGCCGGCTCGGTGCCGAGCTTCGGCGACCGGAAATGCTACCAGTTGCCGCCGGGAGGACGGGGGTTGGCGCGGCGGGCGATCCAGCGAGACATCGGCGAAGGCGCGGACGCCATCATGGTGAAGCCGGCGAGCGCGTACCTAGACATCATCTCCGATGCGAAGGAGCTCGGGCGGGATATGCCCATCGCGGCGTACCAGGTCAGCGGCGAGTTCGCGATGTTGCACGCGGGGGCGAAGGCGGGGGTGTTCGACTTGCAGGAGATTGTCATGGAGAGCATGCAGGGGATCTTGCGGGCTGGAGCGAACATCGTGGTCACGTACTTTGCTCCAGAGCTGATGGGGTGGCTGGATCAGTAAGGGACGGGATGAGACGATTCCGTTCTCATAGCGGTACTGTCAAATAATGTTGACGCGATGGTGATTGCGAATGGGCATCGGATACCTGTGCATGGCGTTTGGTTGGAGGGGACTCTACCCCCTACAAAATTTATGATGAATGGGTTTGATTTATGTGGTATGACAGCATGAGTTATCCGGGGTCACGTTTGCAATGATGATCATCACTCTGTCGGACCATTGTGGATATGGAATGACGATTTGTCACTCTTCCAGGCCATGCTGTGGATACGAAATTGCGGTTTCGAATGGGCAGTCATTGGTGTTGAAATGATGGCGGTAGGTCCTGTTACGGACGTAACGTTGAGCGATAACTGGCTTGCTTGTCTCTTTTCGTTCCGGTCAAGTTGGAACTAAAGAAGTCTTTCCTCATACCGATTCTCACCGCCCATCGCGTCCCATACAAATGGGGCCTTCTCCTTTCTCCCCACCTCTCACTCTTCAAATTTCTAGTCAACTTCCACTCTTCCAGGCATCAATCCCAAAAGGATCACTATTATTATCACGACTGGGCTGATCGTGATTGCTTTTCCATTTTAACATTGGAACCGGCATCTTGAACAAGGCATCAATCGTATCATTGTGATTGTCGAATTCCGTTTCATCTTGCTTCATATTGTGGTGATTGGGCTGCTGCCTGTGGTCGATCGCCACCACCAGGCCACCGCCTCGTATCTCCGTTTCAAGTCACGGGTTTTCGCGACAACGACGCATTTCGGCTTTCGCGTTCTCAACTACTTAAACGCGTCGTCAGATCTCGTTCATGATTGTGCAATTTGCATTTGGTTGATTGCTTGGAATTGAATTGAATGCTTAATTGAACATTGTTGTGTGCTGCTCATCACAATTGACGAACCATTCTCCAATTGAGGTTACTACCAGCTACCATCCCACTGAATTCACAGAACCCCTGTCTTATTGTCCCAACTGCGTTATTATCAGATCAGATATATCTCTCCCATCAATCCCCTCCCTTTCGTTACAATGGATGCCAGCGCTGTTGTCGTCCCTTCAGCGGAACTCCCAAGCGTGCCTACTAAGCACAATGAATTCGTTTCCTACATTGCGTCTCACCCCGATGTGACCATTCCGGACCTCACCCATCCGTATAGGACCTTCGACTCCCGTTTGCGTGAGGTCTACGCCCAAGTCCCCGACCACGAAGTCCTCAAGGACCCCCTCCTTAATGTCGTCCCCGTTTTTGCCGGCCACGAATCGGACATCAAGACCCGTGCTCGCGACCTGGCGAATGAAACGACGGAAGAGAAGGAGAGGTACATCATGTCTCTGAACGACGAAGATCGACGCCCCACCGGCTCTCCCGCGGTGGTGGGAAGCTTCAAGGAGTTTCAGAACAACTTCAATGTCTTCTCCGAGGGTTCCCTCGTTGATATGGACTGGGACAATGTCGTCGTTGCCGGTTCCGCCGCGGTGACCCCCTTGATGCCTGTCCCGGAGAAGCATCGAGGCTCGAAGCGGGCCCTTCGCAGCTACTATCACGAGATCCTTGCCCCTGCGTCTGATGTAGACCTCTTCCTTTATGACCTCACGGAAGAAGCAGCCGTGGAGAAGATCAAGCAGATCGAGACTAAAATTCGGGACTCAATCCTCCAGGAGACAACCACGGTTCGTACTAAGAATGCCATCACCATCGCGAGTCAGTATCCCACTCGCCACGTTCAGATCGTGTTGCGCATCTACAAGTCCATTTCGGAGATTCTCACCGGGTTTGACGTCGATTGTTCTTGCGCGGCGTATGATGGCAAGCAAGTCTACGCGTCTCCTCGTGCATTAGCCGCATACATGACGCAGATCAACCCGATCGATCTGAGCCGACGCTCCCCTTCGTACGAGAACCGCCTTTCCAAATACTCGCGGCGTGGCTTCGAGGTGTACTGGCCCATCCTGGACCGGTCGCGGGTGGATCCGACCATCTTCGAACGTAACTTCCCTCGGACCTTCGGCCTTGCACGGCTCCTTGTCCTGGAGAAGCTCCCGAAGAGCTCGGATCGTGATGATTACCTCGATCAGCGTCGCCAGGAGCGGGGCCGTCCGGCCATCAACCGGTGGATTCGCCAAGCGCGTCAGTTGAGGGGGAATATCAAAGATAACTTCGAGGATGAAGTTGCGGAGTGGGTTGATCAAGGCGAGGTTTCGAACTACCACACTTTCGTAAGTGGATTCTTCGAGAAAGACACAAGTAAATCGAGCTAATTAATTCTAGACGGTACCTTACGGCGAGAAGTTTCATGCAAGGAAGATTGATAAGCTTCTGTACACCAAGGACTTGCTTCTTAATGCCGAATGGAATCAGACGAAGGAACGCGACACCAATCTCCATCGCCACCCAGCCTTCTTTGGCAATGTGGAAGATGTGATCGAGGATTGCTGTGGCTATTGCCCGAAGCCAGTGACCCCTGAAGATGAGGAGCTTGCCGAGGAGGAAGACAAGATCTACGTCAGCGGCAAGATCTCCTTCATCAAAGATGATCCCGGCCGTCAGCAGATCGGTAGCTTCAACCCTCTGACTGAAGATGACTGGACTGAGATGGCATACGTCGGCAACACCGCCCGTCTCTGCCAAGCCATCGTCGATCGGGACGTCGAGCACGTCCAGGATTGGCTCTCTCAAGAGGGTGCAGATCCCAACCGTCGTGACTACACTGGCCGTACGCCGCTCCATCTGGCAACCATGTGCTCCTCCCCCGAAGTGGTCAAGTGTCTCGTGGAGCACGGAGCCAAGCTTATTGCTCGTATTGCGGATGGACGGACTGCGTTGCACATCGCGGCCTCTCGGGGAGAGGTGGAGATGGTCAAAATCCTCATGGATAAGAGCGAGGCGAATGAAGAGGTGGAGATGGAGATGGAGGACGCGAAGCGGAAGGCTCGAAAAACAGACGGCGCATCGGATACGGAAGACGAGTCGATGGCTGGCGTAGAGAATGAAAACGAAGAGGAAAATGAAGGCGAAGAAGATGATGAGGACTATAGTGAGATTGACGAGGATGAGGAGGATGAAGACAGCCATTCCATGGCTACAGGGTCCTTTGTCAAGGTCTCTCGAGAGAAGCAGGCGCAAGAGCAGACAGAGGTCCCGGAAGATGAGGAACACGAACCGGACTTCTACGACGTCAACGTGCTCGCATGGGATGCTAAATGCTCACCTTTGCACCTAGCAATCATCAATGGCCATACCAACGTGGTGAAAGAGATGGTCCAGAACTACGGGGCCGATGTCCTGCTTCCCATCAAGCTCATCGACGAGTACACACAGAATGCCAGGGGCGCTATCTTGACGCTCGTCCTGGGACTGGCACTACCCAAGGATAAAGCAGTTGAGATGACCGAGCTTCTCTTGGATCTCGGGGCTTCCCCTGCCCAGGCGGATGTCAACCAACAGACCGCGCTTTATTATATTGTCGCCCACGGAGCCCATCTCCTAGATACGGTCATCTCCAAAGACGAACCAGGCTTCAAACGCGCGGTTAACCATGTGTCGTTCGCGAACGACCAGTGGAACCCTCGCACTATGAGTCTCCTGGCTGCCGCTATCGATAACCACGATATCATCGCTGTCATGAAGCTTCTGGAAAACGGGGCGACGCCTGAGGTCGATTTCGCCTCGTGGTCCAAGAGCGTCAAGATCTTTGTTGACCAGCGTACCTCCAGAAATTCCCACAACAGGTTCGACAAAGCGTACTTCGAGCAGAACACGGAGCAGCCACTGGTGATCGCGATTGAATCCGAGCAACCGGACGTGGCCATTGAACTGGTCAAGGCTGGCGCGGATCCAAACACACTCACTCAGAACGGTGCTCGGGTGAAGCAACCGAATTCTCATGCACGTACGTGGACACGAGGTGATACGGTGCTGGATCTCGCCCAAACAAAGCTGAAAGCACTCCGTGACTGGCTTGAGTCCGCGGACTCCAAAAGCTCGAAGTCTACGAAACCATTGCAAGAAGACTCGAACTACCTTGGAGAATTCGAAGAGAGCTCGTACCAGCGCTGGGTCGCAGAGACACTGTTGCACCGCGAGAAAGATGCCCGAGATAAAAAGGAGAAGGCCCGCCGCAAAACACTCGCTGACCCAAAGGAGACCAAAGGACTCAAGCTAAAGGAAGCTGCTGTCACAAATCTCATTTCGCAGCTCGAAGCTGTGGAAAAGGCGCTTCTCGAGCGCGGCGCAAAGAAGTTCTACGAGCTGTACCCCGACATCCCGGTTCCTTCTGATCGGCCACATTACAGTGGGTGTGCTTGTTGTCATCCTAAGGTCGAGGAAGAGTTCAAGATCCAGTTCACTTTCAATGATGGTATCGGTTCGCACCCCGATGAAAAGCAAGAGGGCTTCGTCAAGTTGTAAGTCAGCAACGTCTTCTGGCGTCAAGGAACCCCGAACAGTGTTCGAGTATAGTGATGACTGACATTTGTCCAGATTCGAGGCGGCTTGGGCTGGTGATCTTGAAACGATCAAAAGACTGACCTTGGCCACTTGGGGCAAAGATAATGACCAATCTCCCCTCAAGCTGGTGGCAACGGACCAGCTGGGCCACTCTCCCTTCCAGCTGGCAGTACTCCGAGGCCATCTGGAAGCCGCTTTCGGAATGCTTCAAGTTGTTCAGATACAATACCTTCCTCGGGAAGACCCTCAGGAGCGCTACATCCTTCATGACGGCCACACCAGCGACGAAACCGACAACGAGAGCGACGGAACCAACGACGAAAGCGACAGCAAAAGCGACAGCGAAAGCGACGATTCCATCCATGTCTACAAGACTGTTATGGATGATACTTTCACGATCGAGAATATTGGTGAAGTGTCGTCGCAAGTGAAGAGCCGCGTCACTGCCGTCAAATGCCTCAATCGTGGGGTCGGAGCCTTTGGCGAGGAACTTGCGAACGAGAACCGTAGCAAAGGTGATCCAATCTTCTATGGAAATCAAGGCCTTTTCGGCTTTGCTGTGTTCACGGATGATATGAAGCTCTTTCAGTGGCTGCTTGACATTGGGTTGAAGTTTCAGCGAGAGTTTCCTGGAACCTCCGACGGCGACAATCCCCCAACGATATTCACCATCAATCCCGAAGCCTTCCAGGTGGCCATGCGGCTTGGACGCACGAAGTTCCTTGCGGAGATGTTGAAGCAAACTGGTGTTGGTCTTCCATTGGAGGAACTCGTCAAGAAGAGCGGTGTGGAGATCAAGGAGAAACCCAAATACTATCAAGGCCTCTCTGTCCATGGAAAGAAGAGAAAGGACTGGGTAGCAAGGGGCAGAGGAATCGTCTTCAACAACAACATTTCCACTCAAAATCCCCCTCTTCTCATTGCCGCGAAGGATGGCAACATCGACACGATCGAATGGTTCATGAGTGAAGCTCCTTTGAGACACTTCAAAAAATTTACCGAAGATCATGCCGATGATAAGAGGATCAAGCATCTGGCCTCCCTCCGTGGGGGAATAGATAAGACGCTGTCCACATTCCTTGGAGTCCGATGTAAGTGCATGCCCAATGACTGCTATATCTGCGCTAACCGGAGCCACAGCCGGACTCGCTCTTCATTGTGTGGTGATGTCCAAGCCGAAGGAGGATACGCCGGAGGTCCTCCAATACTTGATCGATGCCATGCCTTCCGCAATCGACAGTCGCTCTCAGGAAGGTTGGACACCTCTGATGCTCGCCTTCTCGCTTCATCGCCATACCTTAGCGAAGGTCCTCATCGATGCTGGCTCGAATCAGACTCTTCGCGACAAAATCGGTTGCAATCTCGCCCATCATATCGTGTGCCCGGCACCCTGCATTCTATTCCATAAGCCGCTGATCATCCGCCTCGAAAAGGATAGCTATCGTGGCTTCATAGAGCTGATTGATCCGCGTCTACGAAGCAACATGTTCGTGGAGCGGGCGAGTTGGGGCGCGGGCGCAATGACTCCTCTCTCCTATCTGATTTCGAAGAATCTCGGTGAGTGGTACCAAGGTGACCAAACCCTCCACGATCCACAGATCTCGCAGGTCATCAAGACGGTGCTTGCCTTCAGTGGTGGCGACGAACTCGAAATGATCAACGGCGAGGGCAACTCGCCGCTGCACACGGCGGTGCTGAACCGCCTGCCGCACATTGCTCGCACGCTGCTGGAGTTCCGTCCAGGTCTGCTATACCGCGAAAACGCCGTTGGCCGCACGCCGCTCGAGGTCGCGGAAGATGCAGCGGTGATAAAAAAGACGGCCAATACTCCGACGTTGAGGAGAGATGCGTACGGGACTCTGCGACGACCGATATTTCTGAAGCAGACACTTGGAATGGACGGGACGCAATACTACGAAGCGGAGGAGAAAAAGAAGACAGGCGATGCCCAGGGTTCCGAAGATAGTAAGGAAGAGACGATGCTGAAACTGTGCCGGTCGTTCGCGGAGAAGATGGCGGCGGACGGAGAGCCGGTCAAGCGGAAGCTCGTGACCTTGTACGAGGCCAACGAAGTAGCTAAGCGGTTGGCAGCGAAGAGTAGCGAGAATAACAAGGCCCGGCGCCGCACCTGGGCTACGGGAGACGACGACGGGGATGCGGAAGGTGAGGGCGTGAAAGAGGAGAACGTGAGAGACGAGGTGGATGAATGGTTCGCATGGGCACATCAGGATTTAGATTTCGGCTGGGTGAAGAAAGGCAATGATGAGGATGAAGATGACGTGAATCTATGATGACGAACAAACGGATGGCGCTGCACAATGATCGACTAGTTTTCAGCGACCCGTAGGAAAAATTATCTCTTTTCTTGCTCTCGCAATTATAGTATATTCCATGGCTATTTCTCATTTTCCTCGACCGTGCTCCTCGATATCTTCCACAGCAATTTAATCTCGTCCTTAAATGGGTTGAAAATCGAACGAGCACAATGTTTGCGACTGGTATGCGATCGCTTTTTTCCGGTGACTCACGCACGATGTTTGGGTGTTGCTCCAATCCCCCGTCAATGCCTCCCTGGCCCTCGTGGCCTGGTCATCGGCGCACTTCGTCGCCCTCGCCGTGACCCGCCAAAGAACGCACCCAAGCCCGAACTTCCACCTCCCGAAAGTAGGTCTCCGAGGCCTCCGCTACCGCTAGGGTTGGCAGCAAGACTTTCCAGGAGAGCACAGCCAGAGTCAACCGAGGTTGCGTTGATGAAAGTGATATCAGGGGAGTTGGGACCGCCGAGCTTGATGAGCGTGTTCTCTAATGTGTGGGGTCAGACCGCTGGGGATTGTCGAGAAGAAGGCACTTGTCACTCACTGGTAGGGTCATACACTGGCCACCCAAGCCTCGGCAGGTAATTCTCCGGGTCTTTTGCGAAACCACTCCACGCCGACATCAAGATCTGGCTAAAATTCCTCTCCGCCGGAATGTCAGGCATCCCGGAAACGAACTCCGACGTCCCAAAAACGGGGGCGAGTTCAGCGCCATGCCAGGCGCCTTGGACGCCGATGTCCTGGTTCGGCCATGTTGCGGCGTACAGATATCGCCAGACTTTCACACCTGCGTCCGCGCGTGCCTTCGCTGCTGAAGCGGCAGGACAGCTAAATGCCCCGTTCAGCACACCACCGGCGCCAGAGTCAGTTTGCGTGCAGTTTGTGGAGTTGCCACCGACACAGGCAAGGAGGGTGAAGAGGGACAGTTCATTGTCTGTGTTGCCGACCAACGTAGGCTAAATTAAAGGTCAGTATAACCCGACACATCATCTGGACATGGCCATACCAGTTTCGCAAAATTACCTGCCGCACGACGAGCATTGTAGTCCGGAAATACGGTCTTATTATCCGCTGTCGGCGCGAAGGCAGTCAACGCCGCAAGAGCACCACCCTCCGGAGTGGTCGCGTTCACGATAGCTTGCCAGGGCTTCGATCGCATGCACGCAAGGGTGGCTTCACCTGCATCGCGGCCACCGCAGCCGAGCTTCTCGCTCGCTGAATACCAGCCGCCGCTGGTATCTCGGCCACCAACCATGGTGTTACTCGCCGTTCCAGACTGCGGGATGAAAGCGTGGACAATGGGGTCCTCGGTCCAGGCAAATGAGTAGATGTCTACGGAAGAGCCACCGGCACTCTGCCCGAATAGTGTGATGCGCTCCGGATCACCGCCGAATTTGGCAATGTTGTCGCGAACCCATTCGACGCCGAGACGTTGATCGAGAAGACCGCCATTCAAGCCCGTCCCAAATGAGACACCTGGAAATCCGAAGATGTTGACACGATAGCTGTAGGAGATCAGCGAATGATGGACCGCTTAATAGATCATACACACTTGACGCTGACGACTATAACGTCCATATCATTTGCAAGACGGGCGCCATTGTAGGCAGGGCTCTGAGAGTTTCCGGAATTGAAGCCACCTCCGTAAATCCAGAGCAACACCGCCTTCGCCTTCTCACCCGTCTGGGGCTTGGTCCAAATGTTCAACGTCAAGCAGTCTTCGTCGAACACATCTCCTTTTTGCCCCAATATGTTGGCCAATTTCTCTGCGAAGGGTGGAAGGTTTTGAAACGCTGGTCCTGTCGTTGGCGCAATGGCCGCCGGACAGTCGCTGATCGAGTTAGTTATAAGATGATATGATGGATAGGACCATCATACGGAGACTGTCTCAATTGTTAGCTGGTAATTCAATGCTGAAAATAACAGGTGTTTTACAAATTTGGCAGCGTCAATAGACCCGTTTCCCGTATATGGCTGCGGAGCTGCAAATCGCAGATCACCAACAGGTGGCTTCGCGTATGGAACGCCTAGATATTCCGACACCTCCGACTGCCATGACGACGCATGTCCTTTGATGGTTCCACTAGTTGTCTGCACCTCTTGCCCGATGTCCCAACAAGCGTAGGCATGTGAAGTGACAAAGGCCGCAAGTGTCGCAGTTCTCAAAGTAGAAAACATCATCGTAAAGAGTGATTTTCAAAGTACTTGGCAAACCCAATTATCTTTGGTCTCATCAGATCAAGCTTTTGTAGACAGCGGGTCGTTATGTACTGAGCCAGGAAAGATGATTCCCGGTCATCTTTGCGATTTATCTGGGCATCCAATATTCCACCCTATCGGGAGCATACTCGGATTCTAGTTAGCGAGAACGACGAACAGAGATATATGGTACCAAATTGAGATCATATTGAGAGACTCTTCCGGAAGCTCGGAATTGTAAACGATGCGTAGAAATAGATGAAAGAGACACGCTATAGCACAACAATTAAGCGAGTCGATCGCGGAAGCGTACGACGGCGTAATTTAATAGACGGTTCACCGAGTGAGACCTAAAACAATGCGAGCAAGTTTATATGCGTTGGGGTCAAGGCACACACACAACTCACTCTGTGCCCCTGTTATCGAATACATTCTGTCTTCGATTATACTATGTACAGAAGCCAATTTGTACTATGTACAGAAGCCAATTTGGCTTTGGTAGATTTGGGGCTAGCTCGGTCTCATGTAGATGGAGATATGGAAAGTCATCAACAAGATCAGATTGAGAACCGATGATCGCTGGCCACCAAGTGCTCCTCTAATAGATACTTGATAGGATAGGATCTTCGATAAGTTACTTTGTTGAACGTGAGCATGTAGGAAAATAGTCCTCCATCCTCCTATGATGCGGCGGATTTCCTACCTTGATTTCGGAGCTAGTGTTAGAAGTGGGGAACAGGAACAAAAGTTGTTGGGTGTCACCATCTGATATCAGCGTGCACCTCGGAAGAATATTATAGTAGCAAAGCTATTCCGTACCGATAACATGGTGGTTATTTCTACAAAAGGTAGATTGTGGATTGTGAAGGAGCAGAAGATCTTCATGAGTTCCTCTCTCTTGTCTTGGAGTGCTTGGTGATGTGATTTGTGGTGATGGCTGATGTACGGGCCATGCACCAATGCACTGCACGTAATGGACATTACATAATATTGATGCCTTACAGCTGACCTCAGACTCTAACCTCATGCCTCAGGCTCCTAAATCGCGTGTGGGTCTGCCGGCCTTCCACCACATCAATCAAATCCATCAAATCGGATCATACCCGTACCTATGCATCAGCCTACGTGTTGTCGCAGCCTTCTGCTTGCCACTTCACCCATAGTATCAAACTATCACCTTCGGCTGCTTTCCAGCACTGCAAGGTTTGACTATGTATTGCATTCATAGCGAAGGCTGAAGGCTATAGCTTTGTTGACGCTACAGGATTTTGCCCCTATCACGGCCAAGCAACAGCACTCCATCCTTGGACTCAAGTTTCGACCGCATCTATCGCATTTCTTCGGCGTTCCTGAAAGTTCTGAATATTCGAACTTGGTCAATATTTACAACCTTGATCGACATAGAATCCACCAGGACGCCGTGCCTTTTGCTATCTGTCGTCAACTATATTAGCATTTCCTCCGCAATCTTTTGGCTTGAAGTCCTATCAACCTATTTAACGAAGCCATTCCGTCACTCAATATGGATCTCAGTCGTCTTCGACAACAAACTATAGCAGGCGGAGGGGAAGAGGAGGCTGTCACGGTCAATACAAGAGCTCTGATTGATAAAGTGTTAGCAAGATACTCCAGCGACTTCACTACCCTTCGAGAACTTGTCCAGAATGCAGCGGATGCTAAGAGTTCGAAAGTCACGATCAAACTTGAGACTCTGCCCTCCATCACCATACCTCTTCCTGCTGGGGAAGAATCGTCTGAGTTGCTCAAACATACTCTTCGCCACCATACAGTTCAGAGAATTGTCGTCAGCAATGATGGCGAGTATTTCCGTGAAGAAGATTGGACTCGGTTGAAGCGCATTGCAGAAGGTAACCCGGACGAAACGAAAATTGGTGCCTTTGGGGTCGGGTTTTACAGTGTCTTCGCGGACTGCGAGGAGCCATTTGTTGTTTCAGGGCATCAGACTATGGCATTCTTCTGGAAGAACAATAGCCTTTTTACACAGTCCGGTAGGCTGGACACAAGCAAAGCCGGCTCTGACACAACATTTCTACTCGATTACCGGGAAAAGAACACACCTGTCCCTGATCTGCTAGCGCTATGCCGGTTTCTCTGCACTAGCATCACATTCATCGCTCTACAGAAAATAGAGCTGTGGGTGGACAGCTATCCAGTTTTCGAGCTGCACAAGATCACCGCGCCAGAATCTGCGGTATCGGTCCCGCCTGGTATTCGGACGCAAACCAAGGATGGACTCTTGCGAATATCGAGCGTGAACCACCGCAACGGTCAGATCCATTGCAAATGGATGAATATCATTGCTTGGTCAAGGACCGAAGCGAAAGCTGCTGTGCAGCAGGAAGACTCACTCGGTGCTATTCCAAGTCTCAGGACGATTTTTGGCAAGTTTAGTAAGAGTGCTGCTACGCGAAGAAAAGAAGAGGAACGAGCAGCTGCACAAGCAGCTGTGAGCGAAGACGCGGCTGGATTCTCAACTGCCACAGTTTTCTTCCGCCTGAGCACCCTCGGTATCATCTCTTCCGTCTCACCAAAATTCGCTAGAGAACTGGAGCGCGCGACCAAGAAGCCACCGCCAAAGCAGACGAGGATGGAGATATTAACATCGCCTAAAGATGAGACTGCCGCTTCATTCTCATCGCTTAGCGGTACCACCTCCAGCCAAGCCAAAGTCCTATTCGAATCTGTCTTGCCACAGGAGCATGGTCGGATATACATTGGATTCCCAACTTCTCAAACCACCGGATATCTTTGCCATATCGCGGCGCCTTCCGTTATTCCAACGGTGGAGCGGGAATCGATTGACTTAAATGCCCGGCATGTCAGTACGTGGAATATTGCAATGCTATATATGGCCGGCATCGCCTGTCGTATTGCCTATTCCAATGAAATGAACGATCTGAGCAAGCGGCTACAAAAACACGCTGAAAATAACGGGTCAAGAGAAGTTCGTTCCGAAGATGTCTCGGAGTTCATTCCTGCTGCTGCGAACATTTTCAAGCAGTACACTCCTATCAATACGACCCCGTCATCCGCAGTCGGTCGATGCATTGAGGAAGGATTTTGGGAGTGCTCAACGCAAAATCGAATCGAATTGCTCTCCACAAAAGGCGTGCGCCTAAGCGATGGGGTTCGGGTCAGCGATAAATCGTTGGCATTCATCGAGTCAATTCCGATCGTCCCGCAGATTATTATGGAAGAATCTGGGGGCTTCTTTCAAGCGCTTTTCTCAAGGGGGATGCTCTCAGCCGTCACTATCCCGGACATACGGAAAGAGCTGGAGAGCCGCGTCCTCAGCGAGAGTGAAGCTATCCAGATGCTACGATGGGCAGCAAGCGAGCAGAACGAGGGCCTGTCTCAGGCAGTTGTGAAAGATATAGTCACTAGAGCAGTCATGACTTTGAAGAATGTCGATGCTGCACCTAGCAAGAACCAGGATGGAGATTCGGGAAGAGTTTTAATGCTCGGAAGCATCAATACCTATCTACCCAACTCCGTCACTTTCTCCGACATCACCATACCGGAGCACACAATCCCGCTTCAATTGTCGAAACAGCTAACAAAAAAAGAAATGGTGATCTTCGGCTGGGAAGAGCTGCACGTCACGAGTTGGCTGGAGTACGTTGTCGAAACTGCCCCTAAGGATGGTCCGACCTCCCTTTCAAATCCAGACTACGTCGTTCGAATACTTGGTGTCCTCTCTCGGCAGTGGGGATCGATCCCAACAGCTGCTAAGGACAAGATTGTGGCCATGTTGAGCAACCGCCCAATACTTCCGACAAACAAAGGCATGAAAACACCCAAAGAGGCCTACTTTCCTCAGGCAGCGAGAAGCTTTCCTGACCTTGCTGTTATTGTCCCCGAGCTGCATAAGCTGAAGGACGCCTTTCTAAAAGCCTTGGGAGTCCGCCTCACCCTGGATCTCAACCTCCTAATAGAGCGGATAATTGCGCCGGAGTCCTCAGATCCCTTGACCTTGTTCGAGATCGTCAAATACCTTGCGTCGGTATCTAATGACATCCCTGAAGACGAACGAAAGCTGTTGCGGACAAAAGCAGTTTGGCCTGCTGAGCGGAGTCTTCCAAATGTTAAAGTGCACTCTAGGAGATATCAGATTTCCGAGCTCTTCGAGCCGAGCGAAGAACATAAGCGGCTAGGCCTGCTTGTTCTACGCTGGCCTAGCGACCGATATCTTGACTCGAGAGAGATGAGATTCCTGAAGGGATTGGGTCTTCGGGTTGCACCGACCAGGGAGAAGCTGATGGAAGTCATACAGCTTAGCGTCGGAGGGGATCTACCCCAGATATATAATGCTGCCCTCGAAAGGTTCGTCCAGGATACTTCTAGAGACGACTATCTGGCTGCCATACTCCGAGATAAGATCGCTTTCATTCCAGCCGATAATGTTCCGTGGCCACGGGTATTTCCGCCAGATCAGCTCTTCACAAATGACAAGGCCACTGTCTTTGGATACCAAATCCTCCCTCCTCGCTTGAGAACCTATGCTGCTAGGTTAGCGGTACGAGAGGATCCGCCAATACACGATTGCATTTCAAAGCTTATATCAACCGCAAAGCCGACCTCCTTTACCGATGCGATTGCCAAGTTCGAGTACCTTGCTCCACGAGTCGGCGAGATAGACAAGAGGACTATGGACATTTTAAGCTCGTCCGAGATAGTTCCCATCTTCAAGGACAAGCGGATTATCCGCTACGCTGCCCCGAAATTATGCATCCTAGGGTCATCTTCCCACTTGTTGGGGGACGTTTTTGATTTCGTTAGTTTCAACACGACGGCCGATTATCTCCTTACGCATCTAGGCACTAAATTGGAGCCGACTACAGTGGACATTGGCCAAATCCTTGTTCGACACTGGGATCAGATCCTTCAGAAAGCCGGTGCAGAAGGGTATCTAGAACTTCTTCGAAAGCTTGCTTCAAACGTCGATGCGTTGAAAACTTCCAAGCAACTCTGGAAAGATTTAAAGTCAGCAGGCTGCCTCCTGGCATTCCAGGATGCCACCAAGCCGCAGTCCAAGGCCAAGGCGGAACCGGATGATGACCTGTACGAGGATGAACCAGTTGAGCGTACTTGGCATCTGAAGGATGTGAGAAACATTGTCATGGTCGATTCGATACAGGAGTATGCAAAGTTCCGAGATGTGCTCTTCTCTGCTCCTCAAGATGATGTGTTGGAGCGCTTCTACAAGGAGCTTGGAGTCCCAAACCTAAGCTCAATGATTCAGACCAGCCATCGACTTGGTCCACCAGTGAGGGACCAGCGCGAGGCTACGACATTGCATAAGCAGCTCTGCGAGCGATCGAGAGTGTTTTTGTATGATCACAGCAGATCCAGTGTTCTTCATGATGCTTCATGGGTCGAGAAACGGCTGAAAGTCGTTCTGATTGAGAATCTTACCCGCCATTCTCGACTCGCTGGCCACAACGCAAGCTACAAGGAACGAAAAAGTGCATCGATGTTTGAGAAGAGCAAGGACGATATCACGATGTACATCACGCCCCATGCCGATATGTACGACGTCGCAATAGCTTTGGTGCCCCATCTCCTCAAGAACCCTAAACACAACGACATTATTGCGCTAGAGATGATATTAGCGACAGACCTTCGCCGTCTGCGTGCAAAAGGCTACAATGTCGACCGCATTCTCAGAGCTCGAGAGCTCGAGCATCGGGTTGCACAACAGCAGAAACCACCAGTGGCGCCACCCCAGCCTCCGGCACCTCCGCCCCCGGCAATCAAGGACGCGTCACCGAATGTGCAACCAGATTCAGAAAAGTCAAAAGGAACCATGTCGATACCGATCCACAATGCAGGGGAGAATGCCAAAACGCCCAAGAAAGAGCCGAAAAACTACTTACACGACGCTCTCGGTGCATTCGGTTTCACTATGCCGGGCGCATTCGGATCCGACGACAGTCCTCCGCACCAGGCTCCTGTCGCTCCCAATCAACAACAATCGCTCCAACCGCCACCGCCGTATGAGCCGACGCAAAAACCGCATACGCCACCCCCTCACGACCCCCTCCGGCTACAGCGTACGCTTCAGCAAGCCATCGGCATGTCTCGGCCGTCAAACGCCAACAGTGTCTTTTCCCAACCCACTCAGCGGCAGCTCACCGATTCTCGGACATCATATTGTGATGCCACCCCGGCTCAAGATCTTGTCCGGCACGGCGACGTCATTGCAGGTATGCCGCTGTACCTCTTCCGCTCGGATCTGCAGTCCATGCAATCTCGGCTGCGCGAGCACCATCATTCGCTTAACATTGTGGTGTTGGCGCGGATACTTCTCGCTCTCGGCGATTCCATGGGGATCCCCAAGGGGGCGCTGAATGTCTTCTGGGCCGAAGATGGCCGATCGATTGCGTTCAATAAAGATGGGACGTTGTACTGCAATTACGCATTTGCGCAGGGGATCCAGTTCAACGATGCGAAGGCGTGGATCTACTGGTTTGTCACGCTGTGTCATGAATTGGCGCACAATTTGGTCAAGGAGCATAGTTCGGACCATGGGTTCTATACGGAATCGTTCGTTCATGAAATGATTTGGAACGTTTTAGACCGGGCGAGGGCAGAGGGTGTAGTAGCAGGCTCAGGCGATAAATTGGTCGACATAGACTAGAGGGAAGGAAAGTGGTATCCAATTAGACCTGGTTATTAATCTTTGTGCATAGCGAGCGTTGTATACTGAAATAGAACAGTTGTAGAAGGCAAATTGACCACACTTGATGATAGGCCTACAAGTGCAGCTTTGGCATGGAATGCAAATGTATGGCCAGAAAATTTCGATATCGCTGTAGCTAGTCACCATGGTGGCCTTCGAATATATCTAACCTATGTGAATTATGAAATAACTATAGTCTTAGAGCGAACAACCGCTTGGTCTTGGTCTAGGTCCTTGGACGCTCACCTCCTTGCGCTGAAGCCCCTAGGTAATGGTTTCTGTAGCTTAAGCACGAACCCGCCGCGCTCAATGGTATTCACGAAGATATATCCCGACTTGAAATACGCATATGATCCCCCTAGGCACTGTCAGCGATAGCACAACACAAGCAAGGGTGAGACAGGGACTGACAAGTTCCAACGAAGTCAATAACACCACCACCGGGTGTAGAATCATCTTCAGGATAGATATCGAAGAATGCGACTTCTTCCACGCCCCCTCCAGTCGGGTCATCAGGGATAGATCGGAGGTCGAGGACCCGGAAACCGGAGCCGTAGTTCGATTGAAAAGCGAAGCCATCGATGACATACTGGTTGTGGTCGACACTGTGGGCGTTGGTGTTCTTGAAGTAGCCAGTGTTCTTTGGCTTGTCGAGGTTGCTGACATCCCAGATGTACGTCACCGGATGGCCATCGGCGGCTGGTTCAATCTTTTCGTACTCGTCGTACTCATCGTCAAGGACAAGATATTTCTGCCATTTCTGGTCGAGCAGCCAACCTTGGTGGGTATAGTTCGCACCCTCATATGAAGTACGAGAGATGATAGTTGACTTCGACTTGTCCGTAACATCATATCTGCAATATATTAGCACCCCACGATTAGGATTGAGCCGGGAAAACGTGCATGGTGAGAGTGTCCTCATTATAACCATAGCTGCGAATGTATTAGTGACACGGCTCAGTGAAATACGGGGTACAACCTACCAGATTTCGCGTCCCCAATACTTGAAATCAGGTCCCCTATTCGGAGGTAAGCTAGATGACGATTGAGCATGGAAGTATTACCAACCTATAGATCACGCATTGCGCATCGTGCACATAACCATCGTCGGCATTGCACCCCGGCGAAGTCGGGTTAGAAGGATCCTTCAGATCGATGAAGATCAACCCTGCCTTGCAGGTTGAATTTCGGGGGGCGGCTCCGACAGAGTAGGCCCAGCCAGCCTCTTCATTGGTGACCACGTTATGTGTTCGGCCAATCGGCAAGTCAGTGAAATGGCCGGTAACGTCTGTCAAATTCGAGAAGACTGTAGGAGAAGCAGGGTCGACGTTGAGAAGCTTGGTCATGTCGAATAATTGGATGTTGTGGCCCACAGCTTCAGAACCAATGACCATATAATTCCTGTAGCCGCGAATCTCTCGCCAGATAGCAGGAACCGAATTCGTAGGGAGACGTCCAAGATAGACCATCTTTCCTTGCTTGTTGATTTCGAGGAACGCAGTCCCATCGGCTTGTCCTAGGGCAATGAATTCTCGACCCCCAGGAGAGGTCCAGCCCCACGTAGATGAGCCTTCGCCAGTTGCGCTTCCAAGTTCCGCGTGGCTGAGAAAATGGATAAGATCAATCTACAAGGCACGTTTGTTAACATCAGATACTTCCCTTTTTCATATGATGACATACACCCTTGCATCTGAATGTATTCAATTGCCCGCCAGGCGGCACAACGGCAGTGCCGTCGACACATCGGACTTTAGAAGCTATCTCAGGATACCGGTTAGATTGCATCACACCCGCGGCGCGCTGCCGATCCCACGTAGCATGTTTCTTTGCCATGATAGTCTCGTGAATATATCCCGTGTCGTATAGCCTGGCGCCCACTTCCTCATTCTTAGGAAGCTCCCCCCCAATGGCGCCAGCCACCAGTGCGAAACACAGTGACACAAATGACAACATATTGACAAGCGTCTGTGAAAATTTTAGATTGAAAAAGACAAAGTGGTTGAGTTAATCTGAGAATGTCTGGGTATTTCAAGCCATTTGAAGTACTGGCAACCTGCAGATCAACCGGGAGAGGATCTGATAGCTGACCAGAATAGATCGACAGTGTGTGGGAATCCGCACGTCTGGCAACCCCAGAACCATGACATGATTAATATTTGATCTCCTGCTGGAATCGTGAAGGACTTGGACGAGAACTGATAAGGTTAGATTCTGCTGCGCGGTTGCCAAGAAATATATACGAATTGATCAACTCTAAAGAGGGATTTTTTGAGAGCTTTAGGAAGGACAAACTGCGATGCAACATGGACATTGTTGATAGGGTTCGGATCCATTTGTCCATACATTCCATACAATCGCCCGGCGTCTTGGCCTTGAAGCTTGTCTAATCGGTTTCCCCAGGTCCTCGGGACGAGTATAATCCTTGATTGACTGGTTAAATTACATATTGGATTCCGAAAGCCTGCCCAAAGCTCACGATATCGATATGTTGTGGCACGGGTGGCGTTCGAATTTCGGCGCAAGGCATGAAGCTAAACTCGCGGACACATAGTGCGATCGGGAAGGGAAAGGAAAGGAAACATAGCACGTAGAGAACGACATTTCGAAGCCGAGAACAGAAACAATGCGACACAAATCACGCCATAGGAATCAATTGGTTGACCGTTAGACTGCAGTTAATTTGAGCCTGGGAACAAAGAGAGATAGCTTGCCTTGGCTGCCGCGTAGTGTATGTTGTTCCCAAGGGCTATCATCGTGTCAGGGATGAGGGATTTTATGAAAAGGAGAAATTGGAACGACCCAACTTGCCGCCTTGGCTCTTGCCGCCTTCCGTCCACGAAGCGGAGTTTCTCCGCTCCGTTCTCCGCCCCCACGCCAAGTCGTTGCGTACTCGGAAACACCGCGATATTCCACAATGCTTCGTCCTAACTCCCGACATTGTTCAACTTAGATTCGAGAGTCGAGAGGGCAAACGCGATTAGCAAATCGCTACTAATAAGCATCCGTGCAACAATATATCCGACGGTCCGTTCGCTGTTCAACCTCAGAGATCCATTATTACCTCAACTCATCCCGAGACCACGCGGTCCTTGTCCACGAGCACCTCGTCAGAGCACCAGCCAAGGCACTTGCTAGAAAACAGGCCCTTCTATCCGTGTCAAGTCGAAATAAAGTTCCAGGGTATCCTTAAACTTGCCGCTAGCAGCTGATCAATTACTTCCTTTCTGGAAGGTAGTATATGAATGATCGGCGCATGACAACGGTGAACGGTTAGGACCGAAGCCAGCCTTGTTCGGTAGGTGTTCAAGTCCTCCGTGTCCCAAGGCCATGCTTCCTTATCTGTCGTCTTTGTGAACTGCTAGTTATTGGTTCTGTGTGTTCTAATTAGCATATCCCAGTCATATTCCTAGTTCAAAATTCTCCGAAGACTCCGAAATTGCTGCGTTGTTTTATTCACCTGCTGCCTTCGTCAATCGCCAACAAGGGGAAGTCACAATATGCCTGCTCTTCCTTGTAATCAGTTTCCCCAACAATAGAAACGCTGTTCGTTCAAAGAATCGCGTGCGATGGCCACGATATTAATTGGGAGTGACCTTGTTGGTGGTATTTTGACTTTGTTTCCAACTGCCCCTTTAGTATCGAAGTCAGATGTGTATCCGACGCTTCTTCGAATGTGGTATCCCAATTGTCGATCCGGATCAATTGCGTGCTTGTGATTGTCGATCACGTCTAGATCCCAATCGCAATAGATCCCAATCTCAAGATAGCTCAAGGTTCTTAATACTACGCTCTCCCAATAGCGATACGTACGATGGTCTTCAAGTTGCCGAAAAGGAGAGGGAGGACGTCCGTTACGGCTTCTGATCGCGTCATGAATCCCTTCTATCACATCTGCGACAGCTCGGAAGATCTAGTAGTGACGAAGATTTGGGGCTGCCTAACCCAGGTTGATCAAGGTTTGATGGATTTATCTCCCAATTGTTGGTCGAAATTTCCAGTTAAGGTTGTTGCCGTTTTCTAACCTCCTCGAAACGCTGATATAGCCAGCCCATAGTAGCTGCCGGTTCCAATGATGCTACACAACCGTTCTAGTACTTGGTGCTTCCCCTACATATGCTGGACGGGAGGGACTCTGCGCCAGTTTTCCCGATATTCCCTTCAGTGCTCTTATTTTGCACCTCTATGTTCAAATACAGCCAAAACGCTGGAGCATTTCTACTACCACTCTCCGTTTACATCATTTTAATCGCACAATTCTCCTCAAATCGATTCCAACGACCAGTTCTGGACGCGTTAAGCTCTCATTGGTCTATCCTTCTACATTTTAATTAGTCAATATCGTACTAGTCTATACGCGCATCCTCACTTTTACTGACGAGTCGAAATTGCAGATCGAGGATTCCACGTAAGCTGTGCTGTTTTGAATCCTTCCGCTTCTCATTGTAGAGGGACTCCGTTGAAAGCGATGAGGTTTGGGGACCCACCCAAATCACCAATGATCTGGTCCTTTGTCGCTGTTTCTTCCAGCCATTTCTTCATGTCTGCCGGTGTCTGAGGTCCGAGTGCGCTGAGCCGGTTTGCGATCAGGGCAGCGACTTGCGGTGCCGCAACGCTGGTGCCCCATGAATAATATTGATATCGAGAGTTAATGTTGTGGGTGCTCAGCGAAGGCACTCGGCTTCCCGGGGCAAAGATCGTGACGCATTTTCCGATATTGGTTCCCTGCGCCTCGTCTGGTTTCTTTGGAAGTGCGTTATATCCGTTAACGGACCCGACTGAAATGACTCCTACAGCGTTTGCTGGCTGGACCTGGCAACTGTCGCGTTGGTCGTTCCCAGCACAGACGACAAAATGGACTCCTGCCCGGATTGCAGCGGCAACTGCAGTGGACACGTCTGGGACGCCACTGAAACCGTAATGGGACATGGAGATGACTTTCATGTTATTGTCTCCCGGTTGGCGCAGCACCCATTCAATCCCCGCGACTACGTCGTCAGTTTGCGACACATTCTGGTCCGAGGCAATCTTCACGGCAATGGTCGTTGCTCGTGGTGACAGTCCGTTGGCTTTTCCTGCAATTACTCCCGCGCACATCGTTCCGTGGCCGTGGTTGTCATTGTTGTTCGAGCGGCTGACCATGTTGGCTCCAAACCGGACCTCTGACCCTTGAAAACCCGGATGTTGGATATTGATCCCGGTATCAAGCACGTATATCGTGACACTCTGCCCAAGGTAATCATCGTGCGTCCAAGGACCGGAGTTGTATGCTCCATTGTAAGTGCGTAGCGAGAGTCTGACGGCATTCCATCCTCTTCCTCCTTCAACGGTTATGTCACGACGCTGTACAGAGTTGGACTCAAAGTCCTCTTCACCACCCGTCCTGTTCGATTGAGATTGTCCCACGTCCGGCCCTCGTTTTGAGACACTGACACGACCTATACTGGCAATTTCATCCTGTCGCCTGACTAGCTCCACAGTCTGATCATCCAACTTTGCCGAGTATCCCTGGAACACGTCGAAATACTCATGGCGAACTTCGATTGTCCCTTTGCTTTTCGACTCCTGATCCCGCAACCAGTTAATGTGGAGGGTCCTGGCTTCACTTGATATGTCCTTGAATTTGACCAGGTACAATCCCGCGATTTCCTGCGCTCCACGCGGGGGAATGGAAGCGACAGATGCGATAACTGCGGAAAAGACTGACAAAAATACAAACAAGAGCATGGTTCCAAAGCAAGAGAGTGAGGGAAAAGTTTTGGTAGAGAGAAGGGGCCGGCCGTTCGCTGGCGTGACTGATTCGAACAGGTGCCAACTTCATGATACATAAGCCAGGACAGTCAAGACATCTTATGGCATGGGTCCATGTATGCGATTTCCCAAGTGGATCTCATACCCATTCCATTATGAGATTCATGGTCATGCCACCATGTACGCCCCGTTGAAGGGAGTCCTTGCGCACATCGTAACCAATCTATCTGATACAGATTGGGTCATTACTGGCATCATCAGGCCAAAGCCGCTCCCCGTCAGAGCCTCGGACTCAAAATTACCGAGACATCTGTGATGCAGACAAACCTAGAAAGCTTGTCTTTACCCGTTCCCATATCCAGAGGGGATTTTGAAACCATGCCGGGTCGATATTTTGTAACGACGAATGTTTGTTCTGTATTTGTGCTGAATATCCCGAGTATTGTAACAACTGGCAGTAGAAGGTTGAGGCAAACTTTAACATCTCTTCTTCACGATACAAACTGTACAATTCGTTGAATGTACTTGCGCGACAGTTTGCGGTATCACAACCCCGATCCTCCCATCTTTCTCGGCGATGCTTAATTTTTTATCTGCACAAATCCGATTGGCTGCTAATTTGAGAATACGTATATAATCACTTATATTTCAGGGCTATGGTTTGAACGTCTTCAACTTGCGTTAGGTGGTGCTGTGGCTCTAATATCGGTATATTGATCGTTACAACTACCTTGCTAGGTTCGGCAGATCGCCCGGAAGGGGAACGGGATGGTGCTTAAAACCCACACGTCTTTCTTCAGAATTGACAAATTCTATTTGTTGCAAGTTTCACTTGACTACAAGATGTGACATCTAGCGTCTTGTTCTCCATTGCAGTTTGTATCATGCTCCGGTAGCACCGTTAGTCAATTTTGTGGACATGAATTTCCGGTGCTTCTTAGTAGTATCAGATGAAATCAGTGACCCGTATTGCTTAGAGCCTTAAACCCCTGCTCTTTAGAAATTATATGCGATTATAACTAATTTAGAGCACCGGGGTCTAGGCCCTCCGGTATCAGAGGTAATCAAAGGAGCACTATATAGTGAAGGAATCGTCCTCCTTTACTATTGGGTGGAAGCGACTGGCATGATGATAGAGTGAGATACCTTAACAAAAAAATTTACTTACTCTTCTGTCCTCTTTCTTCCTCTTTTAAGTCTCCTCAGTCATGGACCATATCCTCGACCCTGGAGCGACACCCGTTCAGTCATTGACAGCCTTAAAGGTAGCAAGTTCGAATAGTCTCCATTATGGAGTAAGGCTCGACCTCGTCCGACTTTCCCGCAGGAACCAGAATCTCCTCCCACAACACCGTGCTTACAATAGGTCCCAAAATTGGGCACGCTGACCCCAGTAGGGGTGATATGATGAGGCATCATGATCTTGGACAGTCTGGCTCTCCGGCATCTAGAGAAGACTGGGCAATAGGTTAGCATGATGTTGTAAAACCTCTCGTTAACTTTTAAGAGCCAACGAAGCACATCCGACGGATAGATAGCTCTCGATCACGTCTACATTTAACAACAGATGGCATCGATGCAGAAAGCAAGCACTATTCATTCAAATGCTGTCTATGTACCACTGATAGAGTAAACTTTTGCAGCCGGACAATCCATTCCGACCTGGTAATATGAGAGATGGTCCAATGAAGCGCTAATATTCATGTGCAAGCCCTAGATTGGCCAGTACCCGCGGCTTTGGTTTAATAGGTGCCTGCCGCAAAGGTCGAGTTTATTGCCCCAAATTTGATGTTCGAGAAGGTGACTTGCGCATTCGCGGCGCTCGTCTCGAGCTCGTCCGGCTTGCCCGAGCTGGTGGGGCACTCGCCTCTAGCAATGCCCGGTTGACTGGAGTCCTTTTCAGTCGGGAAGTTGGAGTCGAGCCACAGCATGTTCGCGTAATGGTCACCCCATAAGGACATGACGAGAACCATCCCTTTCTCCATGGCCCGTGACATGGATGCCCACCCACCCCTCTCCTTCCAGATGTCTTGATCTCCAAAGACGGATTTTTGTGCGGTGCAGAACTGTTCATTGAGCGAGTTTCCAGTGACTCCCAGGATCTTCGATTCGGAATTCGGGATGACTTTGCCGTTGATGACGTAAAATCGCTTGATTTCGCTGAGCGTCCCGCTCCCCCCGGTGAGGAACTGGGTAACCACGGTGATCTTGCCGCTGGTATCGACGGTCTTTCCTTTTCCATAGAAACTCTTGTCACCCATCCGGAAGGAGTTGAAGTCGCAGCCATCTGGATCGCATATTCCGGCGTATCGTGTGGAGGAGTATGTCCCACCGCAATCGTCGCCCTCGCATATACTGTAGGCTTCCGTTTGGCAGGAATGAGGCGTGACGGCAGTGGAGACGCTGTTGGCCTCCCATACATCCATTTCCGCGCAGCAGGCTCCCTTGCCGCCGGCGCCGGCATTCTTGTCGGTGTCGGACGGTGTCCAGCCCTCCGCATTGGCCTGAGATTGGTTAGAGAGCCCATTTTCGCACGATGGAACGGCTTTGAACATACTTCGCCTCCAATAAACTTCAGGTCCCGTGGGCATTGCGCATCGCAATATCCGGTTCCATACCTACGCGAGAGTCAGATAATCTCGCTCAGCCATCAAGACAGCAGCCTGGACTGACTTTGGACCCGCGGTATTGCCCTTATATTGCGACACGCCTCCATCAGCATCCATAGACACAAAGTATAGAGCAGAATTAAGCCCGCATGGAATTTGCGAAAGATCCACATCGAACGTGAATTCCTTGTCAAGAAGCTTGTATATCTGATATTTGTTGTCGTCTTCCATCATGTACATCCGCGATCCGATATTGGTCGAGTACTGTCCCTTCGTGACGTATTTTAGGGTCAGGGAGTTTCCTCCGGCGGTGACGCCATATGCTATCAGATGGTTCAGTCACATTATCCAATGTTCAGGTTGAGAAGACGCACTTCCGGAATAGTCCGCTCCTTCTATTTCACAGTCGGAGGTACAGGCTGAATTGCTCGCGCAAGACCACGTATTGCCATCATAACAATTCGTAGTGCCCCCTTTCTGATGCAGCCAACGCCAGTTGGAGTCGAGAACGACCTTTCCAGCCTTGGCAGAACATGAGCCTGGAGCCGTGCATTCTTGCCAGTTCATAGACGGATGAGTCTCAGGCGTTTGTGTCCCCGCAATTTGAGCGGTGACCGAAGTAGTGAGTGCTAAGAGAAGAACCGAAAGAGCAGCCATGACGATAACAAGACAGATGGCGAGTTCACCAGCAATGACCACGTATTCTACGACGCATGGAGCGACTGATCTTTATATCATGAAAGGCTAAAAGGAAATTGCAATGAAAGACAAGGACTTGCCTCTGTCGCTCCTGGGAGATGGAAACTGTACGATAGCGGTCATCCATCATATTGTTCCATATCCGGGCATGTGAGCCAAGGTTCCGTCGAACATTACGCATTCATCCAAAGCGAATCGGAGGCAACGAATCCGGCGACCTTTCCAGCATAGCGAGTCCCGATGCGATATCAGACCTGGACGGCTGAACTCCGGAGTTCCTGTTATATTCCGCTCATTGAGACTGGATGAGCCATATACCGAAGGAGAACATACGCAGATAAATCAAAGCATCCCTGCGGTAGAAATGCCTCCAATTGGCGCATGGCTAGAAACTGGTAGGAGTAATGACGGTAATTTGAACTCGACATATGACTGGCTGGACTAGGTAGGATGTTGATGAAATCGATTTGAAAACCTGGGGGATCGCAGCGTCCGGTCTGAAATGAGAACATGCAAAGCACAAGGTCTGCACCTCCGCATGTTTCATGAACATAGAAAAACGAACATGGAAAATTGAATATCAGATCACGGTGGGCGAACAATGGCACAGAGTCTCAACTCAGCGACATTGAATGGCGTGTGACCTTGTTGGAGAGCAATTTTCCCTTCCATACAAGAAACGTAGCAAATGAGATAGGCAATATCGAGGGGAAGATCAAACCATATCCTCATGGAAATCATTAGTCCGTTAGTCGAGCTGTAGGCAAGTTTGATGCCGCTCATGTCGTTCGGTTCCATGCCATGTTGGTGAACCCTCTCAAGCATAGAACTATCGCTCAATCATGTCTGAAGGATGCTGGAGACAGTGCAAAAAAGGATAGGGAGCAGAGACGTATAACTAGTCAGAGAGAGGAGTTGAAAACGATGTGCAAGTGAGAAAGCCACTGTAGGCCATGGGCCCGCTGATGAGGTAATCACCGTGCCAGTGTTGGCTGTTGCGGTCAGGAACTCAGGATTGCTGCAGTACGCTAGCCAAATTGGGCTCCCCTTCCTATGGACCATGACCACCCCCTGTATATCATAGCCAGACTATCCGAGCTTATGGATGCTTTAATCGGAAATGATGGTGGCGGTAGATTCCTCGGGGGTCGAGGGAAGAGTTGGAGATGAGTATTATCCACGACCACACGAGAGGACCACGTCATGACCACGGATCCTGACCGAACCAGGTGGTTAGAACTTAGAAGTTCTGCCTTTGCTAGACTTCGGATTATTGATAGTCATAATAATTCCGAATAATGGACAAAACACGCAATGATGGGACGAGTATTGAACAGTCGAATTAATTGTGACGCCTCAACCTATATGGCCCGGTGTCCCATACCATGCATACTCGGGGACGCCAAACAGCGTGGTATAAAATACAGCGAAACGAAGAAACTGGTAGTCCCGCCAGAAACGCCAATGCGCCCATAAGCATCCCCCCACCTACCGCAGCTCACACCTGCTCCCACCTCGTCCGTCGCCTCCGTGCCCCATCATCGCCAAACAGATCGCCCGCCTCCCGACAGTACCGCACCTCTTTCCCCCCCGACGCCGTTACTTCGCTCGCCCAGCACACGACCGCCGCGTCGACGATGCCCCCCAGTACGCCCTCCATGGCGCCGAGCACGCCCCACGCGATGCCGCTGGCCACCAAGCCGACGACATACGCGTACAGCGACCCGCGGACGGTCTTCGCGGGGTTATATGCGGGGGCGGTGTCCAGATTGCGGGAGGTCGACACCCAGGCGGCGAAGCCCATGGCGAGGGCGGTGATGTAGCGGACGCCGTGGAGGATGAGCTTGGCGAGGTGGTAGGGGAGGAGGGGGACGGAGCCGGAGCGGTCGAAGGATGCTGGGGTGAGTGTCGTGGTGGCGCGGTGGGCGGCGCCGAAGTCGAGGGAGGTAAGGCCGCGCGCGGAGATGGAGAGAGGTTGGGAATGGATGGCGGCGTAGGTGAGGGTGAGAGGGTTGGTGAGGCTGGCGATGGTGGAGGGGACGAAGGAGTAGGCGCACATCGTGAAGATGCCGGAGAGACGACGGGGGAGGATGAGGAATGGGAGACGAACGCAGAGGGTGAGTATGGAGGCAAAACAGATCGTGCCGAAGAGCGTATCGGCAGAATGCGTGAGAGAGGCGGTCACGACTTGGCGAGAGGTGGGAGCGGGGACGGAGTATCGGTGGAAATACCACTGGGATACAACGGCGGCAGTGGTTGCTCGCTGCATACCGGAGATGACCGACTGCGTCCACGCGAAGACGAGGACGAAGAATGCTCCGAGCCACCACGTCGTCCAGTCGATGATGAAGAAATTCTTGGCGCTCGAGAAATGCCCGCCGAGGAAGACCCGCGTAAACATGCTAACCCAAATCCACGTCCAGATCAGGAAGATGGCCAGGACACCGAAACCAATCATCATCAAACTTGAGTGCGATGCGAGGATCTTGACGGAGAATTCGAGAATGGCAGTTGCCCGATCGATGGAGTGCCTTGCTTTGATGACCGAGATACTCCAGACGATGGAGCCAATGAGGGGGATGAAGGAAAAGTAGCGCATTGCGATGTCTTGGAATTTGAGGGAAGCCCGGGGCGAGTGGAAGCTTGTTACGAAGGGGTATAGCCAAAATGAGAATAGAACGATCGGGACCCCTCCGACAATGAGGTAGACCAAGGGCCTAGAATATGACCGTAAGAGGCTCAACCACAGGACACCGATCACAGTCGCCACGAAGGTATCTACTATGAGAATATGATAGGACTTGTACAGGGTCGAGTATATCGTGTCGCCGATCGGATGTTTGGCGTCGGGTTTATCCGTACTCATATAAACCAAGAAGAAGCTAGCAAAAAGAGATGCGAAGCACACCCCGAAGAGCGTCGACCAAAAGAGGTCGTATCGAGGAGTCTCGGCCGGTTCGATACCGACGCCTGGTGGTACGCTTTCTCTGTCCGGACTCCGGGGCCGCGGGTTTACTCTTGCGGCATCATCGTCTGTCTCCTGTGGTAGGAATGACTGCAGCAATGGCCTCCTCTGACCTGGAGGTGTGCGGAAGTTCTGAAAAGGGGGGTCGTCATCAGGGTCATATTCCGAAGCATCTGCCGCGGGGAGTTGTTCCATGCTTTCTCGTATCGTGGAGGCCAGATCGACATCCATCAGCCTTCCTTTTCCTTTGTCCGATATTGAACCGTGGTCTGGTCGTATTCCGTCCTCCGCAACCTCCTCGACAGGGTCTATACCCGGAATTTTGGGTCTGATTCCCGGTCGTGTTGATCTCCATGAGCTTTTCCCATTCCTGGCAGTCGAATGTGGTCGTAGATGGTTCGTCTTAGCGGCTTCTCCGCTCTCTTCTAGATTCGGCGAGTGGCCGACATCATCCTCACCCTCCGACGACCCAGATAGATTCCCAAACTGTCTTCTTGACCTTTGCAGGGCGTAGAAGTCGGCAACTTCTCTTTCCCGCTCCTCCCCATCGTCCTCTTCTCCAATATCGTCGGTCACGCTGTAAAACAGCGGAGCTGGCGCCTGGGCTCGTGATCCGAACGGGAACCGCGCGAACTGCGAGCCGCCGTTTTGATACGGGTTGCCTAAGGCCGACCTCTGCTGCTGATGCCTGGACGACGAGAACCTCGACGGGCCGAGAGCGTGCTGGCCGCGTTGTTTATCGTGCATATTGCGGGTTGTGGAGTTTGCGGGATCTCCGCCGAGGGACAGTCGCGACTGCGACTGGGCTAGGAAGCGGGAGGCATCTGTATATCAAGCAGGCGGCTGTTAGACGTCACGCGTATTCCTTCATGGGGCGCCTTTGAGACAAACACTCGATCATGTGCAGCTCTCAGGTTCCCGGTGCTGATAAGACAACGTACATTCGGAAAACATCCTGCCCTCCCCTTGAGCGCCCCGGCGCTCCTTTTCCTTTCTCTACACTGTGATAATTCCGAATCCTCCTCTTTCTAGTATTTGGCCGTCTGCGAGGATGACTCCTCTCTATTACCGGTAGGCTGAAGCTCACGAGCTCACGTGATGGGGGAAGTGGGAGTGTTCCTTCGAAGGAGCCAATCGAACTCGTGTGTCTAGTCCAAGTATATCGGGGGGGTTGATAGTAGTAAATAGGATATCAGTTACAGTAAGCCAAAGAAGGAGATATCGCAGTTGCTCTAGGTAGCCGTCTGAAGCTCCAGATCGGCAAGCTGGTGGCGTAGTTGAGTGGAAGTGCAGTCATAGGGTGAGGATATCATAGGGCATACCTACTGCAGGCTGCTATCAAGCTGAATGACCGCAGCCTGTTCCGACCGAGTGACAGACAGTTCCGTACTCCCCTAGTCCCCTGTCCCAGCCTGTCCCAGCCTGTGAGTGGGTCAGTGGGGTGTGACCTAATTACTCCATACCATGAACCAGACCATGAGCGGTCGTACGAGCCTGAGGTTGCAAGGCAGCCAATTACTCAGCTGCACAGGACAACAAGTATGACGCCGATCCTCCGACCGTGTGAACCAGAAACTAGAGGAAGCTCATCAATCGTCCCAAATCTCCTTCAAGAGAGATAGATATAATTCCAATATTAAGGTAGCCAACTTTTTTGGGATATACACAGAATCCCATTTCCTTGAATCTCACTCATACTTCTTTCCATTCTTCTTCTTTGTCTGTCATTGCCCTGCCGTTGCTTTGAGCCTGCATGCTCTCCTGCGCCGCACCAGACCAAGGCATCCGTCAAAGAAATTAGCTATCTAAGATCTTTGAGCTTGCAAAGAACTTCGAATTACTTGAAGAACTAGAACCAACACAGTTGAGCGACCACCTATTCCATGCCCCAGCCATGGGATTACATCGCAAAGATAGTCTCCTTGGGAGACTCCGGGTGCGGGAAATCAAGCGTATGCCTCGATCGCACCACCTTGACTGCGAAACCCGCTGACCGCCATCTAGTTAACCATCCGACTATGTGAGGGCCGGTTCTCCCCCTACCACGACGTAACCATCGGCGTCGAATTCGGCTCCCGCATCGTCCCCGTCGGACCGCCGGCGTCCCACGCCCTCCGAGTCAACGACCCTTCCACCACCAACACCGACGATGGCCCTCCGCTGGGACTTCCCGAGCCAAAGCCAAAAGTGGAGAAACAAAAGCAGAAGCACATGAAGCTCAGCATATGGGACACCGCGGGCCAAGAGACCTACAAGTCGGTCACGCGGAGCTACTTCCGGGCTGCCAGCGGCGCGCTGCTGGTCTTCGACATCACGCGACGCGAGACGTTCCTATCCGTTACATCGTGGCTGAACGACCTGCGGCAGATCGCGGAAGACCATGTCGTCGTGGTGTTGGTGGGGAATAAGTCCGATCTGGCGGGCTCGAGCATGGGGACGGACGGCGAAAACCGGCGGCAAGTGCGCAAAGAGGAGGCGGATCAGTGGTGCAAGGACAACAACGTGATGTGCTACGTTGAGACGAGCGCGAAGAGCGGCGAGGGCGTCGAAAGTGCATTCTTACAGGTTGCAGAAAGGATATATCAGAACATTGAGGCGGGGATGTACGATCTGAACGATCGTCGGAGCGGAGTGAAGGGGCCGAAGCTGGGGAATAATGCGAGGACGGTGAATCTAGGGTTGAATGATCGCGATGGAGGGAAGGGGGCCGGAAATGGCTGTTGTTGAGTTGTCGACGGCATCTCCTGGGAACATCCATATCATTGGGGTCCCCAACATTCTTGTCTGTTCTTATTCGAAACTTATGTGTCCGATGAGCATGGCGTTACGGATCGTCACTCGAAGTATACGCAGTCGGCCTTTCATGGGCCTAACCGCTTGTTACGTGGATTACCTATATTATACTTGTGGCACGGCTTAAGTGTCCTTGGAAAGCTTGGGCCAACGATAATTGTTTTTCGTTTGAAGTCCTTTTTAATCTTCCATGTCGGGCTAATCTAGAGTTCTTGTCCGGTTATTGTCAAGATTGCAAGAATGCTTCCTGTGAGCACACATGACCACATATATTTGATACCAACTGCCGGAATGAGGGACGGAACGAAAAATGAATATCAAATCAGTCGCTGTAAAGAGCTTGGCACTTAGGAAGTTTGGACTATCGAATTGCGCGGCCTGACAAGTCACAAGAGTGACAACGGATCTGCGACGTTTCCCACGCCGATCAATCTCCTTCTCCGATCCCACCGCCAAGCCTCGCCGATATGGTCCTCTACTTCGATGGGTTGGTGGAAATCTGGACCAATTTTCCAAGACTTCGTCCGCTGGAGATTGATCATTTGCTTTCTTGGGTAATCTCTTGCGACTACTTATGATGACACGCCAAGGCGTCGCTAGACGGCATCCCACGATGATCAGAAAGTAGCTCCGGCCAAGACCATGCCGTGAAATGCTTTACGCGGCTTGGGGGGCAGTGATGGATAGGGAGGGCTGATCAGCGAGGGAGCAGTGATTTGTTAGATATGAGTTCCAGAGGAATATATACCCGACGGCCTATCGAAGGTTTCCTCCTCCCGCATCGCTTCGCGCTTTATGAACTCTGTCCCGTTCATCTCGTGTCTAGCGTATCATACCATCGGAATATCTCAACATAATGCCCCGATTGGCGCCCCGACCGAGCCGAAGCAGCGAGAATCTGAACCCCGATCTCTCCGTATTGCGCAAGTGGCATAAACTCGGAGATCATATGTCTAAAGATGAAAGAGAGTGGAACGATCCCGTCATCCCATCCAGACCGAGCTCCGGACCGTACGTACCCCCTCTCCAACACCCCCATCCCCTCACAACATCTAACCTCTCCACAGCGGTCAAACCCCTACCACCTGCCGCCACAGCCTCTGGCAGCTCCTCGACGTCAATGGCTCCCCTAATTTCCGCTGCCGAGTCTGCAGCATCGACGCCAACCAGAGTCGCCAACCTCCTGAGACCTGCCGCCACAGCCTCTGGCAGCTGGTCCGGGTCGACGGCGCGGCCCATTTCTACTGCAAAGCCTGCGGTATTGACGCCGACCAGCTGACGACCGCTTCCGCGCGCCCCGCGCAACGGCGTCCGAAACAAGCGGCTGGGGGACGGGATGTGGTGGCGCTGGAGGATGGTGACGAACTGCGGGGTCTGGCCGTTATAGACTCTCCATTATCTTCGGGAGAAACGCCTGGGTCCTTCGTCGAGCCGAATAGCTCGCCAAGTGCCGTTCCTTGGAAGGCGACCGACACGGAGCATGACCACCATCACCCAGCGGAACCCCGCAGCGTCAACTCCGCTGCTCCCACTCGTCCACCTCCACCACCCCCTTTCACCATCAACACCGACTCCGTTCTCACCACCTCGAGCGTTGCCATCCAACCCGATCCATCCACCCTTCCCCCACCACGCATCCCCCGTCCCCCCATCCCCGACACCCCAGCCACGTCCTCCAAACGCGTCTCCCTCCGCCTCGACCCCGCCGCCGTAGTGCTGCCCTCCGAACCAGTCGTCCCACCCGCGCACCCCACGCCCAAACGCCTCAGCATCCACCGAGCCCCCCGATGGTTCGAAACCGTCCCAGCCCTCAGCGTCCGCGTCAAGCTCAGCCCAAAAGGGAAGCCCACCCCCGGCGGCGGAAATACGACGCCACCCCGCTCCACCCCAACCCGCGCCACCCAACACACATCCCGTCCCGCCCGAAGTCCGAAGACGCACCTCGCGCTCTCCGGAGCTAACGACGCACGCGTTCTGCAGCGGATGCTGGCGTGTGCGATATTCTTGCTGCCAGAGGGACATGCGCCGGAGATGGGGAGGGAGAAGCGGTTTGGGGTGGTGGAAGGGGAGAGGAGGGAGGGGGAGGAGCAGTGGGCGGTGGATGTGGGCGGTGAAGGGGTGGGGAGGAGAGGAGGGCGGGGGGTGGTGCCGGATGAGCGGGGGAGGGCGGTACCGGTGGGGGGAGCGGGTCGGGGTGCGGAGAGTATAAAGTATAGGGTGGTGATTGCCGAGCGGAATGCTTGAGGTGATGGCTTCGGACGGAGAGCTTATAGTAGTATACTTATGGGAAAATGGCGTCGGTAGTGGGTTCGGATCGCGGCGTCTATCCAGTTATCAAATACTCGGTGCATGACACCATTTCCTTGCGACGACACAATTCAGAACAAGAAATCGCATATAAGAGCCTATGGTTCAGGCAGTTTGCAATTCTAAGCTACATCCGCTACCACCTGCCGTGAACACTATAACTTCGGCTTTTTGAAATACTCTTATCGCCACCAGCTCCGCCGATTTCCTGGGATGTCGTGATACTCGGGTGAAAACAAGAAAAGGGGGGCAAGGCTCCAAACACAAATCGGGATCGAACAATCGCGGCTCCGTTCCGTCCATCTTTTGTCCAGTGTGGTCGCGTATCATGTGAACTCGTTATTCGGAAACTTGCTTGTCGTAGTCGTCGAATTAAAGTGGGAAGGTGAACGGAAACGGAGCCCATGACTATGCTAGCACTTTCGGACGCGCCTGAGGAGTCGATACACACACTACTGGGTTGTCAGCTCACGGTCCTTAAATGACTCCGGCCCCTCAATGTTTACCTTAGAAGCACTTGCGGTGGACGATGGAAGGACCACTCTCATCGTACTCCTGCTTCGAGATCCACATCTGTTGGAAGGTGGAGAGGGATGCAAGAATAGAACCACCGATCCAGACGGAGTATTTGCGCTCAGGAGGAGCAATGATCTTGACCTTCATGGATGACGGAGCAAGAGCAGTGATTTCCTTCTGCATACGGTCGGAGATACCAGGATACATGGTAGTACCACCAGACTATCATGGGTTAGCCAACTGTTCTGGTCAATTGAACGCGAATTTCCTTACCATGACAATGTTGCCGTACAGATCCTTACGGACATCAACGTCGCACTTCATGATGGAGTTGAAGGTGACAACGTGGATACCACCAGATTCGAGACCCAACACGCTCGGCTGGAACAGAGCCTCAGGAGCACGGAAGCGTTCATTGCCAATGGTGATGACCTGACCGTCGGGGAGTTCGTAGGACTTCTCCAAGCTGGAGCTCTGGCTGGCGGTCTGGATCTCCTGCTCGAAGTCGAGGGCAACGTAGCAGAGCTTCTCCTTGATGTCACGAACGATTTCACGCTCGGCAGTGGTGGAGAAGGTGTATCCTCGCTCAGCCAGGATCTTCATGAGGTAATCAGTGAGATCACGACCGGCCATGTCGACACGCGAGATGGCGTGGGGAAGAGCGAAACCCTCGTAGATGGGGACAACGTGGGTGACACCGTCACCGGAATCGAGGACGATACCGGTGGTACGACCGGAGGCGTACAGGGACAAGACGGCCTGGATGGAGACATAGAACGCGGGAGCATTGAAGGTCTCGAAGACGATTTGAGTCATCTTCTCACGATTCGACTTGGGGTTGATCGGGGCCTCGGTGAGCAGGACGGGGTGCTCCTCGGGGGCAACACGAAGTTCGTTGTAGAAAGTGTGATGCCAGATCTTCTCCATGTCGTCCCAGTTGGTGACGACACCGTGCTCGATCGGGTATCTCAAAGTAAGGATACCACGCTTGGATTGAGCCTCATCACCGACATAGGAGTCCTTCTGACCCATTCCAATCATGATACTGCGCTCTTATCAGTCCGGGATCTCCATGATTTCCAAGGGTGGGATCAATTACCCATGATGGCGAGGTCGGCCGACAATGGACGCTGCACGATCAGAGATGTCAGCCAATCAGATCTCACATATCGATGCCAATATCTTCCAGGTGGCCAGATGATGGGGGAGGGATGGACTTACGGAAAACAGCTCGAGGTGCGTCATCACCGGCGAAACCGGCTTTGCACATACCCGAACTACACTCATGTTAGCGAGCCCCTAGAACTGAGATGAAGACATTGGAAGCTGTAGCAAAAACATTCATTGCTGCTATGGCCACGTCGAAGCAATATCGCACAGCTCTTCAAGCTTGTGGGATTCCGAGTCGGTGAGGGGCAGAAGATGGCTTACCCATTGTCGATGACGAGAGCGGCAACTTCTTCTATTGACGCAAAAGCATGTCAGTATCGATTCGCTTCGGATGTCTCTTATCTCGTCGAAGAAAATGATGTCCGGAATGGAGGGACCGAGTAGGATTGGGAACTCACCTTCCATGGCTGCGGTGTTGGAGTTTTAAACTACAGGGAGATTGCGGCGGGGATGTTGCGAGTAGTCCAAGACGAAATGGGAGATGGGAAGGATGAGAGAATAGACAACAAGAAGATGTGCCTTGAGAGATAGAATCGAGAGGTGAAGAAGGGGAGAGGCAATTGTGGAGAGTTGGGTGTCAGTAGGAGAAGCGGGCGCTGGCAAGGAGCGATTGCGATCTAAATAAGAGGAAGTGAGAAACCGTCGATGTCCGTCAAAATTGGCGGTGGGTGGTCCGAGCTCAGCTGGGGGGTGGAAAGCCGATGCCTGGAAAGGTGGAAGGGGGAAAGAACAGCCAGAGGAACGAGGGTGGTTGGCGAATGATGAGGAAGATGTGTCTGCCACCTGTCTGCCAACTATCTGCCACAAGTAGGAGGCACGTACCCGCCGCTCTTTCCAGAATCCATCCATTGTAGGCGCCTTCGTCAGAGTCCGTGAGCGCCCTGCAAATCAACCGAACCAGATCGATCGGGGGGTGACATGGTATGTGAATACTGAATACATAGAATCATCAATCATCAATATTCATCACCGCCTTTCTCACTCTCACTGTCTTACTACTACGTATCATCCCCCAAGTACGTCCGTATTAGAGTATATAATAATAGCTAACCCAACAGCATGAATGCTGCGCATCTCCGTCAGAAGCCGGCTGTGCTCGAGCGATCCACGTCTCCATGCTGATGGCGTGCAGCCTCGCCAGCCAACGCGGCTCTTTCAGTCTCATCCCAACTCCCCATCTCCACTTGCCATCGACTATAATTCCGCCTTGAACATTTACAGTTATCTGGATGGGACAAGAATGCAGCTGCCTATCGGTACGCGCGTTCCATTGCCACACGAACACTTCAATTCCACTGTAGGTACCAAGTCAGAGCAGCAATCGGAAGCTTGGCCATCCATGAGAACAACATGAACAACCTATGAGTACGTGGAGGGCCTATGGGGCATTGTATATTCGTATTGCCATATCATACCACGATGGAATGCTTCCATCAGGAACTCACTTGTCGCATCGAGCACCATCATGGACTCGTGGTCCTCGATCGGTCCATCCTCCCTCTTCACGCCTTAATCATACTGCCCACGTCACCCGGAAAGGAAGGAGGGGTAGCTCTTAGCGGGACGCCCAGCCCTCCCCGCGCTCCGTGTCTTGTTCTCCTTTCCCCGCTCCGCTCCCGGCCCTGCACGTGAACTGCCGTGCTGCACCTCAACCACCCTCGGAGGAGTGGAAGTAATTAACTCATGTATCATGCCGTGGACGAGGTCTGATATCGATGTCGTCCAAGGCAATGTAATTTGTATGTGGACCGCCAACTTCTGTGACTCCCATCTACCTCGCGACAATATGATGCTATGATAAGCCCATCGAAGCAGAGAGAACTGAACCGAATGACCTAGCAAACTCCGCCAGCAAAAGCTCAAATGGCAGACTGACATCGTCGAGCCAACTCAAAATTCAACAATCCGCATACAGATATCAGCCATTAATCCTACCTTCTTATATAGCAACCCACACAGCATCCTCGACTCCTCCTCGACGCCCATATTCTCTATCGCCTCATCCATCATTTCCCGACAAATCCTCCTCCATCCCTCCCATCATGAACGCCGCCGGCGGATCCTCAATGAACGAGCTCCTCCAATGGAGCATACAAAACTCCGACGCCGGCCGTGACCCCAGCCAATCGCAGCACGCCACCCGCGGCCTCTCCGCCGACGCCCTGGCCCAACTGTTCGGCGGCCCGTCGGACGCCGACCGCATGCGTGACGCCATGGTGGCCGTCGTGTCGCCTGACGTCGACCTGGAGAACAAGCTGATCGCGTTCGACAACTTCGAGCAGCTAGTGGAGAACATCGATAATGCGAATAACATCGAGCCGCTGGGGCTGTGGGGGCCGTTGATTAAGCAGTTGGAGAATGAGGAGAAGGAGTTGAGAAGAATGGCGGCATGGTGTGCGGGGACGGCGGTGCAGAATAATCCGAAGGCGCAGGAGAGGGTAAGTCGTTCGTTTGTGTCCTCGAAGAATTCCGTGCTGATGTCTTGAAGTTATTAGCCGCGGGCGGCGTCCCGATTCTCGTGAACCTCGTCGTCAATGATGCCGACCAAGGCGTTCGAAAGAAGGCGATTTTGGCCCTCAGCTCGGTGATCCGAAACTACCAGCCCGGGTTGGACATCGCGCTGGAACATCTACCGGACGAGTACAAGTCGGAGGAAAAGATCGATGCGGGTGATATGGAGGCGGTGGACTCGATAATTCAGAAGCTGCGGGACGCCTCTAGTCAAAAAGGATGAGGCTTGGGGCACGGGATAATGGTTTTGTATAGTATCGTTTGGGACGGATGGTATCATGGTATATGTCTACGTATAGACTGGGCATAGGTGGCCCTTCGACCAGCAAATAGATGGCGGCGTCGGCGCATCCGCTATTGGAGTTGGCTTCACTTCGTCTCATCAGCTACCTTTCGTGTATCCCAGTCCAATGTGTCGACTCCCCTGGTCTCTTGGGCGAACTCTCCTTTAGAGTGGATCACCTTGCGATTCAGCGTGTTGCAGCCATCGCACTGCCAAAATCATCCGGTCCATGCCTTCGCAGCTATAATCTCTGTACCGAACATATCCCCCCAATCCAGCCCCCTCTCACAAAACCGCGCTCGCCACCCCCAACAAACCCAGCCACTCCCCCCGATCCATCTCCCCTTTCCGCAACCCCAACCCCACCACGACCAGCCGCTGCTCCTCATTCCGCTTCAACTGCACCATCGCCGCGATCTGCCGCGCCAGCAGCTGCGCCACCGTATCCCTCGTTGCGTCCGCGCCGCCGAGGATCGTCGTTGCCGTTAGGTGCGAGATGGGCGGAAGGAGGCTCTCCCCCGCGTCGGAGTTGACTTGGAGCGGGGCGGTGGAGGGGTCGGGGAGGGAGGAATTTAGGAGGACGTGGACCTGGTGAGATGGTTAGCTATGGGTGAAGATGATGAGGGATTGATATCGGGTACCCAGTGCGCGAGCCGGCCGTCCTGTGAGATCGTGATGAGGAGCTTGTCAGCGAATTCGATGCATGTGGCGGAGGTTTGGATGCCATCGATTTCCTCGGTGGATGATCGAGTCGCGGCGGGATAGGCCTCAAGCTTGAGATCGGAATGGCCTTCCATTTTCAGAAGCTTTGCAGAATGCTTGAGCAGCTCACATATTGTGAGACTCAATTCTATTTCGTTTGTTATGGCGATTTCATCTTCGATGCTGGTGTTGAGGTTCCCCATCCGTCTGTTTGATTGGCCAACATCCCTGTACGCCTCTACATCATTCGCAGATGCAACTGTAAACAGTTGCGCTTTAACTTTATTTCCTGGCAGATTGAACACCTCAAAATCGATTTTACACCGAAAGTGACGTGTCATACTACTCATTTGATCCAACCGCTGATTATTCGCCACACGCGATACATCGAACCCCTCCAGCTTGCAGAAAGCGCCCCTCCTCAGCGCCATCATGCTGTCCTTGCCCCTCGTCATCCCACGAGATGTATGTACCCTAGCCTTCAACTTCCTCTTAGGTATACTAATAGTACATTAGGACCATGTCCACTGGTACACTCCTCGTCACATCCAAACCACCGCCCCCACCGGCCCAACCACCACCAATCCCCCACCCACACAACTCTCCCAAACCGACCCTCACACCCGCCCCACCTCTCCCCGCCCCCTCGCCCCACGCAGCGCCCTCGCCCTCCTCGCCCAAGACGAGCACACCATCGTCCAACGCAAGCTCAACATCCGCCGCTTCGGCGCCGGGTGGATCCGGCCGCCCGGCATCGCCAAGACGTACCAAGCAACCATGGACGAGGAAGCCGAACGGGCGGAGCAGGAGATGTTGGCACGGCGGGAGGAGCAGATGGCAGAGTTGGCGGCGGCGCAGGACGGGGAGGGGATGTTGGGGCGGGGGGAGATGATGGAGGGGGTGGAAGGGGAGGAAGGGGGGGAGAATGTGGAGGGAGAGCGGGATTTGGACGACGAGGTTCCGGAGGCGGAGGAGGCTCTGTACGATGATAGCGAGATGGGGGGGGAGGAGTACGATGAGGAGATAACAGAGGGGATGTTGGGCGCGGAGGAGGCGGAGTTGGTGGGGATCGCGCAGGAGGAGAGGGATTTGGATGAGGATATTCCCGAGGCGGGGAGCTATCAGCATACGGATACGGAGGAGGAGAGTAGCGATGGGGAGGAGGATGTGAATGAGGGGAGGCTGTTGGGGATCGGGAATCGGATGAGCGTGGGGACGGCGGGGTTCGAGGAGGGGAGGAGCAGCTTGTTGAGTGTGAGTGACTTGCTGGACAGCAGTCCTGTGGCCGGAAGGAGTATGGGGACGAGACATTCGTTCATGAATAGGTTAAGGGGCCAAGGTAACCAGCGGAGTCCTCATTGATCAACAGCATCAAACCACCGAAAGCATTATTATCACGCTTCTAGACCATCCTCTAGGCATATGGAGGGGAACACGCTATTCTGGCGTCTTTACACCTTGCGCTATTAATATAGTTACCAAAAGCCGACAAGAAAGGGAGCCCAAGCTTCTCCCCGCCAGGATGCTCCTGGATCTTGTTCTTAAACGCCATCTCAAATGCGCCATTCACGCCGGGCTCTAAATGCATGAGGCCGGATATGCACAGGTTGACTTCCCAGCGCCTTCTATACCACCACCGTACGGCTGGCTCAAAAGAGCCACACGTACCAAAATAGAAATATCACCGCCGCGAAGAAGCCAACCCATACCTTCCACCCGACCCCCGTCTTCTCAGCCATCCTCAGCATCCGATTCATCGTGCCGCGTAACCGGTTTCTTGTGCCTTCGAACGAGTCGTTCATCTTCTCCGCCAGCGCGGACGAGTCCCGGATCTCCTTACCCATCGCCAATGTGATCTACGCTGGTTGGTTAGTGGACCAATCCAAGTGTTTCTGCCGGTTGAGAAACCCACATCCTTGAGTACTTTGACCTTCCCGATCATCCCCTCGACCTGATCATCGTTCTGACTCTCCAATTCCGAGAGCACGGCGTCGCTGTATCGGCCTCTCGAGTCAGGGGTAGCGGTCCGGAACGCGGCATCGGGCGGCGGTGCTCCGCCTCCGGGATATGCGGAAAATGCGCCCGAGGGTCCAGACGATTGATAGCCGTAGCCGCCGTTTGGTTTGTGGCCTTTTGAGGGTGATTGTGAGTGTGGGCGGGAATCGTAGCCGGAGAAGAGTTGGGATCGCGCATCACGTTGGTGGAGGGTGGAGTTGAATCTGGCGGTTGATTAGCGGGTCGGAGTCGGAGGAATAGGGTACAACGGTGGGAACTTGCCTTGACGCCATGGTTCCGACTATGTAAACAGTATATCATGTTCGACTTGAAAGAGGGTGAAATTTTGGAGGTTGAATAGCCGTTCTGGGTTTCTCAAATGCTCAATAGAGTAAAGGGATGTCTGACGGACGATTGAGGCCAGATATGCCGATCGGGTCGCGTTGCGTCATTGGCCCGAACTTCCACGCGCTTGAAGCCCAAAGCCATGATGATCACTGATGAGTGGTGAATCAACCTGGATTGTTATCGCCAACATTGCCCTTAAGATATATTAGCTAGGACTTCGTTTAGTTATCTCCTCCCCCATGGTGCGACAATGTCAATAGCGCGATAGATCTCATATTCTGGTGATGGCTCTACGATTGTTGTCGCAGCCGGCGACACGAGGGTTTTCGTCCGCATACCGTGCTTCGCTGCGAACAAGGTATGACTACTAGTATCTAGACCTAGAGTCTGTCTTATGAACAATTAAGGCTCTTGGTGTATTTATCAAACCATTTTCTAATCATCCAGTACAGAAACACGCCGCCGTGGTCCATACCTCGACATATCCGATGTGCCACTGTACAGGCTGGAGTAAGGAAATCCGGACATATAACCCCCGATGCAAATGAAACCCTGATATTCTTTGACAGTAAGAAAGAAATTATCTCCTGAGTAGACCCTCCGCTCAGATTATCCCAGATGTCTATCCACTCCGGTTTCGGTGGTTGTTGCGATTTCCGTGGCAATCAGACAGAAATCTCCCAAAGTCAGTTGCAAGAGTCGCAGCTCCTGGGGTCCTATCGTATGATCCATCTCGTCTTATTGAGAAATCCAAACTTAAGGAGCAAGGCGTGGAGGTGAAGGAGATCATTCCTCGATTGAATGAGGGGGCTGCATTCGTCAAAATTGCCTATGGGCCGGAGCAAACTGCGACTGAAATCGAAGATGTCCTTGGGAAATATCTTAAGGAACATACTTCCAGCCCTTGGTGGAACCCACTTCGAAGAATGCGAGCCGACATTGTGAGAGGGAAACCTTGGGTTGAAGACCTGTTCCGTTTCCCAAGTTCTCGAATCGAAGTCGAATTTCTACCAGCAGAATCAGGAGGATCCGCAACCGAGATGTCGCAGGAGCAGCTATATGCTCTTTTTCGGCATTATGGAAAGTTGACAGACATTATGTCGCAGCCGACAGATTCCAAAATTGTTCCTAGGTATGCACTACTTGATTTCACCTCCATACGGCGTGCAATATCCGCGAAAAACTGCATGCATGGATATACCGTGTCTGAAGCTGAAGGCGGAGGTAAGGGGGGGACGAGTCTTCGTCTGAGCTATCAAGAGAAGGATAAGGGACATTGGACCCGGGACTGGCTATTCAGCCATCCTCGGATAGTCATTCCTCTCCTGGTTGCCATTGCCACGGGAATCACAGTCGTTATCTTCGATCCCATTCGAACGTTTTTCATTCGCGCACATGTCACAAGGAAGTTCCATATCGAGGATAATTCCATCTTCACGTGGTTCAAGGCGCAAGCGATAGATATCCTCTCCTTCCAAAGACGGCGGGAGTCGGATTCGGGCATGGAAGCCATTTGGGACGACCGAAGACCGCACATCGAGCAAATCCAGACGTGGCTCATGGAAACCGCCGATACCTTCATCATTGTACAAGGTCCGAGGGGCTCAGGGAAGCGAGAACTTATCATCGATCAAGCACTGAGGGATCGGAAGAACAAGCTCGTCATCGATTGCAAGCCTATCCAAGAAGCTCATGGTGACAGTGCCACCATCCGCGCTGCTGCAGAGCAAGTCAGGTATCGTCCGATTTTCTCGTGGATGAATAGTATCAGTGGCATGGTCGATCTCGCGGCACAAGGCGCAGCCGGCGTTAAAACCGGATTTTCGGAGACTCTCGACACCCAGCTTAGCAAGATCTGGAACAACACCGCTATTGCGCTCAAGCAGATAGCGCTTGAAGGGCGGAAGAAAGATGACAAAGACGCGAACCTTTCGGATGATGAGTATCTAGATGCACACCCTGAGAAACGCCCGGTTGTTATCATCGACAACTTCCTACATCGGAGCAACGAGAACAACACTGTCTACGACAAGATGGCTGAGTGGTAAGGTATCCCATACTGTTGGGAGATCCTTTTGCTAATTATATGCAGGGCTGCCGGTCTCACAGCGGCAAACATCGCCCACGTCATCTTCCTTACCAACAACGTCTCTTTCTCCAAATCCCTAAGCAAGGCTCTACCCGACCGAGTATTCCGACAAATATCTCTCAGCGACTGTTCCCCCGAAGTTGCCAAGCGATTCGTCATCAATCAGTTGAAGATGTCTGACTCGGATGAGGTCGCGTCTTCCGAAGGTGTCGAGAAGAAACCCTCTCCTGAATCGATGAAACCCCGTGATCTTTCGGAGCTAGACTCCTGCATCGACTCTCTCGGAGGTCGATTGACCGATCTGGAGTTCCTCGCCCGCCGCATCCAGGGCGGTGAAACTCCGCGGAACGCCGTTCGCGAAATCATCAACCAGAGCGCATCCGAGATCTTGAAGATGTACATTTTCGGGATGGAAGATTCCACACGGCGTTGGACCCCCGAGCAAGCGTGGACGCTCATCGCAAAGTTAGCGCAACAACCTGATATCCGATACAACGAGCTGTTACTTGACACCAAATTCTCGAGCGACGGAGAGAGCGTCATCCACGCGCTTGAGCACGCGGAGCTCATTACCGTTGTCTCCGCAAATGGGCGACCGTATGCCATCCGACCCGGAAAGCCCGTGTATCAGCCTGCCTTCAAGCGATTGACCGACGACAAGGTATTGAAGAGCCGGCTTGACTTGGCGATCTTAGCGGACTCGATCAAGACCGAGACGGCCAACATCGAAAAATACGAGAAGGAGTTGACGGTATTAGGAGAGCTTCCCAAGCAGCCATCGGAAGTGGGCCCGAGAGTGAATTGGTTGTTGAAGAAGTTGAAAGCGAGTCAAGTCAAGATTGAGGCAATGGATGCAGAGAGCACCAAGTTGAAGAGAGTCCTCCAGGAGGAGTATTGAAGGTCATGAATCGATCCTTTGTAGCCCTTCTGTAATGTATATACACATGTCCACTCTATGATACATGTGAGCGTCCATCCCGGCTCACCAAAGTTTAATTTCAAAATCTCCGGCCTAAGCCCGAGTGTCCAGGTCCCATCGCCTGGCCTGAGTTTCACTTCAAAGTGAGTTCAAACTCCCTAGCCCATATATTGGAGTACCTAGATCCCATCACTGGGCCTGAGTCTCATTTGAAACTCTCCAGCCATATACTCAAGTGTCAATGCCCAAGTCCCATTGTAGACCTAAGTCTAGCCCTCTCTCGAACCTCAAAAGCAGATACGCCGAACCCCCCGAACGACGATTGCAATGCAGAAACTAAAAAAACGAACACGAGTAAGCTGGCCTTCTAAATGGAAAACTCGCTTATCGTACACGGCACTTCCATTCCTACCATGCGTAACCATCGTCATCGATGTCCTGTCCGTTCCAGTCTCCGTCGTCATCTTCACCTTCCGAAAGGAAATCCCGTTCAGTGTACTGATGTCGCGCGGGCCGCAGACCGTGGACCGTGATATCGACGCGTGTGCATGTCCCTTCCGCTTGGTCGTCATTTGCTGCGGCAGGCTGCCCATTGACGGCCGTCATCGGCCTCAATTTCCGCTTCGACAACATCTCTCCCATCTCCTCGAGCGGCCCTCGTAGGAACTGTTGCTCTTTCCATGCGTAAAAACCGGCCACCGACCTCAGCTCTTGACGTGGTTCGGCGCGAGAAAGGAAACTGTGCCGCATTTTGTTCTCGACCCAATCCCGCTTGAACTGCGCTCGTTCGCGGGGCGTCAGTTCCGTACAGTTCATATGGAGAACGAGCTCCCGGAGGTTGGGCATCTGGCTCCGTCGATCGAGAAAGGATTGAAAGAGATTGATCGCGGAAATGGTCGTTACGCCTTTCAAATTTACCATCGCGATCGAGCGGATGGCCGGCGGGAATGCGACAGTCCAGTCCAGTCCTGAGGAATCAATCCAGTCCGGGGACCCTATCATGTGGTCTCCGCGGTATTCAAACAGGTCAATGGAGAACTTTTTCAGTTTGGGGCAGTATCGATCAAGTCCTTGGATGAAACCAAGGCCCAACTCCTTGTTGTGGTATAGTTCGAGGGACTCCAGAGTCCTGCCATTGTCCATTAAGAACTGGTTGAGATGGGGGGTTGACAGATCCGTGCAGGAGGAAAACTCGACTGATGTGAGATTCTTTTCATACTGTGTCAGGAGTTTGCCGTTGATATCATGATGAACGGAATTCGGATACCAGATGAGGGCGGAATCGACGAATCTCAAGGACTTCAACTTGGGTTGCTGGCGGATGAAGTCCCGCAAGATTTCCACGTGCACCTGCCGCTCTGGAGGTTCTGTTTCAGGGTCCCTCCTGAGGAGGACATGGGCGTTGGCATTGTGGATAACCAGTTCTTCGAGAGATCCCAAAGCCCTTGCTCCTTCGGCCCACAACATAAAGTTGAAGAACCCCGCGCGGTTTATCAAATCGATGTCCAGCGTAAATTCTTTCAACGTGGATTTCAGTTCATCCAACGCTGGCTGCACCCACCTCTCCAATACCACTCCAAGACCTGTGGTGTTCACCATGGTTCGAAGATAGTCCACATGCAGTCCAGTCAGATTTGTGAGCGGCCCGGTGAGAGAGGGCAGTTGGAATCGGCCACGTCCGGGAGCGGAGAGAATCAAGTGCTGTTTGGCATCGAGGTGGAGATATCGTATTTTCGCCCGATAGTCCACGGCAGTCTCATTCGGGTCCTTCACCAAAAGGTCGGCGAGAAGATGCGGTTTTGCGCGCGATCCGGAAATAGGGGGGTCTTCATACAGCGCCGTCAGCGCTGGCTCTTTGAAACTTTTGCACATGGTTGCCATATTGATAAGCCATTTCACCCCGTCTGTGGCTCGCAAAGTTTTCTTGTCGATGAGAGGGTACGCGGCGAGCTTGAAGATCTCCACCCTAATCTCATAGGGAAACTCAGCGAGCTGGAATCCAGTCATATTTGAGTTGCCTTTGTCTTGAGGCGGCTTGAGCTGGTCCAGCTCCATCCGTTTTGATTTCTTTGGCTTGCTGGAGTGAATGCGAGAGACGCCCTGTTTGATGCTTGCAGGTCGGGTGCGTATGGCAATGCTTGGAGACTTCCGTTTTCTCTTCTTTGACAAATGGCTCTTCTCTGGCCTGAATGATGTCTCCGCATCGAAGTTCTCCTTTTCTAACTTAGTTCCATGTCCGGTCAGAGCTGTTTCGGTTCGAGATCTAGTTAGTGGTCGTGTGGGGGTTTCGAGATTTCGTGAGCTAGGTTGGAGACGCCCAGAAGATGTGCTATTCGCCATGGGAGTGGCCAGGTAGGCATCGACGACATCATCGTCGTCGCTGGGTTCTGTATATGATACCCGTTGCCTTTTCCTCAATCGCTGCGCCATGAGCTTCTATTCTTTTTTCCCCAGGCAACACAGCCAGGAGCATTGGCAGTATCTACAGTTACCTCTATAAGCGTGCAAGTGCTATTCATATAGAGTCTATAGCTAGGCAATGTTGCATAGGGTATATTGTGATGAGTTATGAGTGTCGTGAGAATCGGATAGCTGTCAGCTGGAGGATTATGACTGGGTGAGGTCATTCGGCTATATCTCGGAAATTGATTAGATCACGTGCTAGGCACCAAGGAGTTTATACCTCAGGCATCTATAGTACCAAACAATGCCTAACAGTCCGACCCAGATGGATTTCTACAGAATACACCCGGAAAACAGGGATGACTTGTGCTTCATTTTGATCTCAATCCGTTATTTTTCGTTCTGGAATGATATATCTATTATCATTTGCCTCAATTGCCATTGCTATATGTACGTGCTAGGTCGAAGACAACTTGGTTATAGCCAAGGATCGGCATCTGCCAGCACTGTTCCCACTGGTTCATTGCCTGAGAACACTTTTCACGAGGCCGAGCGGGTGGGGTATTATGTTTCCTTTGATTTACCAGGGAGGAAAACGGGTTCGAAATCCCTCGTGAGTATCTATAATGGTGCTCGTTGGTGATACAACCAGTCCTCCTATCTCTGTTGGATACATCGAGGGAACGAGGATTCTATGCTGGCAACTCCATTGGGATTTATCTTACATATACTCGTACTTGCTTGTGATTGAGTAAATTTCGATACAAGTTTTGATGTGCACTCCTAATTTAATAACATAGCTATACTTCGCGGCGCGAACACTGGATCGGTTTTCTCAAGGGAAGGGGTGGGCAACCAAAAGGCGGAATGGCTGTGTATCCAACTACGATGATATTTCGAAGTTTGACAATTCGAAGTGGTTTGCGAAGAGGCACAGGGCGTCCATTTCATGATCCAATGGCATAATGTGAATCATGGGAATATGAGGGGACGACACGGTTCGACGGGCAATCATACAGACATTGGAAGGGCTGACACCTTTTGCAGATCAGAACGGTCCACAACGGCCAGCGAACATAGCCAAATAAAAATGAATTTTATTCCTACTTCACATCAGTTCTTTGAACTTTACAACGCCAGAGCGTTCTGGACCACTCTCAGCCGATCTGGAGAGCAATAATACATTAACGCAAAGTCACAATCCCGCTCTCCGGAGCATAATGATAAGCTGCCACAGAAGAAACGGCACAACCGGACTCGAAAATAAGAATATCCCGGTTCCGGCGTTTGAGAAGCCAGAACGGGTCATGAAACCGGCCAACCGCGCCGGCGAACTGGAAACGCGTCGACTCCGACACATACCACCACCGATCCATCCACCAAATGTAAATAGCCAAATCGAAAAACTGTAGAAAAAAATAAGGCAAAAAACATGGAATCCCAGAACCGTGATCTATGTATCGAGTTCGGGCCGAAAGAAATGGACATCGTTGGGTCGTCATGTAGAACTTTCGGGGGGGTCGGGTGCCTTGTGGCAATGCAGATGTGGAAACAGCCAACCAACCGCACAGTGTCTATGGAATAGGTCAAGTAGCTGTGGTCGGGCTTGAAAATATCGATGCCGTGGAACGTTGGATCAGATAAGTCTCCGGCGTGATCGTATGTATAGAATGATATCGGATCGCTCCAGAGGTGTCGATATCCCAAAATCCAGATGGCAGGCCAGTAAGAAATTATGATTAGTGGGGAGTCTATGTTTTTCCGTGGTCGTAAAGGTCGGCATCAGAGCAGACATTCATCGTGTGGACGAATGGTCCGCTCTCCGGTCGTGATCGATCAGCAACACAGTTTACGACCACCGTTTCTCTCCACCAATCTCTTTCAATCCACCGATCCGTTCCAAATCCAGCGACTGATACCGATCCGCATCCGACTGCTGATACGGCGGCAGGTTCTCCTTATCGTTGACCGGCGCCATCCCAACGCTATTGGGCTTATCGCCAACCCGCACCACGACCACCCGGCCCGACTGGCGCTTGCCCTGCTTGTCCAGCTCGTCCGGCAAGGTGATACGAATCTCCGGGACCGGGCTCTGGGGTGGCGAGTTAGAACTGGCCATGAGGTTCTGCTTCTCCTGGATGACGTAGACGGACTCACGGCCGTATGGGGCGGCTTGGATGCTCAGGCCGCGAGGGTTCCGGGGGGTGAGGGGCTCTTCGGATATGGAACCAGTGCGGCGGGAGGAGGCGTTGCGGCGTCGGCGAACGCGGCGGAGGACGAAGAGGAGGCCGACGCAAAAGAGGGCGAAGACGAGGAGGGAGAGAAGGGCGATGATGAGCTTCACCATCGTTGGGGTGAGAGTGGACTCGTTGCCGTCGTCACGGACGACGAGGGAGCGTTGAATAGCAGGCATTGCGATGTTTGGGATGTTATGTCCGATAAGGTATATTCCAGTACCGATACCAAATGTCGGTAATATCGGGATAAGGATGCAAATGAGCGTGGGTTGCTGTTGGATGTTTGAATAGAAATGCTTCGGGGGCTATTCGGACAATGCGTTGTTAATCGATGCTAGCATATGCTGCATACGATATGGAAAAACTGCTGGAGCAAAGTCGATAGTCGTGTTGTGGTATGATATCAAGTCCTGTTCGCAGATAAGGGTCAGCATCATGTGCATATTGGACTCTAATTGACGTTATGATAGTCTTCGAGCAACAGCAAAGGGAATCGAATGTCCCAAATCAAACAGCAAGTAGTAGAAAGCGATAAATGCGACTATCGTTGGTGTTGTTGCAGACCGTTGGTCCTTCTTACTTACGGAATGTAGCGTGGAGTTCGACTTACCTTTGGGCGCTGGATGAGGGCAAGTTAGGGCAAGACAAACAACAGATTGATTTGACTTCGTTCGGATTCGAAAAGAGCGATAGAAGTAAACGAGAGACGATCCGATACAACCAGCTGAAAGAGTGAAGCTGGAGTATGGAGGAAAGAATGTATCTGGTGGTGGTGGAGGAAGAGGAGAGATAGTGAAGGAGAGGAAACAAAAGGGTTGATGTTGGTCGAAGGGGAGACAAGACAGGCACAATGGAAAAGCAGCACGAGGAGAAGAACCAAGAAGAATACGACAGGAGTGGAGTTGGCTGCAGACGGTGACCGGTGAACAACTGGGCTCCCTCGAACAGGAGTGGTGTGTGCATCGCTGCGGCGGGTGTGCCTGGCAGAAGCGCTCAGGGCCTCCCCAGCCGCAAACAACCCAACAACCAACGAGCGAAGGAGTTGTCCTCTTTTGTGTCTTGGCTTCAAGGAGCAAGGCAGATCAACATTCAGTCCCCACACCGAAAACCGAGAAACCTTTCCACTGTGGGTGGGATAGCGTGGCGCCTTCGTTCAAAACGGTTAGCATGCGACGTTGCACGGATCGTCGGCGCGGGACCGTTTGGTCAGCTAACCGTATTAGGAAATATTGAAGCCGGGATTGGAGATTGCGATTTCGTGATCGGACTCCAACGAACTGCTCCTTTTTGGCCGTTTTGTTGGAGAGCGCCTAAAAAGCACACAATGCGCAGGGGGATCTCGTGGACAGGTGGACTCATGGCTCTGGGACGTGGTTGATTCTGGAAATAAATCAACCTTGAGCGCAGGGTTGATTAATGATTAGAAGGCTTGGTTATCGATTCCATGTCCCGACCATGCGAAGTACGAAGCAATGGCGATAGGGAACGTGCCGTAGGAAATCCGATGCTAGTGTTTTCCAATCCCGCTCTGTCGTGCTTCACGAGACTTCACGACGGACTTCGTCTTCGCATCTTCTCATCTCATTCCCCGACGGAGAATTCGGGGTGGGTACAATTTTCCTGGGTACATAAAAAACCCTTGGCTCCTGAAAATAGGGTCTTGCTGAATCGTCAATGCACTGTCACGAACTGATGGGCTGGCGGGCTGAGCCTCGCTCGTATGAATGGACTCAAAGGGATGAGACGACGATGCAGGTTTGAACTTCGAATTCAATCATGTATATGTAGTTGACGATATTATCCTTACCTGCACAAGCGGCGGACAACAGCTCCGCCAGTTTATCTACACTCTCCAGTCCCTTGAAGATAAGATCAGGTTCCCATTTCTCAGATCACCTTAATAAGTGGGGTTCTCCTGTGATGCCAGGCTCGTTTCGCCTTCTTCTCTTCTTCTCTTGCCTTGCTATCACTGCATTTTGAGAGGCTGGCGACCTACTTAGTTACTCGGCCTCTGACGCCAAATGTTACAGCCTTCGGAGTCTCGGAGGGCATGGCACTTCTATCTCGTGGTGGCTGGCCCAACGCGAGGCTAACTGATGCCATCATGGCACATGGGTACCATAACCACCCCGAACTTCCTCCTGGAATCAAGAGAATAATTTCTCAGATGGTCGTCCGAGGTTTGCGGAAGGTTCTGGTCTTCCGGGCGAATGAATTGTCGAATGGGGGACGCTGAGAAGCATCGTCATCCTGGTGATCGCAGAGGAAGAAGGATGCCAGCCGCCAAATATCCAAACTCACAAACACCATGATGGGAACTTAGGGGACTCAGGTATGACGATTGATGTCCCTTGGCAGATGCTCAACTTGTCGACATGACTATCATCATTTCCCTTCTCTTCACGATACGATGCATTCATAAGAACTCGCAAAGTTAGTACGCCCGAGACGGCCGACGCATACGAGGGGTTACTCGGGTAAGATACCTCCGTCGGGGTGATGGCATCCTATCCACAGTTTCCCAAAGCTGCGACGCGAATCCAGGCCCAAGCATCGGCGTCCTCGGTACCTAATAAATCCCCCGACAATCGCACGATGGTGAAAAGTGTGAAAAATTGCTCTTTGATCTGGCGCTGGGATATCATAAGGAGGTCGTTCGGTGTCTTTCCATCCGAGTCTTCCATCATTTCCGATAGCAGCAACCTCCTTTTCAAATGAGCACCTCTCTAGCCTCACCACTAGACCGTAGATGTGGAAGATCGAACCATGATATTTACGGAATATCACATCCAGTGGTTTTGCTCCCGGGCGGCTGCAATGGACTACATGAGGGTACCAAGTACGAAGCCGGTGGTCATCCCGGACGGTATTTATGTCGTGTCGTGTGAAGTGTCACTTAGGCGTTGCCTGTCCCACGTCTCATCGTTGCCCACGCCGAATGCGTTACACATATATCGACTAACTCGCCCCTGGCCCGTCAAGTTCATGATGGATCCGGAGCTGTTGTACGGTCTCGGATTTATCTGATGAATAGGGTACCCGCAGAAAGACAATCCGCCAAAGGTGCGTCGTATCAACCCTGGAGATTGTTGCTAAAATTATGATTAGCAACCCACCTGAGTACCCGAACACAGTCGTATAGACCCTAATTGATTGGCTAACATATGGTAACGTTACCATTTACCGTCTGACGGGAGGTATGGTAACGACTCCACCATTTGGCTGGTTTAGTCTCCGTTCTATTTCTGCCTATCCGGGGAAACTCTTTGCTTGTGGAGGCCTGGAGATGATTTGGGTTATCGATCAGATCAGTGCTAAGCATCACGAGGGATATCGACAATATTGTGAGTAATTATACAGGAATTCGAGGTTTATATCCTACCTGAATAGTATCCCAACTTTCGCGCCTAAGCACATCGGTATGGATAGATGCCGGAGCGGATCTAGGAAAACCTCATCACCTGTACCGTATCTAACCAGCGATTCCCCTCTGCACTGCTGGTCGCTGATGGGCTTTGGATGGCTGGCTGCTGTGATAGTTCGGTTATGAAGAACGGTGCCTTGTCAAACCGCTCAACTATCTCTGTACTGGCCAATGGGCCTTATTGAACCATGGCAAGACCGAAGGCACCAGCAGCTTTGGCCATCTACTCATGGGCCGCATCACGATCAAGGAAGCGAGTCTCTGGTTATCTGACCACGGGACTTGCAGCTGTCGTGCGACCAAGTCGAGTGGACGTGACTGTTGGCGTTTGACAAAGCTAGAGTATGTAACGGCTTCTCATGTCATCTGAGGTCTGGCGAAGAAAAGTCTATTTGTTTGGCAAGTGAGGCCATGGGATACCGTTCCAGCAGTCGAGGAGACGAGCTATCAATTTGAAACTGCTCGCCTCAAGCGTTGGTGTTCTGAAACGCAGGTGACGGCGGGGTTTGTGCGCCGGAGGGCGTGATGAGCGCAGGAAGCAAGGCGGGGTGTGGTACGGATGGAAGAACGGCACTAGCAGAGAAGCGTCCCATTATGTAGCTTCAGGTTTAGAGGATGGTACGAGCAGTAATTCAAAAATATGTCAGATCACTTGCGGTGAGCAAGGCAGAAGTAGGCATCCGATTGATCAACGATGGGGTCTGCGTGCCACGATGCAGTACTGTGATATCCTTCTGAATTTTGTGAACGAGGGGAATATGAACCGGGGGGTTGATTTGTTTCCAACCCGCTATTCGCTGGAGTAAGGGTTTGTTGAGGATCAAACATCTTGGATGTTACATTTATGTCCTAATAACAAAGGCACAAAATGCAAATGGCGTAGAGAGAGACAGCAATTAACGTGATAATCTCATAGTTAACTAAAGATATCCAGGAGATTGGAGACGCTAGAATTAGAGCCCACACCCTAGTTTCTAACGACTGTGGAGTGTGGAGTGTGGAGAATTGGATTGAATGTTGGCAGCTCTCCCGCCCAAAGACAGAAAAATGAGAGCCGGTTTCATAGTTTCAAGCCGCGAAACGACCAATTTGGGTGCCCCCCCGCGGCCTTCACTCTTTGGAACCTGGGGCCTGGACCCTTGGGGCTTGGACCCTTGGATCCTCCCCATAAATCCACTCTATCACCGTAAATACGCCGCAAATAAGGCTTTAGTTAATGGCACTTAGAATTAACGACTCCAACCCCGCACCAGACTGTTCTTTGATCTTTCAGTTATTACCTACCTTAGCGGTTGGATGGTATTACCGCTTTACCAGTATTAGCAGAAGGGGATGATGGGGGATTGGGGAAGTGGAGTGTTTAGTGGACCGCCGTAACAACGAAGCCCAAATCCACCACCAACCATCGGATCTGATGTATCATCTTGAATTCGGCATTTCTTGATCTCTTGTGTTTCGCGAATCATCCCATCAGATCTCGCTCACGCCTTACCCAGTTCCTTTTCCTTTCTTTCCTTTCACACGCTCACCAGCTATTTCTCTTCTCCTACAACCAACTTCTCCACAGTGCCAGTCACCTTGAATATTCGCCTGGCGTGCCCTTCGTCACCTTCGACCTTGGTTCCTCCTCCCCCATCTTCCCATTCCACCACTTTCCCCGTCCTCCCCTCCCTTGCGTCGCGATAATTTGGATGGAATCCAAATCCTCCCTGCGGATGCGTTCCCCAACGGACGCGGTCCATCCAGCTATCCTTTTGTGATCCATGTAGAATACGGTGCCCATTGAATGCGCGCGCCTTTGATCCTCGTCCTCATTGCGCCAAAAAAATACTCGCGCGGCCTTTTCCAAGGGATCAGCTCAACAGCCTGCGTTTCCGCTCAAAAACCTGCTCCTCGCCCACTGCCATTCCGCCATCGCATCTGCAACCCTTCTTCCCACTCTCGGATCCTCCGAATACATACCTCTCCTCTTGTTTTTGTATATTGCGCCCCGTACGGAGTAAGACGAGCGCTCTTAGCTGGCCTATATTGCCCCGCCAAACATACCGGTCGAATCTCCTGCCCTTTATTTTTTCCCCACGGAGAATCCAGCCTAGACGGGTGGCTTGACGATCGCCGAGTCGGGCCAAACCTGCGTTTGCCTTCCGCTTCAGCCCTGTCGATTCGCGGACGCGGTGACGCCTGGGAGGGAATTTCCAACCTTCCTAAAATTCAGCTTTCCCGTTGGGTAATCCCATCCCATTGCGGGTAGCGACTGACTTATAGTCCGATTGCTACTCTTCTCCTGCCTTGCTCCCTTCACTTTCTACTCTTTGCACCCAAATCCCGCGATTAATCCATTCATCCAGGCCAGGAAGTCTGGCATCAAGTATCCATAATGGTGTCTAGACGACCGAATGGGAGACGGATTCCTGCACTGCCCAACAGCCAAGTAAGTTTGCTTCTCGACTTTTTCCATATTTTGACATGTTTGTTGGTTTCCCCTTCGGAGAACCCTGGCTAACCTCGAATTCAGCCTAGAAATGCCACCCATCCTAATTATGACTCCCCTTTAGATGACGAGCACTTTGATGAGGACTTTGAGGCTACCACCGCTTCAAGCGTCAGCACGCCAGGCGACAGTACCATCCTCCCGCCTATGAATCCCTTTTTGGAAAGTACCATCTGGGCTACCACCGCCTCCGACGGTCTTAGCAATGGGATCGTCTCTACTGTACGAGATGCTTCCAGGAGTCGAGGTATGGCGATCATTAGAGCTTCCTCAGACCCCAACGCGCTGATGATGCTCACAGAGCGACCGAGTCACCTTGGATCTTTAGCGGATACGAGTACCGCACGAAGTGGACAGTCGACTTCATTGTTCCCTTCGCCTGACGCTGCGGGTTGGAATGGTCAACTCTCGCAGTGGCCATCCGCTCCCATGCAATCCTCTCTTTATCCGCGAAGCAATGGCGTGTCGCCATCCAGACAACGAAGCTCGCAGGCCACACCTCACTCACAGTCGGCTTTTGAGGGTGCCGCTCAGTCGTTCACGTCGTACCGCACACCTCTTCCGCAACAGTCTGGTATGAACCCACTCGCTCCGCTATTGGACTCCAACACCAGACTGTTGCGCAACGGCGACGCGACTCCAGGGGGTTCCATCACCGCTCTTCCCGCGGCCGGCAACGACCCGAACCACACACCGCCTACCACCAACCCGTGGGTCGAGGCAGGTGAGTTTAACTATCAACCACCCGACGATCGACGCAGCGTGACAAACCCCGACCACTTCGGCACGCACAGCGCGGCGGGATCACGAAATGGGAGTTTACCGCCATCGAGACATGGTGCAGATTCCGGTGGATTTTCTAAGCAAGCGGACGATTTCAGCCGATTCCCCCCTGCGTCGAGCCAGCAGTCTTCGGTCCGTCAGTCATCAGCGATATCCGGGCAGGCATATGGTCGTCGATACAACGGCTCTCCCAATTTTTTAGAGAATGAGGTGGCGATGCTTAACCGATTGAGAATCGAGGGCGGGATCGATCGTTCCAGTAGCTTGCATAAACCGGCGCTAAGCGTCAACGGCGCCCGACCCGGATCCACGGCACAAGGACCCGAACCCCACGATCTTCGATATGCTCGCGCCAGTCTTCCAGATATCTTGCAACCCTTCAACGACGGTTCATTCAATGCGGCGGGTTCATTTACGCCGGAGGGGCAGCCTGCATCCCTGGCCCAATTCAATAATCACCACGATCACCTCTCCAATCTGCGGAATCCCTATCGCAACGGTGCGGCGGGAAATAGGGGGGCCTGGACTCCCAATGGTGACGCCCTTCGCAATGGCACTTATTGTTCGACCGGCTCCACCCCTCCAACGCACGACCAGCCTCATCACCGCCACGATCTGACGAATCTTCCGTCGACCGGTCCCTCGGGGCATCAGCACCGCTCTCTTTCCTATGGCAACTCCTCTCTGCTGGAACGAAAACTCCGTGGTTTGGAGCTCGATCAATCCCGTGTTGCCGCTTCGCCCCCGTCGAAGATCTCATCATCTACAGCCTATGCAAATTACCTTCAAAAAAATGCACAGAATTCGTATCATCAGCAAATGTCCCAAGGGCAGCGGATTGGTGGATCGCCGCACCTCAATGGATATGCCAGCACGCAGTATAGCGTGCCTCTTTCCATGCAATCCAATGCCGGGACCGGATCATCAATGTCAATGCAGCACTTGAACGGAATGCAGAATATGAATGGAATGATGCACTTGATGCCGGTGGAGATCCCGAAAGGACCGCGGGAGCAAGAGGGATCCGTGGGCTTGCGAAGCGCGCTTCTAGAGGAATTCATCAACACTTGGAAATTTCGGAAATGGGAATTGAAGGTATGCTATTCAACAGCATAGAACGTCTGAAGGATCCCACTTTTCGGGGTGGACGAACTTGAATGACCTTCGCGCTATCAACCCAACCAGTGCAAGGGCACGAAAGTTCGTCCATGCCGGACTAACATCATGCTCAGGACATGCGCCACCACGTCGTTGAATTTTCCGGGCACCAGCTTGCATCACGACAGATCCAGGACAAGCTCGGGTCGTCCAACAGCGAGGAGAAAAGCCGATTCTTCGAAGAGCTCCTGCCGAACGCGACGCAGCTGATGGCCGACGTCTTCGGCAACTACGTGATCCAGAAACTCTTCGAGCATTGTGATCAGAACCAGAAGAAGCTCCTCGCCATGGAGATGAAGACCCATGTGGTGAGCCTCAGTGTGCAGATGTACGGCTGCCGAGTCGTGCAGAAAGTAAGTGGTGCTTTCAGTCCGACCTTCGACCCCCTTGCTAAACATCGTGATCAGGCCCTCGAGCATATCCTCGTCGATCAACAAGCAGAGCTCATCAAAGAACTCGACGGCCACGTCCTCCGTTGCGTCAAGGACCAAAACGGCAACCACGTCGTCCAGAAAGCCATTGAGCGCATCCCGTCCGAACACATCCAATTCATCGCTGACGCCTTCACCGGCCAAGTCGGCCAGCTCGCCAAGCACTCCTACGGCTGCCGCGTTATCCAACGCATGCTTGAGCGCTGCGACGACCGCACAAAGCGCACCCTCCTAAACGAGCTGCACGGCGAAGGGGACCGGCTCATCGCGGACCAGTACGGGAACTACGTCACGCAGCATGCGATCGAGCACGGCTCTCCCGAGGACCGCACGAAGATAATCACCCACGTCAAGACGAGGATTCTGATGTTCTCCCGACACAAGTTCGCGTCCAACGTCGTGGAGAAGTGCCTCGTGCACGGCACCTCGGCGCAGCGCCACGAGATGATGCTGCGGATCCTCGAGCAGTGCCCGCGCAACCCCGGGGTGGCCAGCAACGAGGCGCTCTTCCAGCTCCTGAAGGACGCGTACGGGAACTACGTCGTGCAAAAGCTGCTGGACACCGTCGACGACGAGGACTACGAGCTGTTCGCCGCGCAGTGCATCCCCGAAATGCCGCGCGTCAAGGAGTTCGCCCAGGGCAAGCAGGTCCAGGCGCTCGACGAGAAGCTGCACCAGCGCGCCCTGTATCGCGCAATGCCGACCCTGACGCCCTCCGGCTCGGGGACCCCGCCGCTGGAGGACGACACGCAGAGCCCCGATGGCGTCTCGAACCCGAGTCCCAGGGAGGACATGCATATAGCGCTATCCATGCGTCCGGAGTTGAATGGGAAGGCGTCCGCCGGGATTCAAGCACAGTTCTCCGTCCCTGATATCGGCGTCGAGCCGTTTCCTGAGCCAGACTCAGACCCGGACTCGTCATAACTGGTTGAGCTGGGTTGAACCACCTCTTCTATTCATTCCATCCCATCAATCGTTTGTAATTCAAGAACCCCCGGTCACTACTGTCAGTGAGCCGGTCCCGTCACCCCTTCGATTCGCACTGTAATCCTCTTTTCAATGTTTTAATCCCCGTTCAAATCAATCTTTCCGGTGTATTTTTGCCTTTCCCTTCTCTTTATTTCACTCCCTTCCAACGGCGTCGAAAAACGGCAGAAAAAGGAAAAACAGGGGGAGCACGGGATGATCGCCTGGTCACGACTCACGATTCTCCCGTCTAACATCACTCTAGACTCGCGACCACGGTTGCGTGCACGGTAGCATATTTCGATTAGTGGGTGTACAATCGGTTCGGTCGGATTAGGTGGTTGCTTTCGTTTTTGGTGTCGCGTCTCTCTTTTTAATGCAGCTGGGGCTAATTGTTCATGAATGCCATTCCTTCTACCCTCGTTTCTTGCGTTTCGGCAGATTTAACTAATGGCTTCGCCGTATCTGCTTGGATAATTCGCCTCCACCTCATGTAATGCTCCTACCAGTTTCGTGGTTTTCGGTGTTGTTCCTCCATCCTGCCGTCGCTCCAGTCTCGGCAATCTGCAGACGGATCCGGACCGGTGCTGACAGTAGATGGTATGAATGGTCTGAAGGCGCCTGGTTGGCATGGAATATCAACAGATGGAAGGATAGGGTCCAGTCGGACACCGTTTCGCTTATATGGAGTGGTGCAACGGGCTCTACTTTCTGGGTTCGGTCGGTAAGGTACATGTTATGCGGACTGTTCATGTTAGTCGGATGCAGGTATTGATTGTATCGTAATTCTATCTCCGGGTATTCTCATGAGCCCCATGAATCAGGGAATAAATGGGTCGGACCCGGTGGGCGGGCATGGTTGGCGTATTTTGGGATCTCGCCGGGAAACGAAGATAAATGCATAGTAAATCAATGGCTAATCGAAATCCCTTACTCTTTGATCATGGCTTTTGCTATGGGAGTGATTCATTTCTAAGGCCTAGAGGCTTAATCTTACAATTCCATCTATACCATCATCCCTCATTCTCCTCGTCCTCCTTCCTCTGCCTCTCCTCCTCCCCCACAATCTCCTTCCACCGCTCCGCAAACTCCTTGAGCGCGTCACCCCCCCCGCGGCTGGCGTCCACGACGTCCCGGGGCAGTTTATGAGCGCTGTACTGCTGCGAACTGAAGTTGTACGCCTCCGGGTCATCACGGTGGACGAGACGGAGTTCGGGGAGATGAGGAAGCAGCGCGTCGGGATTGAGGAACTCGGAATCGGCGGGTTCGGCAGTGTCAGTCACGGCGCCGTTGGTAGCTTCGGGACGTGGTGGGGTGGAGGAGAGGTGCAGTCGGACAATTTCCAAGGGCGTGAGCTTCTCCTCATCATCCTTCGCATCTGAGTCAGGCGGAGACGGCCTCTTCGGCATCTCCGCCACCTCTGCATGCTCCTCCGTCAACAGCTCCTCCCAACTAAACAGCAGCGGATCCGTCCGCGGCGCCCACGGGTTGACGTCGATCAACCAGACGCGCTCGTGGGCCGGCGGGATGTACACGTCGAAGGCGTAGTCCGGATCGGGGAAGGCGTGCTGGAGCGTGCGCGTGAAGAACTCGAGGATGGTGGCGATCAGCTGCGGGCGGAGGGGGAAGAGGAAGTCGAAGTGATTGAGGTCGCGCTGAGAGATGCTGAGGAGGCGGCGGTTGCGGACGAAGCAACGGAATTCGAGGGACGGGTTGAAGTTGACGGATTTGCGGAGGACGAGATGGTAGGGGATTTCAGGGATGCTGTCCGGTTTTCTCGCCTCTTCATCGCCGGTTGCTTGGGCTTCTGATGTCTCAGCCGGACCGTCTGCTTCTTCCTCCCGATCCGTCTCCTCACAGTCATCAAACACATGCTCCAAATCGTGCGTCACGAAATCCGAGCTCTTCAGCAACAAATACACATCATTGGGCGTCCGACACTCCATGCTATTCGTCGCCGAGATCCACGTCGCATCCTTCGGCGCGCTCCAGTTCAGCTTCGGGTGCACCTTGCCGCCCAGCTCGGCGATGGTGGCTCTAATCGCCAGGTGCACCTCGCGCCACGCGGTGGACGGGTCGTCGTCCTCATCGTCATCGTCGGACGAGGAACCGCCTTGCTCGGCGGAGGAGAAGATTCCGCTGTCGTCGTCGGACCACTCGTGGCGGGGGGTGTCCTCGGAGGGGAGGATGATGCCATCAGCGCGGAGGTAGGAGAGGAAGGCGGGGGGGAGCGGGATGAGACGGGCTTTTGGGGTGACGGAGCGGTATCTGTATTATTAGTCTCGGTTTGACAATGAGTAGGCGTAATAGTTACTCACTTAGGATGCCATGAATGGTAGGAGCAGTTTATGATGTGAGATTTCGTCAGCAGAGGGAAGGTTGGTAATATGAGATTCTCCTCTTCTACCGAACTTCCCGGCTCATTTAAAATTTCAAGATTACTTGAAGCCATATCTGCAATCCAAAATCCGTCGAAAGATGTCCAAATCAATGGTGAAGAAATGTACGTCGTGAAAGTCTGGATGATGGTCGAGAATTCGAGATTATGACTCCATTCTCCACAGTGCAACCTTGATGGCGATCTCGGCCATGACTCGCGCATTTGCCCCACCTCCATTTCTAAAGCCAAACTTCACCACCATATCAATGACATTCACTCTGGAGTTTCCAACTAAAATCTCATGTTTAGATAAAACAATGACCCTCACCGCACCGTCGTAAACTGAACATATCCCCCCGACGCTAAAAACCTTCAACCCAACATGTCTGACAACGTCGGCCTCACCACGCCACGAGGCAGTGGCACCTCTGGCTACGTCCAGCGCAACCTCTCCCTCCTCCGACCGCGCGACCGTGTCGAACCGTACTCGAAAGAGCTACGACATCAGCAGCGCAAACCAGATCCGGAAATCCTGGAGCATGAGCGGAAACGACGGCTGGAAAACGAGGTGTATAAACTGCGCGATCGCTTGGAAGAAGAAGGGTAAGCAACCCACCTGGCGACCCGTTGCCACGCCCCTTACACAGAGCCCAACTGACTGTGTCCGTAGTGTTAATGACGATGACATCGACGACCAATGCGACGCGCTCCGCAAGAAGCTGCAACAAGACTTCGAGCGGACAAAATCGCGCCCCACGGACGCGAAGGGACTGAAGTCGCATCAGGTGCACGACCTAGCGAAGGCGAAGATCGAGGAGACGGAGAAGATGCGACGCGCGTTGGGGATCCGGGAGGATTACGAGGAGGGGAGCCATTGGGAGAAGTCGGAGCAGCGGATGCGGGATGCGGTGGAGGAGAAGGAGGGGGATCGGGATCGGGATCATTGATGATTCGAGGACAACAGGTCGAGTTAAGGTCGCAAAGTGGGGGTTAACTCCTGTTTCAGGGTTCGGGCTCGCCCTACGGCGCTTGGGAATCATGGCTTCTGTCAATGAGGTATTGGCGTCGCGCCAGAGATACGGACTCGAATAGAATTCCGACACGGCTACGTCCAGGTGTTGGGGAGGTTCAAAATGGATGATCATATCCAAATATTAATGAAAATCTAATATACACAAATACACATCTATCATCTCCGATCATTCCAGTCGTAACCCTCGTGAAGCCCATGGAGCAATGAGCATGCCACGATAACCATCCACGGCCACCATTGTACGGCCCGAAAGTTGGGATCCGAGCCACCGACACTTTTCCAAACTGTGAATTCCTCTCATTCGTGCCATTTCGTCTTATATGCTCCATTCGATAAGGTATTCCTTCCAGGCAACCACAACACGTGGCAGGCCTCCAGCAGGTGCTTGAACGAGAGCAGGTTCGTAGTACAACCACGCCTTGCTGCTAGAAGTTACGGTCCTGGTCTATATTTTATGCCGCCCGCAATCCGGCTGTTGCCAGATTAGTCAAACTTGCCACCAAGCGCGATAGCGATGTGTATCGGTGCAGGGTCGAAGGCGACTAAAAATGTCACTGCAGTGCTGGATTCGCCGCATACAGCATTCGCATATAAGATTGCAGGTCAAGTTGCTGGACAAGCCGGCGCCAGTGAAGCATGGGATACGCCGCGATGGCAAAATTGATCTGGTCCTTCGGATGCAGATGCCGGAGGATGTTGAGAAGGACCTCGTTCGGCAGCATCCCCTTCGCCAAGGGGTTCTCATTCCAGCCGTTCGGCACCCAAAAGTCCGGTTCGAATTTTCCCGTGTTTTTATGGATGCCGATCGCATGGAAGAGGCTGAGGGGCGGGACGATCTCGGAATGCTTGAGACGCATGAAATCATAGCATGCGAAGACCAGTGCCATGAATTCGTGGGGCTTGAGGTGGTCGATGACACATCGTCGCAATTCCGGAGGGAGGTCGAAGAATCGGAACGCGTTCTTGGATCTCCTAAATGGGCCCGGCCGTCTTAGTGCAAGGATATTGGAAAGGCTATCCGGAGCCATGATGGATTTTTCAGTCAACGTGCGGCTTGGTGGATTCAGATCGCGGTGACAGGATCGAATATGCCTTCTTAGCGACGAACCAGCTTAGGAGCCCGGTCACACAGATGTACACCCCAGTTGGTACCAGTGATGCCGGGAGGATATTCAAAAGGTAGGGGTCCAGAACTACGGCAGGTAAGCTTCATGCGACAAATAAGCAGCTGCCAGACTAACTGATATCCACAGGGACAGGATAAGGCTTAAGCATCAACTCGGTGTCAGGTGAAATGTATTCAGGAGAAGCCTGGATCCGCAAGAAGTGCTTGGACGTGTGTTTCAATTCGGGCACTGGCTCCTGGACGATGCAAGAGTAATCACGATTCTCCGAATACAACACCAGTGATTGGATAAGTTCTGGTACCTGGAGGACTTCGGAGATGGACAGTACGTCGACGTCAATTTTGGTCGGGTACTATTATACGTCAGGAAACGTCGAACGTGATAATCAGTCTTTCCTACTGTGGCAGGCCAGCAAACCCGCACTTCAAAGCGCTGGCCGATTCGCAGGTTCTCCAGGAGGTACCAGGAGGAATTATCCGGAGCGCTAAACGAAACTGGTAAACTGGCGGGCTCCTGGAGGTGATGGGGATGCAGACTGAGCACGTCCAGATCGTCGAGGGTTGGATGGATGTCCAGGATCGGAATGCTGGGCTGAGCGATGAAAACGACCTTCTCGACGTTGGCCTGGACAAGTAAAACAAAGAGTGTGAGAATGTGGAGAAAGAGAAGTGAGGGCATGATGTCGGTAGGCTTCAGTTCACCACAGTTTATATGATCATCACAACAACACCGTCAAGGGCTGATGAAGCTATCCGAGGGTGACTCTGTGGGTGACTCTGTGGGTGAATCCGTGGGGGGAGGTGATAGTAAAGGGCGAAGCACTGCATGAACCATTTACAACCCCAATTGCATAGATATCGTTACCGTCAAGATGGAGACAGTAGATTTAGGAACAACTTATCCTGATATATGGATTCTGATATATGGTCCCTGATAGTGTATTAGAGAGTGTACCAGTAGAGAGCCGTGAGAATGTAGAGTGAAGATGGGCAACTCCTATCGAGGGCAAGGCCGAAGATCAGCCACCGCCCTCGAACGCGCTTTCCTCAGTTGGCTGAGAGTGGAAGTGGAAATGGGGAGGATGGCCCGAGCTTCAAGTACTAGACCCCATCGGGTATGGGCGACAACACAATAAACATCCATCGCCATCTCTTCTCCTTATCCCACCGCCTGTTCACAGAATCTCTCTCCATCCGTCTTGAACCCTCTCTCAAGATTCATCCTTCTTGTATCCCCCTTCCTGTGAGCCATTTACCAGCTCACCATCGCTTTGCCATCCCTCATTCGTCTTCATTCCACTGGATCCCTCCGAATAACCACCCAACATGCGTGAAGTTATCAGCTTGAACGGTAGGGCCCCCACATACGCGCCATGTCCTCACAGAATATGCGAACGATGACTGACAATGTCCTTATATAGTTGGCCAGGCTGGTTGTCAGATTGCAAACTCCTGCTGGGAGGTATGCGTCCCCTATTCCTCCGTCCATGGACAGCTCGGGATTGGTCGGTTGCTGTCATACGAGAATCTTTACTAATCCAATTTCCTACAGCTGTACTGCCTTGAGCATGGCATTCAGGTACGCTTGTCTCCTCCGAACCACTCTCATTGTTACCATATGCTAATCATCTTTTCGTGTAGCCTGATGGATATCTGACCGAAGAACGTAAAGCTGCCGACGATGACCAGGGATTCAGCACCTTCTTTTCCGAAACCGGTATGTTGATATTGATGCTTGCTCGGCCAATATCATGCTGAAAAAGAACCAGGCCAGGGCAAGTACGTCCCCCGCACAATCTACTGCGATCTCGAGCCCAATGTCGTCGACGAAGTCCGCACCGGCCCGTACAAGAGCCTCTTCCACCCCGAGTACATGATCACCGGAAAGGAGGACGCCTCAAACAACTATGCTCGTGGCCATTACACCGTGGGCAAGGAGCTCATTGATCAGGTCTTGGACAAGGTCCGACGTGTCGCCGACAGCTGCTCCGGACTTCAAGGTTTCCTTGTGTTCCACTCCTTTGGCGGTGGTACGGGTTCCGGTTTCGGTGCCCTGTTGATGGAACGTCTGTCCGTGGACTATGGCAAGAAGAGCAAGCTTGAGTTCTGCGTGTATCCCGCACCCCAGAATGCGACCTCCGTCGTCGAGCCCTACAACTCGATCCTGACCACCCACACGACCCTCGAGCACTCCGACTGCAGCTTCATGGTCGATAATGAGGCCATCTACGACCTGTGCCGTCGCAGCTTGGGCATTGAGCGCCCCAACTTCGAGAACCTCAACCGTCTCATTGCTCAAGGTGAGATATTCTCTTGAAATTGTAATCGACAGGTCTAATCCGTATTCCAGTCGTCTCCTCGATCACTGCTTCCCTCCGCTTCGATGGCTCCCTGAACGTCGACTTGAACGAATTCCAGACCAACCTGGTCCCCTACCCCCGTATCCACTTCCCGCTCGTCGCCTACTCACCCATCGTCTCGGCTGCCAAGGCGTCTCACGAATCCAACAGCGTCCAGGAGATCACCTCGAATTGCTTCGAGCCGAACACCCAGATGGTCAAGTGCGATCCCCGCACCGGGAAGTACATGGCAACCTGCCTGCTGTACCGTGGCGATGTGGTGCCAAAGGATGTCCATGCCGCCGTGGCGACCCTCAAGACCAAGCGCACCATCCAGTTCGTCGACTGGTGCCCCACTGGCTTCAAGATCGGTATCTGCTTCCAGCCCCCGCAGACCGTTCCGAGCGGCGACCTTGCCAAGGTCAACCGTGCTGTGTAAGTCCCCTTGGAAATCCATGATGAGATGGGTTAGCTAACTTGCATAGCTGCATGCTTTCCAACACCACCGCCATCGCCGAGGCCTGGTCTGCGCTGTCCCACAAGTTCGACCTCATGTACTCCAAGCGCGCTTTCGTTCACTGGTACGTCGGCGAAGGTATGGAGGAAGGCGAGTTCTCCGAGGCCCGCGAGGATCTGGCTGCCCTCGAGAGGGACTACGAGGAGGTCGCGGCGGACAGCCTCGAGGATGATGAGGGCCTTGATGCTGAGTACTAGACGGCGAAACGTACAGGACCTATATCCCTGTTCAGGTCGGTTCTGATCGTTTTCGCACGCGGAAATCATTTCTCTGGTACTGGAATGCCTTGAAAGTCGAACTCTAGCGAATCACCCTTTACTCTTGCTTTGTTAAATAGGGAGATGGATTAGAACCGACATCGTTGGTGGCGAGTAATTCATATCTTAATGAGAGTCCAATTCTACACTACGGATGCCAATGCTTTGGATAAACTTCTCGTGATATGCACATTGGTTACATTCGATCCACCCAAAACGGCCCATACATCTAGTGCGACCGGCTTTTTACTGGTCTGCGATTTGTGCCTTAACCCAAGACTCGAGCCCTCCCTTCGCAATAATCTCCTGCACATTCGGCGGCATCGACCCCACCTTCACATCCCACTCCTCCCCGCCGGCCTCTTTCACCAGCACCCGACTCCTCCGCAAATCCCACGTCAGCATCCACCCTGTCCGCACCGTCCCCTTCTTCTCCGCGAACGCCGCCCGCAGCTTCTCCACCACCTTCGGACACTCCACGCCCAGCAACCCGTTGTTGATGCTGTTCCGCGCGAAGATGTTCCCAAAGCTCCCTGCGACCACCAGCGGGATTCCCTTGGCTAGGATGGCGGTGGCGGCCTGCTCGCGGCTGCTGCCACAGCCAAAGTTGAAGCCGGAGACGAGGACGTCGCCGGGGCGCGCGATCGAGGCGAAAGCGGTGTCGTAGTTGGACATGACGACTTCGGCCATTGTGTCTTTGGTGACGTTGTCTTGGTAGGTGTATTTGCCGGGGTAGATGCCGTCGGTGTTGATGTTGTCCGCGTCGCAGAGGACGATCTCGCCGGAGATCTTCTCGGGGAACCCGGGGAGGATCTCCGTCAGGTCATCGGCGGTCGGTTCGGCGGGGGGGTTGGAGGGAGTTTTGGCACCAGCTTCGGCAGTCGGCGAACCTTGCTCGGCTTGCTCGCTAGCGGTCTTGCTGTCCAGTCCCAGGTTCCCGGAGGACTCGACCTGCGCAATGAGGCTGTCCGCCTGGGACACGATACGTTCCAACGCCTCCGCGATGCTCTCGGTCTTGTGCGCCTCGGGGTGCCGCCCGTCGCCGAAGCCGCGGACCACTTCGGCCGCGCTGCCGCCTTCGAACCAGCCGGGGCCAGCGATGGTACCCTTGAGCGCGCTCGCGGCCACCACCTCGGGGCTCGCGAGGTACGCCTTCGCGTCGACGCTTCCCATGCGGCCCTTGAAGTTGCGGTTGCTGGCGCTGATGCCCACTTCACCGGGCTCGAGAAGACCGGTGCCAAGGCCGATGCAGGGTCCACAGCCGGATGGGAGCTCCATGGCGCCGGCGGACGTCAAGATATCCCAGTCGCCGGACTCGACGGCGGCGGCTTGCTCGGCGACGGAGGCGGCAGAGATGTACATGGCGACGTGGGGAGCGATCTTGGGGATCGTCCCTTCCGGCGAGGACTCGGCGGCGGTGCGGAACACACGGGCAGCGGCGGCGATGTCGGAGCGGCGGGAGTTGGTGCACGATACAAGGTAGGCCTTGTTGATCTTGATGTCCTGGCTTTCGAGCTCCGGGAGCGCGGTGGCCACTTTGACAGAGTTGGGGCCGGAGACGTACGGCGAGAGGGTGGACAGGTCGAGGTAGAGGTACTTCCCGTATTTGGCAGTTGGATCGGCAACCAGCGGGTCCTCGAAGAGGTCGTTTAATCGTTCGTGGTTGAAGCGCAGTTGCGTTGGGCTCGCGGTGGGGACCGATGTACCGTAGATAGCGGCTTCGGTGGCTTGCGCTCGCAGCCATCCTTGCAGCAGCGAATCGATCGGGAAGAGCCCTGACAGTGCGCCCCATTCGGTGGTCATGTTGGCGATGGTGAGCCGGTCATCGATTCCGAGGCTTCGCATCGTCTCTTCCGCGCCGGTGAATTCGATCGCATGGTTCAAGACTTCGTCGTTGTTGAACAGACCACAGAGCGCAACAATGACGTCCTTACCGGTTACACCGGTTGGCAGGATTCCCGTAAAGGTCACTTTCGCAATCGGTGGGATTTGCCACCATGTCCGTCCCGTCGCCCATATGCTGGCCGCGTCGGTCCTCACGACCGGCGTCCCCAAGCACCCAACTCCACCATACATGTTGCTATGGCTGTCCGAAGCGACAACCAATGTTCCCGGCCAAGCATAACCCTCTTCCACCATCACTTGATGTCCAATGCCGTGGCCTGCCGGGTAGAAATCGACCCCTTGCGTCTTCGCGAACTCCTCGATCTGCCGATACTTCTTGAGGTTCGACTCGCTCTTGTTCTGCACGTCATGGTCGAGCGTCATCACCGTCTGCCGGTTATTATGGATCTTCGACGCGCCGATGGACATGAACTTCGTCGCGACGGGCCATGAGTTGTCGTGCGTCATGCAGTGGTGTGGGGAGAGCGTGACATAGTCGCCGGACAGGACGCGCTTCCCTTCCGGGAGGCCGAGGGAAAACTTTTGCACAATCTTCTCGGTCAAGGTTTGCGGGGTTTGCGTGGCAGTCTTGGTTGCGGAGAGGAACGAGGCTGCAATGGGATCCTCCAGTTGCGATTGGAATGCCCGGACATCTTGTCGCTGTGGCCGGGACGTTGAGAATAGGTGCCTCTGTAGTATGGACGGGTTCGAACGATGTGTGACTCGGTAGAAAGCAAGTCTTGATGCCCGCGACCACTATAATACAGGTCTCATTAGCTCTAGACAATAGCAGATGTGACGATGTGGAAGTACCAGTTGTCGCTGTATGGGCCGGCCAGTTGCCGTCAGCACTCGGTACAATTGCACCATTTTCAGCTCGCAGTGACCTAACAACAGGCCAATTCAGGGTGAAGTCACTCCTGAATCTACAATGGGTAGAGCAAAATATGAATGGCGAAGTCATAGCAACCGGGAACAAAACTTTCCAGTGATTCCCGAGGGCATCTCAAGCAGTTCAGCCAATCAGAGTTCAGCTGATTCAACAACGCCATCATGAGATTCAGTTGAGTGATTTTCTAGCTTCATTTGATATGCGTTTAAATAATACTGGTACTTCGTTCGAGATGCTCTTATGGATCGAAAACATTTATACACGCCCCTTGAACCCAATTCACATAAGAAATATGGTGGGAGCACCAGTTCCAGGCCTCATCCATCAGGGTAAGATTCCGGAGTAATAGGCTGAGTGTCGTTTCTGAACATTGAGCTATCATTTCCATATCTCCTGATTAATACGGCACCTATCTAGAACGCCATGATATGCAGTTGGGTATCTATTGGTATTGAAAACATTGGCAATTGTCCAATTCCCTTCTCGTGAATACAAATATTCCGACGCCTAAGTAGGACTGTTGAGTGGCCAACGACAATGCCGAGGCTTCGAACCTGGGTGCAGGATTAGGAATCAAGCCATCTTGAACGAGACCGGGAACGGGGGAGTGGAAGTGCGCAGATCAACACCTGTGAACCATCTAGGAAGAAGGATACGGAATCGAAATACTTCACATGAGAGGTTCGGTAGCGAGGTGTTCTAAGATGGAGGCCTCCCAAATCACACCGCTCATGCCTTGTCTTAATCGTCGTCATCGTCATCATCAAACAACGGGTCAACAGCCCCAAACAGCATTTTCCAAACGTTCCCATCCGGATATGGCTCGAAGTCGACATAATCCCTTCGAAGGCGTCAGCATTTTTAGCAAACCCATGGAGCGTTGTAGCTTACTGTTCTACCCCCCGATTCTTATAGTGCCAATTGAGACGGTCAAGACGCTTCAGTCGATCCGTCCCTCGAGAGCTGTCTCCAAACTGAATAAACTGGAGACCAAAGAACCCTTTTTGTTTCCTGAGGGCAGAGACGAACTCAACAATTGGTGGTTCCGGGTTGTACTTCTCCGGCCAATCGCCGTCCGTGAAGACGTATATTGTCCTAGGCCTTACGGAGTCTTCGTTGTGGGCATCCACCGCGGTCCTTAGCTTTTTAAGGAACTCGTTCAGGATCTGACCTAAGCGATGCCGGATATCGCTAGGATAATGACCCTTCTTTGGCTCTTTGGCCCGCACGGCGCTCAAAAGACTGGTAGAATGCCGTTTATGGATGACATCTAATGTCGATGTAAAGCATAGATCCAGTCCATCAGGGTCATACGGTTTTACAATGTATCCTAACACATCCAGGCATTTTTCGACGTCTTGCCAATGCGGCTTCATCGATGATGAGGTGTCGATCAGGAAAACCTTCCGACTCTGTTAGATGGAAAAGGAATGGCTCGAAAACGGATGACTTACATGATCACGCTTCTCCAATTTACTTTCGAAAGTTTGCAGGTGGGGAAGAACCTCTTTGGCTTGCGATAGCTTCATTAACCGCACCTTTTGCTTCTTCCGCCACTTCCGAGCCTCCTTGACGGGAAGAAAGGGGGGTTTGTGATCGAAATTTGTGCCAGAAGGTTCTTTCGAGTTGCGTTTTGAGCGCCCTCCTACGGACGATTTCTCCTCCGATGGTTCATCCCCTTCTGGGGGAAGTTGGAACGGGGCCCTGGTATCGCGGCCGGTTGGCCGTCTAGAAGGAGCAACAGCGGCATCTGTAGCAAACAGATTCAGTTTCGGCCGTCGGTTTCTTTGGCTATCGATATTGGATGTGGCCATGTTACGACCCCGCCAGCCCAGTTTAGGCCCAAATTGCAATTGATTTCCTTCACTCTGCCCATTTCCATCTAGGTGCAGTCCTTGCATCTGGGTATCCGGGTAGACTTGGGAATATCGTTCTCTTGTTGGCGATGTTTTTAAGATCGGTGACGTTGCAGAAAATCCGGAGACCCTGCGAGTATAGACCCCATCCGGCGACAATGGAGGTCGATCCATCTCGATTCCATCTCGCGTCCTGTAGATGGAATCATGGTTCTCGTCCTTCATCCGTGAGCCAGGCTTGTATTGGCTGCCTCCGTTGCTGGCTCCATTGTCATGGCTATCTGGAAGTAAATCCCGATCATCTAAGACCGCAGCTTGACGTGTCGGAGTGTGTGGACTGACAGGCAGAGATGACCAAGGCGTCGTCCGTGACCGGGGGGAAGTAGAAAATGGGCTGTCTCTGTGAGAGCCACGACCATCCTCTAGGATACGGCTGAACGCATTCCAAAGAATAGCTGCACTTTGACGTCGCTCCGATGGAAGTAACATATCTTCTACCACTTCCAATGCGTCTAGAGTAATCTTGTCGGAGCGTCTGATTTCCTGGCCAAGATCCAGGTGGGTTTTCCGCACGATGTCTAAAACCCCTTTCCCGTCATGAAAACAATCAGATTCTTCAATATGGCATTTCGAGGTCTGTTCTTTGCGGAGTGCGGTGTATTCTCGGAGCCCATTTGGACCTCGAACCACCCAAACGGCGGCTTCACTGAAGATGCAGCCTAGAGACCAGATATCGGTGCTTTTACTCACCTCCAAAGGTTGAGCATAAGCAACTTGGTCTGGATTATAGCATTCGGGGGGGCCGTATGTACGTGTGACGGTGCCGCTATATCCCACGACATCATCCTCGTCCCGTTGAATACGGCTGAGACCTAGGTCGGCCAGCTTGAAAAGGAGTTTTCCATCTCGCTTGCACACCAGGATGTTCTCTGGCTTAACATCCTGATGGTGTATACAGTGGGTCGTTTTGTCCTTGAACTCTAGACAATGGAGAACACGAAGCGCGCGAGTCAGGGGAAGCAATGCTTCCCAAAACTGGAAAATTTCATGTTCTTTAGATAGACTCGCATGCTCTTCGAAATAGTTTTTGAGTGTGCCTCCGTTGGCGTATTCCAGGATAAGATGGTAGGTAGGACCGTGAACGAAAGCGCCATAAAATCCGATGATAAGTTCTTCCCGATATGCATTCGAGCATCGAATATTTATAAATGCGTCGACCTCGACAGAGAACCTTTCGGATGGCGTGTTAAAAGACTTCAGGACGAATTGATTGTCCTCAGTGCTGGACTATACCTCCTGTAAGCAATTATATTTTCCAACACTGGAACCGCTTCATACCACTTACTGGAAGGAGATTGTACTCAGGATGAATCGTAATTTGATGGGTTCTTGAACTGCCATGTTGCTGTCCAATCGGTTTGGCGTCGATAATGGGGAAAATCCGGTTGCTTTCGTACTTTCGACTGCTCCAGTATTCGATCTTTGGTGGGCAAAAGTGCCACTGTGATTCGACGAACTTTTTGAAGTCAAGATTCAACGGCCAATGTGCCGGTTTTGTTTGGAACGGAAGATGGCTATCCGATAAGCTTTCATAAACACAGAAGTGTTCGATATAGGTCCCGTTATTATTATACAGCAGGATAGCGAAGCATTTCAAGTAACTTCGTTTGATTGCTCGTGTCTGTAGGTCCAAAGGCCTTCTGGTAGGGAATAGTTCGTGGCCGATCGCGACCAATCGCCGCTCGTCGAAATGCTTCGAAAGGGTGCTTTCTGGAACCCACCAACTGTTCACATCTTCCAAGCCAGACTCGTGACCTACTACGCCATTTACGCGCTCATCATTCACGACGTCGTGGAATTCGGTAACAGCGCGTTCATAGCGGGTGTGTGGGTCGCTATTTGAGCCTTGGGCCATTATGGTGAGCTGCGAATGTGCGTCGGCGGCGTGTTTCATAGGCTAAGAGCACCAATACAAGGAGTTGTCCCGCTCTCTCAGTATAGTTTGATGTTCAACGGTTGAGTAACGTGTATTATGGTTCGAGTTGGTAAAAAGACTGTATTGAACCGCATGCAAACAGAAAAATAGCGACTAGAACCGAAGATATAAACTCAAGGATGAACGAACCAGCAACAAGGCGGCGATACAACGGCGGCTAAAACATCTTATAAGTCTCGGCGGGGACCAGAGGCCGCATTCTGTTTTCACTGAAGCCGCCTCGACTCCTCTGAAAGGGTTGGGAGGGTGGAAGAAGCAGTCTTCAGCCAACTGCAAGCATGCGAACCACCTCGTCCGCATTATTGTCAACGCAACTACACACTGCGCCCAGCTGCAACCCCCATGACCATCGAGGCTTTCGGATCTCACTATGATTGGTGGTCTTGGGAGTGGGATGGATGAGTGGATGACCAAGCAAGGATGGAAGGCTGCTGGGCTGGGGATTTGGGACAGTGGCATGCAGGTTAAAGACGACGAACCAGAAGAGCGTCAGGTAATAAATAAGGCACCTTAAGGTTGGGTGGGAGAATAACAATAGATGTCCCCTGAAAAGTCTATCACGTGTTCTTGTTTTCTTGTCTTATCTCAAGCTAGTTAGTATCATACACCTTAAGTCAGATGTTCAAATGCAGTGCTCTAATTATGGTAAACTATTCTAAAAATTTATAACTAAGAGATTTTAAAAGTTCCAATCCAAGCATTGTAGCTTCCTAACCAAAGACTCGATATCGTGTTCGTGACCTGACTACATAGTACGGTACACATGTACTAGTTAACTAACTACATTAACTTAAGTTAGTGTACCTAATTACAGGTAACTACCTATACATAGTATGCTCGGACTGTGGTCAAATGATGGTGCCTACGAAGACCACATTGGTGAACAAAGGTGATCAATAGAGCTCCCAAGTGGTTCGTTTTATCGGTCGCACCAACCACTGATGAAATCCAGAAGAGGCGAAAAGGCGGGTGAGGGACTCTCGACAATCGTTTGAGCCTAGCTTTCGTGATCCTGTACTCCGATCGATATCAGCTGTTGAACAATCGGCCGTCCACTATGGTATAGTTGCATGAGCAGGTCCGCCCGATTCCCACGACGGAGACATAACATGCTATATGCACTTGAAAATAACGACAAGAGTTTTAAATTGTAGAACACAGGAACTCCCAGGTTAGAAAGCGAACCAAGTCATATTCCACAAACTTCCTTACAAGACGCGACGACAGTCAGGCCGTTATTTTTCAATATTCCAAAACCTACAATGACGCTCCGTCTAATTTGTCATCGGTACCAGACCGATCTATTTGTTTCCTTTCGCTCAATTTGTTGAGGCGACGTGAGTATTGCCATGCTCCGAATAGTGTAACTGCAGTGACAGGGAGAGCGAGCTCCAAATATAGGCATAGCGCTGGGCTCGAATACGATCTCCTTTCGACTCCTGATTCCGAGGTGGGAAATCGTATGATATCCGTACTCATCAGCGTCTGGGGTTGTTAGATTGCCATTCGCTCCGAAAATATTGAGAGCACTCACTGATATGAAAGTCCCTGGTAAGAAGAACAATGTGACGATCGTAATGATCCTCATGTGGACCGTTTCCGTACGCGTTTCCTCTGCAACGCGTTGCATGTCTTCGGTAATCCTGTGCATTTGACCTGCAGTCTCTTGCTGCTTAGACACAAGTTGCATGTTCATGTTTGTACTCCGTTGCTCTAGAGTGGCATGAAACTGTAACACATTCAGTATAAACCAAAAGGGCCGGGCTGAGGCTCATACCAATTGCTTGCGACCCTCCACAAGCCTCTGCAGGGCTTTTATCCTCCAGATATGCCTATCAGCGTTGTGTGTGATGCCGTCCAGAAATTGTTGGAACTGAATCAGCGCCTTCTTCTCGGTAAGAATCTGCTCTGGAACATCCCCACTCGCGAAGAAAGTTGTGTAATGCTCTTTCAGATCTAAAATTACCCGTTTGTTTGCATCGAGTACCAATTCAGCTGAGATAACTGTCTCTTCGATATGCTGTAGTCTTTGGAGGCCATTGAAAGTGATATCATCCTGGGATATGGTCACTCTTGGCTTCTCGTTGGGATCTTCAGTAGAGTTTGCCAATGCGGCCGGCATAGCGTTCTCTACATCTTCAGGTACCATCCCTAGACTGGAAGTGACAGCCCTTCTGAGTTTCATGATCAAGTTGTTTGATCTCGCTGCTGGCATCGTAGCAGATCGTTCCAAAAACGGCTTCGAGTCATGGTTTGGCACATCGATGGTTGCAAACTTTACTTTCCCGGTCATGTTCTCAACCTTTTCCTCGAGGGAATTGAGATACCATCTCCACTGCTCATCAGACCATTCGCACAGTATCTTGTGGGTCTCCAACGCGGACCTGAACGCATCCCTAGCGTCATCGAATGCCCGCAAATATTGCTTCTTAACATCTTTTGCGGCTCTTTCAAAGCGATTCTTCAGACGATCATTGCCTTTCACTATAATCCAGACAGTCCTTCCTGTACTCGTGTCAAATGAGTGGTAAATGCCTGCTTGCCGTATTGACCAGTTGGAGTGAGGTGAGCTCGATAGTGATGGTGGCTCAACAGACTTCAGGTTATAGCACAGTTGAAAGCCGTAGCCCGAACGGCCAATCTTAGGTATACGGAGTCGGCGAGATTCCTCAGTGAAATGGTATTCCTGGCAGAACCCGCTGAAGTAAAAGTCTTTCGGTCGCTCTTGCTTGCCAAAAGGGAATAAGTAATTTAAGAAATCGATTTTCACTTGATGATAGCTGAGAAACATCTTCATCATTCCAGATGTGATTTTCAACTTATCCCTAGAGGTTGGGGCCATCACAAATCTAGGTTTTACGTTAGACTTCCGTGGGATTGCATGGCTGAATACACTTACAGGAATCTACACATCGGATCCTCAGATCGATGGCCATTTTGATCAATGCGGCGCAGCTCTCGCCGTAATTGATCTGTATCTTTGACAGTGATGGATTCAAATTCTAAGGAGGTTATAGAGCTGATAGATACAGATGTTAAGGGGTAAGGGACACAGGGAAGAAGGAAGCCGAAACCTTACCGTCGTCTGGTGCGAGCAACTGCAGAATGTGAGCCGCAGCATGTGTTCGTTCGAATAACCTTTCCTCATTTTCCTTGAGTTTATCTTCCAGAACTTTCAAATGGTGGTCAAATATCCGCCCAGACCGCATGTTGCGGGGATAAGTGGCTGCTTCCACCAGCAATATCTCGAGCTCGTCCATGGTCGATTCCGGACGAGACATAGACTGGAGAATTCACAAGTTGAATACCTCTTGACGGACAAAATCTAGGCCTGGGAGGAAGAGGGAAGGCGTGATAAAGGAATAAGACAAGAAAGGCTATGCCGTGTAAGTAGGAGAAATGGCAGCGGGCTGTGCCCTCCATAATGCACGAGTCTCCAGATGCCGGTGTGATTCTTACTGCGACTTGAGCCCAGGGCTTTCAGGCGTCTAATCAGACCTTAGAATTGCCTCAAATGGGATAAGCCTTACGGTGCTTCTTCTCGGCCCATAATATGGCAGAAGTCATTCTTGAGGCTGATTGACCGACTTACCTGAAGTGTTTTTGCCCTACTCCCCTTCAGTAGGAGGGCGGTACAGGTTGCTTCTTCGCTTCCAGACTGTCTCTTTGGTCCTGTAGACAGTAAATATTGTGCTAGAACATTAAAGGCATGAGACTGAGACATATCACGCAACGGACCTACTTTAGTCAGTTTCTTCGGAACGCTGAACTGAAACTCGTCGTTTTGGTACTAAATCATGGTCAGCCCTGTGAAATTAGCTTGTACACCTTGAATAGCAAATGCAATAACCTCTATATCGAAATTATCATTCGTGTATTCCGATCCAAATGTCTTTTGGAGAAATTCGAGGACGGTTGAGCGGTGGAGTCCGTATTGCGGATAACTATCTCGGACCCAAGTCCTTGACATGTTGGGCTCTAGAGGGCGTAAATCTGCCTATGCTTCTTGAAGAGACGTCTGCGGTCAAACGTTTAACAATGATTAGTTGCTGCAGCCTCAAAGGCAAGTCGTGTTGGAGCTTGAAAGATGAGACTCCAGCTGGCTGGGGAGATCTAAATACCTCTATTCAACAAGCCCGGCTGGGTTCAGAACCCGACGAGAGCCTCATTGAGCATTGACTGGTCCCTATGGCATATGATCGGATGCGGTCGATACTTGATAGCCCACCCGCAATGCCCCGCACATGCCTGTCATCTAGATCCCTCTCTACAAGCGAAGCAACTGGAGACTTGCATGGGCATCCAGGCCCACTCTCTCTGAAATGGTGAGACCTTATAACAGGGTGACAAACAAGACTTGGAATGTCGGACACCGAAGCCATCACTAGCCATTCCACGTCGGAGAAGATTCCTACGTCTGAGCCTCTCGGCGCTGCGATGATGTTAAGTGAAAGTTTCGAACTGGAACCGAAGCAGTGAAGAATCTAGTTAGGAGTTAGGACTGGGGTCTGGGGGTCGTATGGGACCATAAGTTCGAACCCCTGCCTGTTGGCCAACCACCTACTTGGCCAGTATCACCATCTT